TCACCACGTAAGTTTTAACTTCCTATCAGAAGTTCAGATATTTCACAGCACTAATCCTGTTTTCTCTCAAAGGAACTTACTCGCCCCGCCCATCCGAACACGATGCGGCGGCTGGCACCCTGGTTAGGCCAGGAATACCAATGATCCTTCGGAGGAGGGTATGTGTAGTTTTCTATGTTTTGCATTTCATTCATTTTCTGACGATTGCCTTTCAAAACCACCTATATCTCCTCTATCTTATCTGTGAGTATATCTGTTTGAATCTGTTACTCCTGCCATGCTTAAGTTACTAATGATTTCGAAAATAAATTTTCAGGCTCTCTGCTCTGATATCGTGATCTTAATTTATTTTTGTATTGGCGCAAAATAATTGTTAATAAACAGTATATGGAAGACAATGTAGGACCTAAGGTTCTGCTTTTAAGGAGATGCCGCTCTTCGTTGGAACCATACTGTCCATAATAAGAGTCATGCCTTGAACAAAAGAATTTCTGCCCGCCTCAATGGGAAGTGACTGCGCTACAACTGGGATTTTTAAAAAAAATTGAACGGAGATCAACTAACCTCTAGCAATGGCCATGCAACCGTCTGCGATCCTGGACACAAGCTTGTCAAAACGCAACAATGTTGCCGCATTACTGGCTAGAGAGATCGTTTTTCGGGAAGCACGACAGCCCGATCACAAAATGGAAGCTCTAAGAAAAAAGTACACTCCAATCAATGAGACGCAGCTGAAAGCAGGTTCCTTACCGAGCAACGGTGCAGAGGACGAAGAATCGTTCGACCACATTGCTCTAGTGGATGAAAATGGGTTTGAAAGAGCAGCGAAGCAGCTCTTTGATCCAAGTCGACTTCAATTAACCTGGAAAAATATCCAACCAGTTGGCTTAGGCATTCAGAACCTCGGCAACACATGCTTTCTTTCCTCCACCCTCCAAGCCTTAACATATGTACCCGCATTTGCTCAATACCTTTTATCTGAACAGCATGGAAGATCATGTAAGTTAGAGTAATTCAAACATGTAGAATTAATGAGTCGAGTGGCTGATCCGTCACACAAGGCAAATTTCATGACTTTTGTGTCTTATGTGCACTTGAGCAGCACGTCAAACAAGCATTGGAAAGAGTACCTGATAACACTGTTGATAATTCCATATCACCCACCAAACTTGTTGGTAAAATTAGAGGTAAGCAGACTTTATTCGCTTCAATGGCATATGCAGTACAGTATAATCTGACATCACTTCAGCTATTGCAAGTACTTTGAAGCCAGGAAGGCAGGAGGATGCGCATGAATTCTTGAGACATTTGCTGCAGGCGGCCCAAAAATGTTGTTTGGATGCTCATGGGTAAAGCCATCTCATTTTGGGTGAAAGCGGATACGGATCGATGTGGTTTCTGATAATTTCATTTAGCATGATAGATCAACGAAGCCAAGAAACAACATTTCTGTATCAAGTTTTTGGAGGGTATCTACAAAGCCAAATTGAGTGCTTCCGATGCAAGAATATTACCAAGTCTTTTGAAGCTTTCTTGGATTTGAGTGTAGACATTCACAGCGGCAAATCCTTGTCACGAGCCCTTGATGAGTTTACAAACTTTCATCAAATGAGCGACGACAACAAATACCATTGTGAAAAGTATGTTACACTTCATTCGTAATGCAGTGTCTTGATTTGAGGCTAACTGAAGTTTGTCCTTTCAGCTGTGATGACAAAGTTACTGCCAGAAAGAAACTGACAATCTATAAGGCACCAAAGACTTTGACCATTCATCTCAAGAGGTTCTCATTCCAAGACGGCCACATTAGCAAGGTCGATAAGATGATCACATATAAAGAGCAACTCGATATCCGGCCACATATGACGGAAGGACAAGAAAAAAATGTTCCTGGTATTCATAAGTTATTGGCAGTCATTGTACATTCTGGAGCTACGACGCATTCTGGCCACTATGTTGCATATATAAAGAGCTCAAATGGACTGTGGTACTGCATGAATGATACTTCTGTAAGTTACATAATGGGCATTAATATCAAATGCTACAATACTAACGCCAGTGAATGCAGGTTCAGCAAGTTAGCACTCAAACCGTTCTAAATCAAAAGGCATATATACTGTTTTATGGCCTGGAAAAATCTGAACTGAAAAATGGTACCAGCAAAGACACCACTGACAAGAAGGAACCCAAGAAAAAGACAAAGGTGAAGGAGACAATGGCAGTCCGAGAAAACAATCAGACTCCCGATCTGGAAAGTAGCGAGGTGTCGGATATGCTTGGAGTCAAAATTAGCAGAAAGGATTTTGCAAAAACGGCTTCAGCCGTACCGCAAAAACCGGTGAGCGAAACAAAGGCATCTCCAAAGATGATGACGAACAAGGAACGCAAGCTACTTCGTAAACAGAAGATTGAAGAGGCAAGACTTGCTCGTCAACAAGAAAACGCGCAAGCCAGCACAGAAGAATTTAAACTTGACCAAGGTGACCTGTCCGGACCTAGTGCTGAAATTGAAAAGGCTGTGCACGAATTGAATCAAGTAACTAAGCAAGCCCCAGAGGTGGATGAAGATAAGCTGGAGGAACAAAATAAGCTCAAGGCTGCGATATCAGCTGCTGCTGCACTACCGACGGTCGCCTCATCATCCGCAGTAGTTGTGAATTACAACGACAAAATGGATGACAAGCGTGCTAAATTAGATGCTGTCATTCAACTTGAAGCTGCCATGGGACAGAGCGAAACCGTTAAAAAAGACATCTTTGGTGTTGGTACAAGAAAAGGTCAATTTGGAACGGATGCAATCACTCGCTGGGATGGTGACGATATGGACATTGGAACACCAGTCAACGAGGCGGATCGAGAAGCAGCTCTTCGACGTGGTCAAGGAAGAAAGAAGCGCGTTGATGCTTACGATGTGGACTATGATCGTGGTAAAGTCAAAAAAATCAAGACAAAGAACACCCAGCGATTTGAAGACACAAATAAATTTCAGTTGCAAACGGATGTTGAAAATGCAGTTAAGGTAAGTAAAAATCTGCTATGAATGCGCTCGCATCTATTCCATTTTATCTAATATCGTCGACAGGCAAATCGTCTTAAATATAGACCCAAAGACGCAAAGAAACCCAAAAAGACAACTTAGACCCATTTTTTTTTTAGAACAAACTTGTATTTTAAATTTTTCTGATTTTTGCAATCACTCTATTAATGCGCTCATACCAACATCTCAAAAATTGTACGTTTTGAAACAAATGAAACTGAAATTTTAACAATAATTTGATGATGATTGTGTCTATCACTTTGTAACAAATTTACAAGGGCTAAAGATGTATATCCAACATGATGATTAGATGTAGTTGGGTGTGCGAATTTCTGGGAGAGGGTAGTACTATATCACATTTAAAGCGCTATATTCATGCATCGCGTCTTGTCATAGTTCGCCCCCGCGAAGGAGATCTGCTATATGATGACCGGCGGCGACGATAGGTATCTCTACTACGCCGCCTTTGCCGCGATGATCGATCGGGACTCAAGCTTGATTCCCTTTGCCGTCTAGATGATGGTGAGCTGATATCTCTACGAGATGGGCTTGGGCTGCTCTTTCTCTGCTTGTCGGCTGGGCTTATACTGCGATGGCGTTTGCCGTGTGTGTGAGAACTTCTGCGAGGGCTTCTGCTGTACCTGCGCGGACTCCTACTACGCCTACGTGGACTTCTGCTACGAGATTCATGTTTTCTATTCGTTGATGAGATTTTGCTTGACTTATCCACAATTGTATCATCTCGTCGGGCTGGGCGGCCGCGTTCGTCTCGAACACGGTTTTTATAGTGTCGATCATCTTCGCTTTCATCACTATACAGATCACGAGAATGTTTACGGCTGTGCTTGTGCTTATGTGAGTGCTTCTTTCGCTTCTTCTTATCTTTGCTCTTCTTTTCTTTTCGTCTGCTTTTACTATCTTCCTCGTCAGAACCATCTTGGCGTTGGTCAAGCTGTGGTCTAGCGGTATAATTAATAGGTATGGCGTTCGATGACGAGCCAGGCAAGACTTCCCTAGAAGCACCTGATGATTGCGCCATACGATTATTTGCATTACTGATAGAGTTTGTCTTAATTATCTGATGTAGGCTGTTAAATATTACTTGTTATCACTTACTGTCCGTATCCAAGGCCCTTGTCTTCCATAGTAGGATCTTGATCTTCGTCGTTCATTTTCAAAGCATTCTTGAGGTCTTGTTGAGTGACATTTCCACTCCCGGTGTTCTTTTTCTTGCCACCCAAAGCAACAGCTAGTGCATCAGCTTCTGCTTCCTTTATTCGCCGCAGTTCCTCCGCCGCCGCCCTTTTCTTTGCCTCTTCTGAATTTTTATCCTTAGCATACCAAGTCAAATCCTTGCCTAATGTACAAATATATTTAGCTTTTCACCAACCGATAAACGAAATACGGAACGTAATCAATGTTTACCTTGCTGCCAACGCCCGACCGGTGCCATTAGAGAATGGCCAAGGTAGTTTTCACGAAACTTGTCATCTTTCACTGACTCCCAGGTAAACTGTTTTAGACAAATATTAGCATATTTTTGAACTCAACATATCTCATTAGTCGATGCGCCTACCTGATCCTGACCGCCTCGTACGCCGCCTCTTGTTGGATGGTACATTGTGAAGAGGCCTTGGAGGGACTGTCCTTTGCCGAATTTGAGATTCCGCTTCACTGCAGTGGCTTGGCCCGTGACCACGTTTCTTTGACTAAAAAATTTTTTCGCGTGTCGCATATAAAAATGGTCTGCATCTTCGCAACTTACAGATTTCGCTATCAAAGCAACTAAATGGTAAGCAACACAAATTTCTTAATATAATAATATAGACCTTTCAACGTTGATGAGACAACAATATATCTTTAATCCTGAAGATGCCATGTGGAACAACCAATGGAATTCCTCGATTCTGAGTCGTTCTCCTAGACCATCCTTCGCATCATTCATTTGATTATTACGTATGTTCTAACCTTTTCACCTCAGATTTCAATAGCATTGGCTTAGCAAGTTGCTCATCCATCCGATCCATATAAGGTATTTGTCTTCACTTTTACTATGGCGAAGAGCATAGTAGACGAGCCCCAAGAATTTGGGGCGCACCCGTATGACGATTTGCTTATAGAAATAATCATGAAAAAAGATGATTAGAATCAGTAAACATGCACCACCATCTGACATCGTCTACCATGCTCTAGCCTTCGCGGTCTCATCTTTACCAACATAATTCTAATACATTCTTGAATTTAGATCTCACTCAGACTATATGGAAAGGAGAAATGCTCAATGCTTTCAAAGCCTGTTCAGTGGCGATCGTAAATGGTAAGCATCTCATACTTTTCATTCTTGCTGCATCGAGCTACTGTGGTCAAAAGTGACGCTTCAATGATGAAATATGGAATTTCGAACACGCCAGTTCTGCTTCTGACAATTCTTGAAGAAAATCTCCATCGCTAAACTGAACAAGCACACTTGACCATAGTAGACGCTCTTTGCTTTGTGCAATTTTTTCCGTCTCAACATTACATGTGTATTAACAAAATTTCTATCTACAGTAAGTTTGAAGAAATGTTGATATGGTAAGGGCTATACGACGAGGATCTTCCAAGATTTTAGTCAATGTAGTTTTAAATTTGTAGACTTGTTATATTCTTGCTTGATACTGCACAGTATGCAAGACTAAGCGGTAATAAAAATGCCTTTAAAAAATAATCTAAATCTCCATAAGCCCTCATTTTCTCGTGCGATTACAAAGTTGTTGTATAAATTGAATCATGAAGGTATTGCTCAGTAAGTAGATTGGAGTTCTCCAATTTGCATGATGTCTGTTTTGATGAATATGATTATTTTCTATATGGTGGTGGGTCACTCATGTTAAGGGTTAAATTCTAGATACTGCAAAATGTACATTCATAGCGAAGATTAATATCCTCAAACTCTTGTAAAGTGAAAGACTGGGAAATGATAAAGCAGAAGCTATGTTCTTAAGCGTATCAGTGTTGGTATGGGGAATATAATCATGAAGCGTCCAACTTTGGAGTATTCTTCGGGGGAGTAGCCAGCGTTAGTTGCTGCGCTGCTTCGGCGATGGATGATGAGGGCGCTTGAGTATGCTCCAGAGCTGATAATTTATCGATAAAGTACTGAGCATCACCAATGACCCTGCATTGAAAAGAGTACGCATAAGCCTTACAATATGAGGATGCCGACATTGATTGTTGTGTACTTACCTTTCCTTTCCAGCCGCCGTTGTTACAGTCAATCTGCTGTATTCTTGTGCTAATTGATTAGCAAAGGATGAAAAGACTTGATCCATGACAAACTAGGATGCACATAACGAGTTTGTTAGTCCATTCGGTAAGAAATTTTACAAAGGCAGCCATGAAAGTCGGTATACCTTCAAGTCATGAGGTGGAAGATATTTGTTCAGAACTTTGTGTAGCGTAGTGGTTTCTTTTACTAATGTTTCCATGTATGCACTAGGGGATTTGGCATTTCTGTTCGGTGCATCCCAATTCATTGTCTGTTGCACCTTGAGTCAGTTCTTGAATCGCATATAGTCACTCCATTAAGACATAATACACGTACCTGCATAGACTTCATATGCACATCGAATCTTTCGTTCATAATAGCGATAAGTTTAGCATGGATTTCTCCTTGGTGATTTTGGTAATCCTTGAGCATTCGATCGAATTCAGATAATAAGACGACTTGTTTCTCGGCTATGCATCGTCGTACACATTCTTTCAACAGAGGTATTAACGTTATCATGATACCGACCGATTGTGACGCCAAGGCTAAAATCATGGTTAGTTTATGCTTTGAACCCTTGGAGCCCTTCTAAGGAACTCAAAAAACTTACCAAGATGCCTTGCCGATATATTTTTGAGTCCAGCTGAACGCATCGCACCGGCACCGAGAATGACTTGACAGACTCTTGAGTTGAATAGCTATGTGCACACAAACGTCAGTAACAGCCAAACTATCTGAAGATCGTACAATGGCTGCATATCGTTTACCTTGAGCAGTTCTATCATCTTTTGCATTATATCGACTGTCATGCCGTCTAATCTGATCATACACTTGATATAATCTTCCATCATCTTGATGATGAGCAAGCTACATCCAACAACAAAATAGCTTTGGTCACCAATGTGAAGGAACTTGGTAGGCTCGGATTGGTTTTTGACGGCTCCGGAAGACTGTCCAGTATTGCTGTCAGCAGCAGGAAAGAAAGTCTCCGTCATGAACTTTTTGTCAAGATCCTTTGCGCCTGCCACAGCACTTATCCGTCCAATGATATCTTGGAAGTCTTGTGGCACTTCGGTGGAACTCCATTGCTCGTTCTCGATAAGAAGCGCTTCCTGCTTTGTCCGTTCCATGTGGAAATTATTGATGAATGCCTTTGTCTATTTGGTACGAACAATATCAGAATTCATCCATCCATTTTTTACTAACTAAAAATAGCTTACGATACTGTACCTGCGAAATAATAGCCCCTCGAAGACCAAAGCTCGTCCGACCACACATTTTCTCGCTACTGTTGATGAATGCCCAGGTAGCGTCAAAGAATCGGTAAAAATCGGTTGGATTGAGTTGAGCATTTTGATCGGCGCGCGCGCCAACAAGTTTTGCACAACGGACATGCCCCATATCTGCAACGGCGAAGATGGTAGAGTTTGAATCTTGGATCAAGTCATTCACAACAACTCCATGGCTTTTCTCATGCGGTGGAGAGGACATTTGGTTTTGCGTAGGACTGGTATATGAGTGTGGATCATAGTCATGAAACAGATGTCGTGATTGGGCATCGTCAAACAGTTCTTTCAATATCGAATGATAGCCAATGGACCTCTCAATCGCCGCTATGATGACAGCGTATATGGCAATCAAAGTCTTGAAGAAATTATCGAATGGCATGGATTTAAGTTGCTTAGACAATCCGCTTCTTGAAGGGTTAGTTCATCAAGGCTCTTGCAAAGAAAATACGATTCAAAATCAACAACAAATACCTGCTTTCTTTCGCGGTGCCTATATCTTGTTCATTAGCTTCAGATGCATCCGCAAATGGCAGAGGGTATTGCTAATGGGTACAAAATGATTAGTTTTCGCCATGGGGAAAAAGGAATACTCTGTCGAGGCATACCTTCGTAATACTGGCTTTCAGCTCGCTCAATAGTCGCTCCCGGTATATATGTAGAGACCTCTTCACTTGTTTCGATCGTACTAATCCCATTGTAGCAGGAGCGATACGATCTTTCAACAAATCAAAGTCTTTTGAACGGGTGGTCTCCAGCATTGATGGTGAGCGAACTGACCCATATGTTCTGGATGTTGCGGAAGTGAGAACAGAAACGAGAATTCCTTGCGATGCTGCATCCATGTCCAACCCATCTATATACATGGTGAAGTCGCTAACAAGGCTGTTAATGAAGTCGTGTTCCATGATATTTCCCACAGCAATATACATTTCGTCTAGTTGGGAAGAAAAATTCAACAAAGCTCGAACAGCCTGCATATCCAGCTTTGGTACTAATTTCGAATTTCCAATTTGAGGTCGCCGTACTACTGTTGTGTCCTGCTTGGCGGAAGCATCTTCACCATCATCTTCGTAATCAGTGGAGTCGCTCCCAGACAGCTTTGATTTTGCATCATCAATCAAATCCAATGCCGCAAAGAAGTCTCCTTGATTTAACAATATTTGAATCATTGGTTGGGATGATCGTATTTCCTTGACCATCTGAATGCCATTATATAATAATCCAATGTTTGTTCGACGACGCTGTAAGGATACCACCTTCAACCCCGATTCACATTGCTGCTGCTGAGTTTCCTTCATGTTCTGCCGAATAGAATGGATCTGTGATACACAATCCAACGTTTCTTGATGCAATGCTTGTAAGTTTGAAAGGGCTTCGAAAAATTGGGCAGATCGTTTGGATATTTCTTGAATCAAATGAACTTCGACCGTATCTAGGTAATGAGACAGCTTTTCTTGTAAGATGCTGTTTGTGCTTGTAGGTGGATTAGGTCCACTATGCCCTACGATATCCGCTCCTTCACAGACCGCGTCAAAAGTTCGAGGATTTTCCAACTGAAAATTTGGCTCAAAGAAGATGGATGGAACATTTTCAAGCATGGGCATGTCGTATTCCTGTGACTGAAGGTTTGGCGAAAGCTCCAGGTCATCCAGGTTCTCAAGGGACATAATGTTGGGTATACCATACGGATTACGGCCAATTCCAGGAATGGATTCGTTGCTTTTGTCGTGACCATCCTCTAACAATGGTGGAAGAGTGCTGAATTGAGTATCGGTTGATGAAATATTAGGCGTTCCCTCGGTACCTTGCGTCTTGTTCTGATGGTAACGTTGGTACACGTTGGATATGTAGTTTATATAGGAATCAAAATCGGAGCTTTTGACCTTGGGTATGGACGCGTGCGATACAGGTGGAATCTCAGCTTTTCTTGCTTTTGGCGGTTGAACACTTCGTTTGCCAGGATCGTTTAATACACCTGTATTGTACATCATATCATTGTTAGTTGCTTTCTCCGTTTACAGTGTCGAAGGCTATAGATAAACTTTGAACAAACCCGAGATTGCATTGAAACCGATATCTTTCGTTGTCCAGGGCAACGATGTTTCACTCATTGTACTGAAATTGGCAAACGCAGACTGTCGTCGGCTGTGGCCGCCACTAAGTATACGATTTAACGATCTTCCTTGCGATGAGCCTGAGTGTGATGAAGCAGGCCGGCTCCCAGAATTTGATCTGTGCGGAGATCCTCCCATCAAGTGAGATTCATCTTTGAATGCATGCTCTCTGATATAGTTAGGAGCTGTTGGTTGTCTGGGCGGCAAAGTTGCTGTGATATGAGGAGACCCTGCCAGCGCTGTTAGTTTTGGCGTAGAAGATGAGGCTCGCGGGTCACCATTTGGAGTCCCCGGCGGCGATGTAGGCATTATTGACAGAGAGTTTCAATTTGTAGCGATCACAAAAGGCAGCTTTATGGAGGAAACTCCGGTCACCTATGCCTCAACCCTAAAATATGCTTTCTTTGTCTACCTACCCAGTAAACATCTGGTTGGTCAGTGAACTGAACAATACAGTAATATGTCGCAAACGTATATGATTTATAAAGTACGTCTATTATGAGGTATGGTGTAAAAAGTAGGTGAAGGAAGGTATGAAGTAAGAGGAATCGTGCACATACACCGCGACACCAACAGCATGACAAAAAAGTAAAACGTAGCCTGTAACGCTGTATGTGATATACAGCAAATTCACGAGCGACTATTCACTCATGATGGTACTAGTTTATTCTTCTTCAAGTGTTCCTAGAGAATCTCTTTCACCGCTACGTCTAAGTGAAGGTGATGAACTTCCTGAGCGGGAAACTTGAAGAGAAGAAGCATCCTGCTCCTTATCACTCCAGTCTTCACTTGAATCAGGTTTGGCTGGGTTGTTTGACCAACCCATGACAGTCATCCTTCGCAAGGTTTTAGCCCAACTTCCAGCATTTCCATTTGCTTTCTCCGACAGAGTGCTATGTCTCCTCAGATTCTTCTCAGCTGCAATCGGTTCAGCAATAGGAATTGATGTGTCTGCTTTGCTAACATTGTCATTGGCTTTCTCCTCAACTTCTGCCAGAGCAGCGACAGCAGGATTAGATGCACGAGATCCCCAATATGAGATAGTTCGACGTCGTTGCGCACGATTGTCACTCGACTTTCCAGTATAACCGGTGGACGTAGTTTTAGAAGGCATTGGACCACTGACTTTTGGGAGTGCCTTTGGCTCTGGTTCGGGAGTCTTTGGTTTAGGCGCATCGATACTTAGTACGTCTAACAACTGTTTGTCTGTTACAATCTTCATCAAGATCTTGTTCATGTAAAGTTGAAGGGCTCGATTTGTGTCTTGTAGTGTCTTAACCTCTTCGTTGAGTTCTAATCCACAAAGGAAATTTGAAGGTCAGTAAATGTATATATAAGCCGAACGCATTCAAATGTCCATTTCAACGTACTCTTAATATTTGCATCTTTTTCATCTTGCTCTCTCTCATTTGTCTCCCAGCCAGTTGGCCCCGAAGCCATGTTCAATTCGGCAGCTAAGTTGAGCCCAGTGGTCGTGCTTTGACTAGGTTGCGGCTGTACATCTTGATGGCCAATTTCCTTCTCCTTGTTAGATGCATCAGAAGACTGAAAGAGAAGGTTAAATTTCAAGACCCATAAATGATCAGCCACTCAATCTATTTGGACAGTAATCTTACCTGCATGAACGAGTTGAGCATGATTTCGCCGTTCATTGTTTTTTCGTGTAGTAGCATCTGGTAGCTCTCATTATCCTCCATCAAAGATCTATTTAGCTGTTTTACATTGGTAATTTCATGTTCTAAATGCTTCATTTTCAGGGACTGTAGCTGGAGCTGTGATACATTTTCCTGAACAGCGTTCTTTTGCTTTTCGACTTCTGCTTTGAGGTCTGAAATAAGCTTGTCTTGAGCTTTAATGGTTCTGGAGGCGATTTTCGCTTCTCTAGCAAAACTAGAATCTATTACTGCAAGCTTTGGCGTTCCGATCTCTCCGACGGAACCATTAGCATGAGGTGTCGACATAGATGGCGTCGGACTGACCTCGGCTAAGATGTCATGACAGATGATTAGAATACAATTATAATACATGCCATCTCAAAAAAGACAATAGCTTACATATATTGCCAAGAGACGACCCATACTGTTGTAAGGATCCAGCGCCTAAACTATTGGCCGTAATACTTCTTCGGCGTGGTGTTCTGGGATCACCATTAGCTGCACTAATGGATCTGATTTGGTTGTATAAATCAGCTTCTCTCTGTTGCCACTTGACGCGGTCGTTTTCAAAATTTTCCATCTAAAAGATACCAATGCATAATGAGCTAAGTGCGATCATTTTTTTTTCAGATGTGTCCTTAGGTGTGAAGCATACTTCTACTGTCAGCTTTTTCTCAGCATCCTTCTTTGCCTTAGTGAGTGACTGTGCTTCTTTTCGTGCTGCCACAAGATCTTGGTCTAAGTTATAGATTTGGTTTTCCATTCTAGCTTGTGTATTGCGATAGGTACTAATTTCTTGAGATATTGTATTATATTTCTGATAGAAAGAAAGTTAGGCTCGATAGATAGCATTGCCATGTTTCATAGCTGACAAGTAGAAAGTCAAATTATGTGGTACCTTTGTAAGATAATCGTATTCATTGGTAACTTGCGTATGAGCAGATTCATTTTCTTCAAGATGACCGCGCAGCTATAGTTGTAATGGCATTTGATGAGCCCAAATGTCTTCCGCAAACCGAACATACGAACTATCGGACAGTGCTATTAGGTAGCTTACCTTAGTATTTTCATTGGAAAGCTCATGTATTTGTTTCTGTAAAGCCTCAAGCACCTGTGAGATCTCGTCCTGCGACATTGCAATTAACGTTTACTAGGGTATTGAATGATTAGGGTATGTTGGGGAGAGTTTCAAGGGCCAAAAGAAAAGAAAAAAAAGCGGATGGCCTCTTTCCAGAAATGATGAGCTGGTGTAACCAAAAGGGTAGAATCTTTCAAAGCCTGATTTCCCGCCACTCGCGCCTGTTTCAGCACCTTTTTTTTAACTCTGACATGTCGTCCCACGCTCATTTGCTCCCAAATGGTTACAAAGCCCAAATTGCCCAATGGCTGCAAGAAGATACACCTTCATTTGATTATGGCGGCTACGTAGTTGGCGAATCGGATCAGAAAGCCGTTTTGTATTGCAAAGCTGAAGGTGTTCTAGCAGGCGTACCCTTCTTTGACGAAGTCTTTAAGCAGCTGGACTGCAAGTACGTTAACTTTACCAAAAGTGGTTATGATGGATTATATCTCATTGCCTTATGTTAGAGTCGAGTGGACTGCCCAGGAGGGTGAGTACCTCAATCCTGATGGCAAAATCGCCATTGCTCATGTCTATGGCAAAGCAAGACATTTACTTCTTGGTGAACGAATCGCTTTAAATATTATATCTCGATGCAGTGGAATAGCGCTCAAGTACGTCTCAGCAAATTCATAACGTTAATGTTACAATATCATTCAAGTACGGTGTTTATCTGATGATTAATTGAAATTAGGGCTCACAAAGTTGCACAGTTGCAAAAGGAACGCGGTTTTAAGGGAGTTATAGCTGCCACTCGCAAAACTACCCCAGGTTAGTTAATCTTTATTCTTTATTATAATAATATGAATAGCATGAAAGCTCACCCTGACGCCTGAATTCATCAAACAGGATTCCGTTTGGTTGAGAAGTATGGTGTGCTTGTTGGTGGCTTGGACACTCACCGTATGGATTTATCCTCTATGGTTATGCTTAAAGACAATCATATTTGGGCCCATGGGTCTATCACAAAGGCTGTACAAGCTGCACGCTCTGTGGCTGGCTTTTCTCTCAAGATTGAAGTGGAATGTCAATCGGAAGAGGAAGCTGACGAAGCCATTGCTGCTGGCGCCGATGTCATTATGTTGGATAATTTTACTGGAGACGGCTTGAAGGCAGCTGCTAAGAGTGTTAAGCAGCGATGGGCCCAAAAGGGTGTTAATAACTTCTTGGTCGAAAGCAGCGGTGGCATTACCTACGAGACATGTGCAGATTACTTTTGCGACGGTAAGCTGTCTATTACGTATGCACACCTACAACATATCAAAGTTATAACTGACACTGCTATTACCAGAAATTGACATTTTAAGCATGAGCACAATCACTCAAGGTGTTGGTCATGTAGACTTTTCTCTTAAGATTGTTCCTCAGAAGCAATAAGAGATATCGAAAAGATCTGCTTTATGCTCTGATTTTGTTTTCTCTTTATTTACATCACATCAATCAATAGAAAGCTCCAACAAAATTTCACACAAGAAGTTTTACTAATATCTGTCTGTCAATGCATTTTGAGCAAATGTGTCGTCATTTCTGGAAGCTAGACTCTCAAATTCATCAGCAGTAGAGGCATGAATACCTGCCATATCGCGCCTGGCAGTGTTGTAAGAGCTCTGATTGAATCTTTCGGAGAAAGAGCTGCGCTTTTTGTAGCCGAAGCTTTGGTTCGCTTGCTCAATAGTTTGGGTAGGCTGAGTGCTTGAGCTCATAGTATCCTTTGCTTGATTGAAGCTAGACTTGATATCATCGACAGTGTCGTTGACTGTGCTCTTCAAGTTAGCGTTGCGAGATTCGAACTCACGTTGGAGCTCTACCCGTGACACAATCAACACAATTAATAACATAGTACTTTCCATCATATCGACTGCTTCCTACTCACCAGAATCAGTAGGTTGACGACGAGATCCTGAAAACATATTTTTCTTTTTTAAGTTGTTGAAAATAGACAAAGCAGAATAGCCATGCGAAAATAAAACCCTTTATAACCCTTGGCTGAACATCTGCATGACTCTGGGTTTGAAAATAATCACGTGGTGTCCAATGAAAACTTCATTGTATAATATCATTGAACACGACAATTTGAGAAAGAGCTTCTTGTATGTTACCATCAAGGTTGGTTTTAATCTGGAGTACGCTGATATAGGTTCATTGATCAGTAAAACTGTTGTTAAAAAATGCACTCATATCACCCTTTCGTTTTAGGTTTTTTTGAAACGCACTGCATTTGGTGTTGGCGTTCACCCAAAAAAAAACGTCAGAGGTGCCAAAATTGGCGTGGGTATGTCGCCTCCATTCAAAGCGGGGACCCAGAGGCAAGCAAACATACGGCCAGAAAGTCAGTTCACAATGTATATTCAATATTTCTTAAGTGTATGAGCAGGAGGAGGACCAATCTCTATGCATATTCTTTTGCAAATTCAAGAATACCCGTGATAAAACATTAAATTAAATAATGAAGATAAAACCTTTTGAAATCTATTGGATGCCATTTTTTCACCAGCGGTGTAAAAGTTCTGTGAATGGGTACCCCAGAAATGACATTGGAAAAGGCTAAACAAAGAATCATTTACGTTGTAGCTTTTGGTATCCAGTCATCACGACGTTTGTCAACTAGCGCTTCAACTTCCTTCTGTTTCAGTAGCAGACTTTGTTCTTTGACGAAATTTAAGATGGATATTGTAGGAATTACGTCGTAGTGACGGTCACTGCAAATCATGCTTAAATCTCCTCGACCCGCTATTATTCGACACAAAGCTGTAAAGCTGTACTGCAATCCCATATATCATTTCCATATTTTCCATATTCGTTCTTTACATGTTAAAACGATGTAATATAAATCTCGAATTATTATAGATGAATGAATCCAAAAGCTTAGTATATCAAAGGACCAATACTCTGGTACTCAAGTTAAAGTTTAGGTTTGACTACGGCTTCATTAGCAGCCCGATCTCTTAAAACACGCCGAAGGATCTGTTGATAGAAGAATCTTTAGATTGTCTCTCCTGTTACTGTACTTTATTCGTCTAAAAAGCCTTACCTTTCCAGACGCCAACTTTGGAATCGCGTCAATAAAGACAATCCCGCCCCTAAGCCTTTTGTAGTCGACAACACTCTTGATAACATAGTCTTGGATTTCTTGAGCAGTTTTTTCGTTTCTGGGAACATTTTCTGGGACAACTACATAAGCTCGGGGGAGCTCAGTAACCTTTTCTTCAGAGTACACACCAATAACAGCACAGTCCATAACCTTCGGATGCTTGAGGAGAAGTGACTCTAGTTCAGCAGGAGCTACTTGAAGGCCTTTATATTTGATCAATTCCTTAATACGGTCAACAATATAAAAGCGTCCATTGTCGTCTCTGATGGCAACATCCCCAGAATGCAGATACCCGTCTTTGTCAACTGTGTTGGCCGTTTCTTCCTTTCGCTTGATGTAACCCAACATGATGTTTGGTCCTGATAAAATATGTTATTCATTTCGCTTCGTTGGAACTCGTCTACGCCATGTCCTCTACAAATACCTTTCATCCACAGTTCGCCTCTCTCATTATTTCCAACTTCTGTAAGTCGAACACTTTGTTAGAAATAGTATAACCTTTCCATATGCGATAATGAACGAACGCTCACCATTTCCATTTTCATTTATAATTTTTGCTTCCATGTTTGGTAGTAAAATACCAACACAACCTTTTCATCACACTTTCAGTATACCATGTTGGATGCAATCATAGCATATTTCTTATTCTCACCTTCAAGGACATCATGTGTTTCTTCCATGATTGCCACTGGCGATGTTTCCGACATTCCGTAACCTTGCTTGACCACAGTCCCGCCAAGTCTGCTCGACACATCTTTGGCAAGCTCGGCGCTGAGAGGCGCGGCACCGCAGATGATTTCACGAAGCGAAGAGAAGTCGTAATTTCCAACATCAGGGTGCTTAGCCAATAATATGAGAATGGGAGGAACGAGAATACCAATAGTTATTCTATGGCTTTGTATAGCGGTACAAAAGCTGGTCAGTTCAAATCGAGGAAGTGTGATGACAGCTGTAACAATACAATTAGAAGCGCGCCACGCCTTTCTTTTAGTAGTTGGTAGAACTTACGAACTCCCCAATATAAAGGTGCCTGCAGTAAACAGGTCAATCCAAACCTGTATCGTTCTTAAAATTAGTATTGGCGAACAACTGTACTTAATTTCGTGTGAAACATACACATGATAGAAAGGTAAAACACCAATGATTTTTTCTTGCTTGAAATCAATGCGCTGGACCTCGATCTCAGTGAACTGAAGGATATTTGCTGTGATATTCGAGTGGCTACGTAAATGGAACACATGAGTTTGACGCTACCAATCGGCTGACAAATTTGATAAACCGTTGCACGTACGTCAACATCACACCTTTGGCGGTACCTGTCGGGGTGGATATTCTTAGTCAATGCAGCATTAATGATCTCTGCTTATACTATACTCTACCAGTTGTTCCTGAACTAAACGGCAAATATGCAGTAGCAGTCTTAGCTTGTTCAGCTGAGTACTTGATATGTTTGGCGCGTCTGTTCCCAACAAGTACAGATGCGTATGGTTTAACACCGTTGACAGCCTTATCCCCGAATAGCAGCACTCTGTTGCGTGGGATTCCAGCTTTATCAGCAGCTTTTAGCGCAATGGATATATTATCTTCGTGGCAAATTAGCACTGTAGCATCAGCCTCTTGCAGATGATAATGAAGCTCATTTTCATTATAGGCACCATTGACCAGGGCGACGGTACCACCTTATAAAAAAAAATATTATCATATGAATATTAATATATTTGCTGCCCATATGTTGCCTCCATACCTGCCGCGACAACTCCGAACATGACTGCACTGTAGTCAACCTAGTGGATGGATCAGAACGAGTCAAATACCAACATAGGTAATTGTCGATTGTTATTATTACCTGGTTGGGTGAGAATATCGCAACAGTATCACCCGGTTTGAAGTTCAATTCATGTTGCAGACCAGCCGTGATTTTTTCGACTAGTTCAATGAGACCAGCAAAGGTGATCACCCTACCAGAAATACCATCAATGAGGACAGGCTGTTCCTTTTTCTTTGGAAACTCGGTAGATTCAAACAGAAGGGAAAGGATATCAGTCTGGCCTTCAGGAACTCGAATATCAAGGAACTTGGACTTGAAAGGCATCTTCAGAGAATTTGTCGTACTACAAGTGAAAGAAAACTCCCACCCAAAACGACTTTGAATATGCCAATTTAAGCTCGTTTGTGGATCACGTTATTGACCCCTCCCGAGAACTCTACCGAGTCCAATATGTAGCACGCTTTGTATCGAATTACCAGCCATAACTCTCCCAGTAATGAAAATTCGATTTATAGAACAACTATCAAATGAATTTCTTCAATCATGTTACTATGCGTTCAATCGACGTAAAGAGGTACCATAAACCTTGAGCCACAGTCCGTGAGATGGACAGCCGCATGTCGAGATTTGCGTCGGAATTTCAATAATCAAAGAAATAGTCACGTCACATGACCATTTGATTTTCAGGTAGTGGAGTGGGTTGAGATTCGCGATTCTTGTAACTGACAGTTTTTCGGTTCATCCTCATTTGGTGCATTGTCTTTCTAATCCGCTCTCAGTAATCCGTCATTTCTGCTGAGCGACGTGGATTGGATATGACTACATTAAACGTATATGCTCATAGACTGGGCGATCCAGCTTTAGGTATGTTGCTACTGGTACATTCCGCTTGGCTACCCCACTTATTACATTTGCATTAACCACTACTTCAATTGCAGACATAAAGCTGAAATGTACCATTGCGAGTGATTTGAGAGACCAAGTGGAGGTTTTTCAGTCGTTAGAATACCCCAGATTTCTCTCGGTCTTAATGCCCGTGTTTCTGGACAATCTTCGCAATGGCACGCCTGTGTTCGTTAGCAATTCACTTGAACAGGTAAGCCACACGAACCCAAGCGATTCACAACGGAAGAGCGACGACTAAGTTATTATATGACATTGAACAGAAACTACGTAACACGATACTTGAAATTCTACATCGCCTTCCTCAAACTGAACCATTGAAAGAGTACGCACCCGAATTATGTCGCACTCTTTTGCAGCTGATGCGCGTTGAAAATGAAGACAACGCTGTGGTTTGCGTCAAAATCATCATTGATTTACACCGAGCTTTTAAACATGTATTGGAAGATCAAGTTCAGCCATTCCTTGACGTCGTTCAGGAAATATATCAAAACATGGATCAGGCCGTGAAAGATGCATTTGACAACCCCGGAACTCCCGCAAGTGCTGCAACAGTGAGTTCTTTTGCCACAATATGTAAATCATCAGCTTTTTTTGAAGCTTATACTTTTTTTATCAGCCTGGACAGCATCCTCTCGTAGCAGCATCTCCAAGGCCAATGTCACCAGCTGCTGATTTCACCGAAACACCTTCCAAGATGCTCGCTAAAAGTTTGTACAGCTTCAAAGTGTTGACAGAATGCCCAATTATTGTCGTCCTACTATTTCAATCACATCGCAAATTCGCTAGTGACAATATTGTTAAGTTTGTCCCACTCATTATCGATGTAAGTTCACGCAGTTTAATATGTCAAATGAGTTGCAGTCTAACATTCCGTACAATTGTCAGACTTTGGGACTTCAAGCTCGACCACAACTAGAGGCTGCTAATGCTGCAAAGGCTAAGGGAGAAACTTTTGTTGGAGTCAGTCCTGCAATCAAGAACAGATCAGCTTATACAGAGTTTATTGTTGCGCAAGTGAAGGTAAGCATGGCCAAAAGACACCGAAATCATTATAAGAGTCAGTTCATTAATTCTTTCTGTGTTAGACTATGTCTTTCTTAGCCTACATTCTCAGAAGCTATGCCGCCCTTCTTCGCCCCCATCAAGCCACCATTCCTGAGTTTGTGATAAGACTACTGAAGGACTGTCCTCCAGAAGCTTCAGCTACAAGAAAGGTTTGTTGAACAAGATGAGCCAAAGTATCATCAGTCAACTGTATTAAACATGCAATCTTTCATTTCAGGAATTACTTGTTGCAACACGGCATATTCTTTCTACAGATTTCCGTGTATCGTTTGTACCAAAGATTGACGTTCTCTTGAACGAGAAAGTACTTGTCAGCACAGGTGTCACATCTCATGATACTCTGAGGTATGGATATAAAGCTGGTTCGTGCTATAGCGAAACTTTGACGTTTGATCTAACATGCCTATTTTATGTGTAGACCTTTAGCCTATAGCATGTTGGCAGATCTTGTCCACCATGTTAGGTCAGAGTTGACTCCAGCACAGTTATCGAGAACCGTATATATTTACTCTCGCAATTTGCATGACCAATCATTGGCCCCTAGTATTCAAACTATGTGTGCAAAGCTGTTGTTGAACTTGATCGATTGTATCACCAAGATACCAAACAAAACGGAAGCTCGAGACCTACTGATTAGGATATTGGATTCATTTACAAGCAAGTTTGCAGCATTGAACTGCTTTTTTGATGTTTCATTGAAGCAATATCAAAAGAAGAAGTCGCTTGAAAGTACAACCGCTGGTGGCGAGGATTCTGAGACGGATACGAAAAGCGCTCTTGCTGAAACTACCAGTGACACCAAGCCCACGACCATTGATGAGAATGCTAGCTCTGATGATTTTGATTTCGATAAATCTCGCTCTATCCATACAACACTCTACTCTCCCGATTCGGTCCATGATGGAATTAAGGATGGTCGATTTCTGTTCAAGAATCTGGTTGCTGGTTTGAAGGCTATTTTGGCCGGTCTTAGACATTGCAATCCACCTCCACCTCAAGGTCAAGACACAAATCCACAAGTGTACGCTCAATTTGCCAGAGGCTTCACTCAACCAGAAGTTGATATTTTCTTGAGACTCTTCCGTGAAGGTCTGAACTGTTTTGACTACTACAATGCTGACAACTATGGACCAGATGGGTCAATTCCCGTATACCCCGGCTCCAGTGTGAAGGATGACAGTGATAGTAAAGTTGTTGCTGTTTCTGCTACGGCCACTGCCACTGACAATTCGTCCAAGCTGGGACCTCAAACAAAAGAAGAGAAGGAAGTTTTGGATATGTTTTCAATCGCATTCACCTTGGTTGATCCGGCAGTGTTCCAAGAGATTTTTGCCTCACAGATTGAATTTTTTTTCAAGAAAATGCTTGTGAACACATCTCTCATTCATATTCCACAATATCTTCTAGCAAATGATGTTGTTTCCCAAGGCTTTGCCGGTATACTTTTCCGCTTTCTCGTTGATAGGATGGATCAGCTTGGTGAAGCCGACACACATTCATCGAATGTCATGTTGCGCTTGTTCAAATTGGCCTTCATGGCCGTTAACATGTTCCCAGACGCGAACGAGTCAGTTCTACAACCGTATCTAGGTAACCTTGTCATGACGTGTCTAAAGCTCTCTGCAAAGACCAAGGAGCCGGGAAATTATTTCCTACTTTTGCGAGCCTTATTCCGCAGCATTGGTGGAGGTCGTTTCGAACTACTGTACAAGGAAGTGCTTCCCCTCCTACAAGTCTTGTTGGAAAATCTCAATTCTCTTCTGACGATCGCTCACAAGCAACATATGCGTGATCTCTTTGTCGAACTTTGCTTGACCGTGCCTGTTCGATTGAGCGCATTACTTCCCTATTTGCCATATCTGATGAGACCTTTGGTCCTAGCCCTACAAGCCGGCCCCGATCTGGTCAGCCAAGGCTTACGGACGCTGGAACTCTGCATAGACAACTTAACTCAAGAATTCCTAGACCCCATCATGGCACCTGTTGTCAACGACTTAATGAATGCCTTATGGAAGCATTTACAACCATTGCCATATAATAAGCTTCATAGCCATTCAGCTATGCGAATCTTGGGAAAGCTTGGTGGCCGAAATCGCCGTATGATTAAGGATCCTCCCAAGCTTGAATATCACCAGCGAACGGAGAATGGAGTTGATGTTGACGTCCTGTTTGATTCAGTATCATCACCTCAGAATTTGCCACTTGATGAATGCTTGGCACTTGCTATTTCAACCTTGGAAAAAGAGGATGCTAGTATTTACTACAAGCGTAAAGCGTATGAATATCTCAAGACTAGTTTAGCAGTTATGCTAGATTTAGATACAGGCTCAGGTCACCTTGCACAGTCTATTCATCAAAGAATACAGGAGCAGCTGTTAGCAGTGACAGAAGCAACTGACTCACAACCCGCGAAACCCGTTGGCGAAACTACTGGTGGAGAAAACATGGAAACCGATGAGGAAGAAACCATTGAAACTGTGGCTGATATAAGCAAAACAGACAACAATCAAAGCTTAGTCAATAATGCGCATGGCAAGAAGATGAACAAACGACATGCTGAAGAGGAATCCTTGCGTAAAATCCTTGGAACTTTTTTCACTGCTAGTGCTATCCCTGAACTCAAAGAGGATGCATGGACCTTCTTTCAAAATATTTGCCGCCATTTCCTTCTGCTTCATATCGCTGAGCTTGTAGAATCTAAGGAAGTTGGATCCAAGAAATCTTTTGCCGAAATGATGGATGACAAGCTCTCCTACCAACACCTTAACACTACGATTATTGTAGATGCCATTGTAGACGTCATGACGTCAGAAGATAAGGATATGCAAAAGCTTGCTGAATCCGCCCTGCAATACTGTTATGATATTGCTGTGACCATGCTTGGAGGCAAGGAACATGTTGGCATGTTGCCCATATTCAAGGTGTTCGCTTCCCAGTTCTGCTCGTGCTGTTACAAGCAAGAATGGTACAAGAAGAGCGGCGGATGTCATGGAATCTCCATGCTTAGTTCACAGCTCGATATGGGAATCAAGTGGATGCGAGAACTTGAACTAGAATTTGTTCGATCCTTGCTTTTTGTTCTCAAAGATGCATCACCTGAAATGGCAACTATTAATACATCTGACGCGACGGAAACATTATCACACGTACTCAAAGTCTGCAACAGACCAGAGGATGATGAATCCCAAGATGCCAGCTACAAGTTTCAGCACCTGATAGCTCTTTTGATTACGGAACTTTCAAACTCCAACAATGCCGTACGCGAAACCATTCAATCTTCATTCCAACTCCTTGCCGATCTCACTGGAAACGAAGTGACAGAGCTACTTGCGCCTGTACGTGAACGATTGGTCAGTCCAATTTTTGCAAAGCCATTGCGTGCTCTGCCATTTGCCATGCAGATTGGTCATATCGATGCCATCACCTACTGCCTGACTTTGCGCCCTCCATTCTTGGAATTCAATGATGAATTAGTTCGATTGCTACACGAAGCCTTAGCTCTCGCTGACGCAGAAGATCAAGCTCTTGTCAGTCGCAGCTCACAATACAAAAATGCCACGTCCTTGATGAACTTGCGAATTGTTTGTATCAAGTTACTTTCCGCTGCTATGGCTTGTTCAGACTTTTCAAATCAGCGACAGACATCAACTAGAGCGCGTATCATACAAGTCTTCTTCAAGTCGCTATATTCTAAATCACCAGAGGTTGTAGAAGCTGCCCACCGTGGCCTCAAGCAAGTATTGGCACAGCAGCATAAGTTGCCAAGGGAATTGTTGCAAGCTGGTTTGCGACCAATCCTCACCACACTCTCAAACCACAAAACCTTGAGTGTAGCTGGTCTTGAAGGCCTTGCTCGACTTCTTGAATTGTTGACAAATTACTTCAAAGTCGAAATTGGCAAGAAATTACTTGATCATCTTCGTCAATGGGCTGAACCGCAAGTTCTTCAAGAGGCTGCAGGCAAGCCTCTTAGCGAAAACCACGAAATCAAGATCATTGTAGCCATCCTGAACATTTTCCACTTGCTTCCGGTTGCTGCCAATGTATTTTTAGACGATCTTGTCACAACTGTATTAGAAATGGAGGGACACCTGAGACGATCACTTTCCAGCCCGTTCCGACCGAATTTGATCAAGTATTTGAATCGATACCCATCTGATTCCGTGGCATACTTCTACGATCGCCTAGGCAATCCCAAGTGCAGCCGCTTGTTTGTCGATATTTTAGGGACAGAAAGTGCATCCCAGCTGCGAGAAGAAATCGCCAAGGCTCCCGCTGATTTAATAGCTAGAACCTTTGGAATGGCAGATGCTGGCAACATGCAATTCCAAGGCGTATTGATCGTTCGTGAAATCGTACAGTACGACAATGATTGGTTAGCCCGACAACCAGCTCTGCTTGAATGTTTGCTCAGCATGTGGCGCTCTGTTGGAAGGGTCGAGCGCATGAAGAAAGAGGATGCACAAGGCATCATGGCACTTAGGGAATCACAATATCTTGTGGAAATCTTCATCAACCATTTGCGCGCTCACCATTCCGCCAATGAGATTGAGTTGATCTTTGAAATGGTCACTCTTTTTACGCATGAAAGTGTCATTGATTCTTCAATGCTACGAAAGTTCCTCCAAGAAGAGGTGGCTGTCAAATACAATCCACAACAGAAGCGCAGTATTCTGGAAAGATTTTTGACGCAATTCTCGGATGCATCTATCTCACCAACGCTAAAAATGATGACTCTGCGGTATGTGGTTAACCCTGCTCTGCTTGTTGCCCTAACGCACAAACCAGAAGGCTATGAGGAGATTCTCAATTCCGATATGATGGATCAAATGCTTTACAAAGTATGGGGCCAGTTACTCACCGAGAGCAACGAGGATAATCAATACTCTGAGGATTCTCTGCGTATCGAACTCCTTCAGATGACCGCGATGATCATTCAATATGCTCCAAAGCTGCTTGCTGATGCTCGCAAAGAAGTTATCAAGTTTGGCTGGAACTATTTGAAATTAGAAGATGCTACTGGAAAGCACGCTGCATATGTGCTCATCTCTCGATTCATTGCTGCTTACGATACGCCTAGCAAGATTGTCATTCAAATATATGCTGCATTACTTCGAGCGCATCAATCAGAGGCACGTACTCTAGTCAAGCAAGGTCTCGATATTCTAGCTCCTGTCTTGCCTCAAAGAATTACTGCTACCGCTGCGGACCATTTCCCAACTTGGGTTCGACTTACTCGTAGAGTTGTTGTTGAAGATGGACATAGTGTTTCTCAATTGGTCAATGTATATCAGTTACTTGTGAGACATCCTGATTTGTTCTACGACTACCGTGAGCACTTCTTGCCACAGATTGTCAACACCTTGTCCAAGCTTGGCTTGCTCCAAAGCGCAACACCAGAAAACAAGGCGCTGACGGCTGATCTTGCTGAATTGATTTTACGATGGGAAAAACGTAGAATTGCTAGCCAAGCTGAGACTGAAGCAATGGAAGAGGATCCTCGCTCACCAGAGCATTCCAGCCCAGACCATCCTCGCAAGAAACAGCAAGTCGAGAAACCCAACGGTGATGTGAAAAGCGTTGCAGTCGACTCTGGCAAGGAATATATACCTAGCTTGCAACTTCGTGAAAACATTGTCAGCTACCTTGTTCGTTTGGCCTGTGCCGTGGTCAGTCCTACTGATCTGCTTCAGAAGAAGCTTGTGCAGCGTATTCTCAAGCTTATCAAAGACTTTTTACAACCTGACATTTGGTCGGATGTTCACGTCAAATTCTCTCATTTGGAGAGAACACTTGCCTTCACCGAACTGAGCGATATATACGTGTCCTCAGTTTGCAATGCTCTTGATATACTGGACATTGACATCTCTCACAAACCAGTTGAATGGTTCGTGGTCAATATGAATCAACTGTATAGACTTTTGGAACCTAGCATCAAAACAGATAATGTTCGCATTCAAACTGCGTTGCACCCGGTACTGGTACACATCTACAAAGCTATATACGAAACAACGAAAGATGAAACTAGTGAAACGGAATCACAACATCCAGATGTCACAGCGTTGACCTCACTGATTGACTCCACCATTACCGACGGCCTTACTAGCATGAGCAATACGTATACTGTATTGAAATTATTAGAGGCAGCATCCAGCAGTCGAACTGAACACCTCGATGGATTTGTTCCAGGCATTGTCAAGGTTATCCAAAAGTTGACCAAAGAGCATACTGTTGGCAACACTACCGCGACCACACAACCGTCTGGACCTGATAGCCCGGTCAATCTTTTAATTATCGGCCTTCAATTGCTGAAGAAGCGAATTTCTCATCTTGGTGACCAACGTAGATGGTATCTTACATGTCTTATTCAGTTGATTGAAAAGTCACCAGATACCGTGTTGCTACGTGCTATCTTGGACATGCTGCAGGAATGGATTTTGGGCAAGTCAGAGACATTCCCAACCATCAGGGAAAAGGCTGGCCTTCTTGTTAAAATGATGGCTTTGGAACGTCGCAATGATCAACAACTTACTGAAGACTTCCTTAAGCTTGTTATCAAGATTTATAGCAATCCTGTGTTTGCAAGATCTGAACTCACTGTGAGATTAGAGCAAGCATTCTTACTTGGAACCCGATGCGAAAATCCGGAAATTCGACAGCAATTCTCGGAGATCTTTGACCGTAGCATTGGTAGATCGCTGTATACTAGGCTCAATTACGTCCTTGGTGTGCAAAACTGGGAGTACTTGGCAAGCCAATTCTGGATTCATCAAGCTTTAGATTTATTACTAGGTATTATCGATGTTGAGGCACCTTTGCAGTCATCGGCTTTCAGTTTGAAAGTGAAGTCCATCAAAATTCTATCGAATGACACTGAACCTATGGATATGGATGTTCCTGAAGCAGTCAGTAAGCTCATTGACGATCATGAAGTATTCCTTAGCTCTCTTCAAAACTTGAAAACCGGCTCTATCATCACACCAATGCGACAGCTTCAACATATTGACGACAATGTAGCATACCAACTTTGGGTGCATATGTTCACTCTATGCTGGGCTAACCTGTCAAGCACTGAACGACATGATATGACCAAAGTGCTTATCTCCTTGCTTTCCAATGACTACCACAGCCGCCAAAGTCAGCAATCCGCCAATGTCATACAGGCATTGTTGGAAGGTGTAGCTCGATGTCATACTGCTGTCAAATTGCCGACTCACTTGGTCAAGTACTTGGGTAAAGCGCACAATGCATGGCATATCGCTCATGAAATACTACAACAAGCTATTCCCAACGGAAGAGGCGGTGAGATCACTAAAGATGATCAAAATAGTCGTGAGCGAACACTTGACGCACTTGGTGAACTGTACACCGATCTGTCTGAAAACGACATGTTTTATGGTTTGTGGAGACGACGATGCGCGTACACTGAGACAAATGCGGCTATTTCCTGTGAACAGTTTGGAATGTGGATGCAAGCTCAGAACATGTACGAAAACGCTCAGATCAAAGCGCGAAGCGGCGTTCTGCCATTCACTGAATCGGAATACATGCTTTGGGAAGACCATTGGATTATGTGTACCCAAAAGTTGCAACAATGGGATATTCTTGTTGACCTGGCCAAGCATGATTCGAACACTGATTTGCTCTTGGAATGTGCATGGAGACTATCCGATTGGACTGCTGAAAGAGAGCTTTTGGAACAAACCATTCAACAACTCTCTGATTCTCCTACGCCAAGAAGAAAGGTCTTTGAGGCCTTTATGGCACTGGTCAAATCTCAAGCAAATAATGACAAGCTTCAAGAGTTCAACAGAACATATGAAGAAGGCGTTCAACTCTCATTGAGGAAATGGCATTCACTGCCCAATATTGTGTCTAATAGCCACTTGCCATTGCTACAAATTTTCCAGCAATACATTGAACTGCAAGAAGCTAGTCAGATATTTAATAGCTTGATGACTACTACGGCGCAAAATCTCGATACGCGATCAGCCGAACTCAAAAGTATTCTCACAACATGGAGGGAGCGTCTACCTAATACTTGGGATGATATCAATGTTTGGAGCGATCTTGTGGCATGGAGACAGCATATATTCTCAGCTATCAATCGTACATATCTCCCGTTAATTCCCCTGCTGCAGCAACCTGCTGGAGGTGCCAATACCGGCAATGCTCATTCATACGCCTACCGCGGTTACCACGAGACTGCTTGGATCATCAATCGATTTGCTCACGTTGCTCGCAAACATCAACTATACGATGTCTGTATCAACTATCTCACCAAGATTTATACCTTGCCCAACATTGAGATCCAAGAAGCTTTCTTAAAGCTACGAGAACAGGCAAAATGCTATTACCAAAATCCTGCTGAATTGACCGCCGGACTTGATGTCATCAACAACACTAACTTGGTGTACTTTGGTCAGCAGCAGAAGGCAGAATTCTTTACATTGAAGGGCATGTTCCTTGTTAAGCTGAATCATTACAACGAAGCCAACGAAGCATTTGTCAATGCTGTTCAAATCGACTTGGCACTTCCAAAGGCCTGGGCTGCATGGGGACAGTATAATGATCACAGATTCCGAGAGAATCCAAAGGATCTAAGCTGGGCTAATAATGCTGTTAGCTGCTATTTGCAAGCCGCTGGAATTTACAAAAGCTCGAAGGCACGAAAGTATCTCCTTCGAGTTCTTTGGCTTCTTAGCTTGGATGATGTCCAAGGCACTGTATCTCGAGCTTTCGAAAGCTATAAGGGTGAAACACCTGTTTGGTATTGGATTACCTTTATACCACAGCTCTTGACAGCTCTTCAACATAAGGAAGCTCGACATGCACGAACCATACTGGTACGAATTGCCAAGCAATTCCCTCAGGTATATTGATTATCTCTTTTTATACATTTATTCCACGCTCACGCTTAAAAGATGTTAATGACTTAAAACACACTATAGGCACTGCACTTCCAATTGAGAACACAAAAGGAAGAGTATCTTTTGATGAAGAAACAAGGACTAGCTCCAGCTTCCGGAGGCGCAGCGGCAGCTTCCGCTACAACAACGGCTACAGGTAGCTCACCAGCAACTGTACCCACAACACCAGAGGTAAAGACTGAAGGCGCCAATGCTGCTTCAGCAACACCAAATACTCAGGCTACCGATGTTGATACTGCTATGCAGGAGGCAAACGGCAGTGCGACTAATGCAGACGGCGACGAAAAGTCAACAATAGGTCACGATGTGAAGATTGAGAATGTTGATACCAACATGGCATCACAGGCCTCTCCTTCAGAACAATCGCCACCGGTACAGACACCACAAGGTTCACCTCAAGGTCCTGCTACATCTCCTCTTGCTAACATGTCACCTGCCGGACAACAGTCTCCTCTCTCAAATGCATCTAATTCACAAGGTCAAACGCCAGTAACGACTGCAAGCCAGGATGGAGTCAAGCCCGGTGCTAGTCCAGCCACCTCACAAGCGACCACTGCTGCTGCCAACGCAGTTGCTGCAGCTGCTGCCGCTGCTAACGGTACTAAGCCTAACACCACACCACCGGTCAGCCAGAATACCATGCCAAGACATCCTTGGGAACTTGTGGACGAGATCATGTCTATGCTCAAAACTGGATATCCACTGCTGGCTTTGTCTATGGAAACGATGGTTGATCAAATTCAGTTGAAATTGAAACCTCAAGCTGACGAGGACATGTACCGCTTGATTGTGGCTCTGTTAAATGATGGCATACAGGTATAGTATAATGTGCTATATATGGGACAACAATGCTTGAATACATTGTATCGGCACGGTTCTAATTTCGTTTCCATTTAGCAATTGCTTGCACGTCTGTCTAATCCCAACGATACTGGACAGTTATCACCTGCAACTCAGACTAATATATCTCGATTTGCCGAAAACCTGTATCCTGGGCAGATGAAGGTAATTTTATTTGCAGTAGACATTTATAGTACGGTGCGATTCGTTGGTTCATCTATGCTCACATATTTTATATCTTTCAGGCTGCGTTTTTGAATGATTTCATTAAGGCTAAGCCTAATCACGCACAATATGTTGCCAAGCTCCGAACTTGGCGTGATAAATTTGAGGCAATGCTTGATAGCCGATCACGAAAGCAAAAACTCGAAAGCGCCAGTCATTATTTGATAGAATTCCAGCACCAAAAGTTCGACGATGTTGAAATTCCTGGACAGTATTTGCTGGTAAGTTTCGATGCTACTGGTCAATTATCTATTGGCTAGCAATTGTCTAAAGCATCGTTATTCTTTAGCTCAAGGACAACGCAAATGATTTCCTGCGTATCGATCGTTTCCTTCCGGAGATTGAGGTCATCAGAGGTTATGGCAGCTGCCTTCGACGTATCACTATTCGTGGACACGACGGTAGCTTGCACCCGTTCATGGTACAAAACCCTGCTGCTCGCCATGGAAGACGTGAGGAGAGAATCATTCAGCTGTTCCGAATTTTGAATGGTGTTCTACAACGACGCAAGGAAAGCCGTATGCGAAATCTCTCATTCCATCTTCCCATCATTGTACCTCTTGCGCCACATGTTCGATTAGTGCAAGACGATCCATCGTATTGCTCTTTACAAGAAATTTACGAAGATCATTGCGACAACGTTGGAATCCATAGAGATGAACCCATCATGTACTTTATTGAAAAGATCCGCGCAAACATTGATGCAAAGAAAGCTGTACGTGTTATTTCAAAATCTCGCGTTTATGTTTAGGCATATTGAATATCATTCTAACCTTATATCATTGCAGATTGCTAACCAAAAGACAGAATTACTCAACCTTCGTCTCGAAATTAATGATGAGATCGCATCAAGGATGGTACCATCTAATGTTCTCACCAAGGTAAATAATCAACTTTTTCTATGACTCTACCATGATGATTTAAAGCACTCGTGATTGACGCTATTGCCCTTCATACAGTACATGCTCAAGACATTGAACTCCTACACAGACTACTGGATGGTTCGCAAACAGTTCACTAATCAACTTGCCACTGCAACTTTCATTACGTATGTTATGAGCATTGGTCATAGACAGCCATTCAAATTCTGCATCTCGCGAAGCACTGGTAATATCTGGATGGTGGATATGCTGCCTGTCTGGAATCAAACTACACCTATTCTCGGCAATGGGGAATCTGTTCCCTTCCGCTTTACTCCTAATATCCAAAACTTCATTACGCCAATTGGTATAGAAGGTGTTTTCACTAGCAGCTTGATGGCGGTTGCCCGATGCTTGACAGAACCAGAATTTGAACTGGATCAGTACCTAAGCATTTTCATTCGTGATGAACTTGTCACTTGGCACACCATGAACCACCGTCCAATTACCGATACTCAGCTGCGTGAGCGTATCACCACCAATGTATTCCAAATTCTCAAGAGAACCCAGTTTTTGTCATGTCGAACAGAACGTGATAAGGTAATTAGATCTTTGCAGTAATTCATCGCTAGCTCTGTCCGCTGTATGCTAACCATCTTGCCACTTTGTTTCTCTAGGCCGTCCATGCTAATAAGCCGGCAAATCAAAGCATCATAGACCTCATCTCGCAGGCAAGTAATCCTCAGAAGATGGCTCAAATGGAATGCACATGGATGCCTTGGCTGTAAACGACACATCTTAAAAGATATTATATGAAAAAAACTTGTCACTGCCATATACAGTATCTGGTTGCTGCTGTAAATATGCTATTATTTCAACCCTTTATAATTTGGTCTTATATTTTTTCCTCTGCTTTTTACAAATGAATACAAAAACAACTCTCAGTTGAAAAGTTTTAAACAATGACATAGCTTGCTCAATTTCGAATGTGAGTTAAAGGCATTTATTGAAAGTGTACAGCTACTGTGTATATGAATGGGAAGAAGAGATAACAACCTCCATGGATACGTGTCATGAGGCTGATCGATTGGGACATTTTTTTATGATGAGGCAGTTAGATTGATTCAACTCATTTCGTCTTTGTATTCTTGCCGTCATTTGCATTTTGAGCATCCAACTCAGGGATTTCCATGCCTCCTGCCTTAGCTTTAGCTACCACTTTTTGTGCCCACTTGATAACGGGCATGTCGATCCTGTATGAAGCGAATGTCAGAAGCAGGTCATGACACAAACCAATGACCCAGGTTTAACTTACATCTTGCCGTCCACGACAAAGGCACCAACTCCTTTCTTTGAATAAAGCTCAAAGCCATCCATGATCTTGACAGCACGCTCAACGTCTACCAATTGATATATCAGCCATGTCAACTTTCCATTCATCGGTTATTGCGTTTGCTACATACCTTTAGGATCTGGTAAGAAGTATTCTTGAATGGTATCAATCTGACCTGGGTGAATCGCCTGTTTTCCGGTGAAACCAAATTCGCGTCCTTCACGGCATTCTTCTTTCAGAATGTCCAGGTTCTGATAGTCAACACAGACCAAGTCAATGGATTGCAAACCAAAGGCACTGGCAGTAGTGACAATTTGCTGACGAGCGAATAGCATTTCCAGACGGCTGGGTGTTCGTACCAAGCCTAAGTCGGCGCAGTAATCTTCAGCAGCAAACTAGGACATCAACCCATTGAAATTAGAGACGTTGGTGATAAGATGCTATCAGCTTCTGTTCACTTACAATTAAAGCATCTAGTCTAGGATCGGCTGTGGCAATTTCCTTAAGATTCATGATACCCATGGCACTCTCTACAGATGCAATTAAACGGATATTGGCTCGGCTATATTGATGTCAGTGGTGATGTACGGTTATATATACACTGCAGTATTACGTACTTTGATTCTGGAGCAACGGAGTCAATCATTCTACTGACAAACTGAATGTCTTTTGCACTTTGAACTTTGGGTATCACAATGGCTTGAAGTCTTTTTGTATGCAACTGGTAAGGTAGACATGAGACACATGGTACGTAATATATTTTCGAAAGGAGACAAAAGCACCTACCACAACATTTAAATCGTCCAACTCGAGACCTGAACCGACAGCGTTGATTCTGACAGCCTTTTCTGCCTTTCCATGCTCCGAAGCCTCCAAGGCATCCATTATCATTTGCCTAGCCGACCCTTTCTTGCTTGCGGCAACACTATCTTCGAGGTCATACACAATGCAATCCGCTGCAACCGAGATTGACTTGTGTAGCTTCCGTTCGTCACTTCCGGGCACTATCCGTTCAAAACGTTTAGCTTCTCAAGTACACTATATAACACCGCCTGAAAAGTGTGCCTCCCACGCACAACAACTTACCATAAAAAAGTGCTCTTCTTGGTCTGTTTTCGCTCAATTTTGTTGAGATTCCATTCTTAATTTCTGTGGATGAAGTGTTCAATAGTCGCACTGCTGCAAATACCGATGAGCGAAACACGACGGGTCGACTCGTTGTGGCGATAGCTTCTATATGGAAAAACAACAACCAGCTGAGTTAGAGTTTTAGTCCAAGCGAGCAGAGTACAAAGATGACAAGACTTACTGGACGCCAGCATCTGTGGCTTAACTCCATATGCTAATAGCGAGAAGCTCTTCAGTGCAATGGTCATGTCTAATGCAAGGAAAGAAGAAAGTTTAAAGACGAGTGTGTGGTTTTTGAACTCTGGATGAAACTCACGCACCACCAGAACTTTGAGGCTCCGCTTATGTGACTCGCATGCAATCATGACACGGCAATTCCAATGCCGTCAATCACTATGGGCAAATACGAAGGCATCAGAGATGTTTATTGACAGAAGAACTTTTTGGAGTAAGGTGGTTCCAATGAAAAATAGAAATGGTTTTAATAAATAAGAATTAGAGGCTCTTGATCGGCTTGATTAAAGCCAACGCAACAGTGCGTAAACACACCCTGACGTCAATTTAGCCAAGCTCGATGCCGTTAGAGTTTCAATGACAAAGACATCTTACAATGCGAACGATACTGCAACAATGGGCGCCTTGTTCTTCTGAAGCTCCATCTAGATCATCATCATGTGTTGCCCGATCAATAGCTGGTGGCTCCCGTGCTTTGTACGGAATATTATGGTTAGTAGCGCTTGAGTGCCATCGTCCGTTCCCGGCTTGATTAGATCCAGACACGCCGGCACCTTTCAGTTCCTTGTATTTTGCGTTAAATTGGCCAGACGATCGATGCTATACGAATGGTTCACGTTAGTGTTGTCAACAACATGAGTGGCCGAAACGAAGAATAACAGACGGCTTTACCTCTAGTCCTTTTCCTTCGTTTAATACCATCCAGTCGTACACTTTATCATCTTCCTCTCCATTTCGCCGTATAGCTTTGTCGAACAACTCTCTTAGAAAGTCGTAATCTGGCGTTTCGTCGAATCCCAGTTTTCGAACATATTTGAGGTATATTCCAAATTCTTCGGGATAACCTTTGCATAGCTCGTCTATTGGTGTACCTTGCTTTTTTTGACCGATCTTTTCGTACTTTTGCTTATTGGTCGCAGCCTTCAATCCTTGCCACGGGAGTTGGCCTTTTAAAAAGTACAGGAAAACGTGACACAATGCTTCCAAATCATCTCGACGTGACTGTTCTGAAACATGGAATGAATGAGACACGAAAACCGAAAGTCTATGTAAAACCCACTTGCCCATCACTCACCTCTTCCCAAATGCGTATTGATACTCATGTAGCGAGCTGTTCCAGACAAGCTCTTACGTTCCCTGTAGGGAATATGCTGCTTTGTTTTTGGATCTCGATATTGTTTAGCCATGCCAAAATCCACAATATATACATTATTAGCATCTTTTGTACCAGGTCGACCCAGTAAAAAGTTATCTGGCTTGATATCGCGGTATATTAGATTCTTTTCATGGATGGTTTGCACTCGCGTGACCTATGGCAAACGACATAAGCAAATGATGTACCCTTGTTCAAATTTAGTAGGAGATCGACCAACGTACCATGTCCTTGGCCAGCATTGCTACAGTCTTTACAGAAAATATTCGACCACATTTGTCAAATACATCCTCCAAGCTAGGGCCTAGTAGATCGATCACCAATATATTATGCATGCCCTCCTGACCATAATAATACGCAGAAGGAATACCAGCTAAAGGGGGCAGCGAAGGTAAGCAAACGTGAGACGCTTAAAGCCCGCACATAAATAATGGATTAAATCATATTTACGTTGATCATAAAGAATCTTATAGGTACGATATTCATCCCGAAGCTGAGGAGCGTCAGTCTTTCGAGGTTCGAATTTGACAGCAACTGGCTGATTGTTCAACAGATTTGTACCTTGCAAGGGATTAACGTCAGGGATGTTGGTGCAGCGGGTGGTACGCTATGTGAAAAATCCCATTTAAGGGTTCTAGCATTGAGGAGTTGGCTAAGCCCTACCTTCATATATGATTCCAAATGAGCCTTCACCAATCCGTCTACCGACTCGGTAATGAACACCTACAATATTAACTGATCTTGTGGTTGCCGGCGAGTTGCTATGCGAGCGGCTCATGCTTTATGTCAAGCTCGTGTGGTGTAGCCAACCGAAAGAAGCGGGGTCAAAAAAAAAGAAGTAATAGAAGCGCAATGTTGGTGATGTGAAAGCAATGACGGAATCTGTAGATGTTATCAAAAGGAATAAACAAAGCTGAGGTTGGGTTTTAGTTTATCTATTCTATTATAAGCTCTTTTTGGGGATCCAAAGGGAAACCAGGAGCGGTAAAGGGGAGACGAATTTGTGGGTTGCGGTTTGAACTTGATAAGGTTTCGGCCGAAATTTCTTTTCCCTGTGTCAAAATGACCTCCTATTCCATCCAACCTGGGGAGTGCCCTCATTCATTTCCTGGCGTATCATCCCAATGTAGCTTTTTCAAGCTATTGGTTGTCGCCATACTTTTTAGTACATCTACAACAGTCATAACCACGATTTTGAAACTGGCAAGCAAATAGGAATCATGCAAGAAATTTTTTTTTTTTCCTCCCACGTCGTTTTGGGTTATTTACAATGATAGAAGCAATGCAAGGTTCAGTTCATGTTTATTCCACAATAGAATTTTGCAGCCCACTCATGCGTCTTGCATTTTCAAGCTCTCTGCTGTCCAAGTCTGGAAAAAAATGCATTCTGAGTTAGTGGCGGTCTGCCTACAACTGGTTCGACGTCTATGACGAAACTCACCTCTTTCTGAGGAAACCTTTGGAGGTTCACCAGTGACCATACCTCTGGCAATGTTGAACATCTGCACTGGCATAGATCTGTCCTTCAAGGAGTAATGGACAGTGTCTGCCTTGACGTAAATCAAAGAGATACGAGGGTCAGTGGCACTGCCGTTGTGAACGCCATCTCCAAGGTCGCCAAACCAAGCTTTGATGTCTAGACTATAGAGCTCTTCAATCTTCTTTCGGTCGTTCGTAATCTCTGCAGTGCCACTAACACTGATCCATTCGTGAGTTCCAGACTTATAAAAAGCAAGGTTGACGTTGGGATCAGCCCGGAGCTCTTCAAACTTGTGGGTTGTATTGTTGGCGAAGAACCAAAGGTCGGCCGGAACCTTGGGGTCAGGCTTACGAGGGCTCATAGCTCGACTGACCAGTTTTCCAGTAGTTTCACAGCGTGTGGTCATCATGCAAACGCTTATGCCTTCAATTAAATGGTACAGATCTTCGATCTTCTTGTCGGGACTAGTGTTCATGTCCTGGTTAGTTTCTCTAACGGGATCACCGTGCGGTAAAGTGGAATTCATTTTGTTGAAAGTGAAATGGTTGTGGGAAAAACGCTAGAAATAAGGTACATTTATATAGAAAAAAAAAATTCAATAATGTCAGCTTGCCATCATGCAAGAGTAAAACCCACCCATAAGTGGTACGTAAGAATGATGCGGAAAAATTTAAGACGTAGGAAAAAAAAGGAAGGGGGCTAGTGGACGATTGGGAGTGGGGTATACAGATGTCTATCAGGAAAAAAATAATAATGCAAACTCTCTATTGCTTACAAATGTCTGGAATGCTGAGAATAGTCAAAGAAACGGATTCATGGCCATGAGGATGCAATATGCTCAAGGTTCCATCATTTACGATGGTCAACGGCGGTGATCGGCTATGCGATTCGATTCCCGATGATAAGTCAAGTGATGTGGAAGCGGATGAAAGTGAGGATGAAGAACAACTTTCTTTTGGTGATACTGGCCAATCCAACTGTTCATCCCTATTTGATGCTGTATTTGCTTGATCATATTCAGGTGGACGCCATGACGGTTCTTTGTGGATTCTTCGTTGTTCGGTCTCGTTAAATCGCTGTAATAGATCATCACAACTTTGCTGAAATTCTTGTCGAAGTCTCATCAAGTTAATTTCTATTTGATGGCAAGTAAGCTTTATGGTCAGAGTTAATTCATATCAGATAATTTGTGTCACTTACGAAGGGCGACCATATTTTTCTTCAGCGCGTTATCACTTTCATCAATGCAATCTATCACCCGTCGCCATAATGAATAGTGACTCGAGGTTACATCGTTGATATATCTATTGGCCTGATGGGAAGGACATAGTGTTGAGATAACGGACAAACATTCAGTAATACACAAACTTGGAAATACTAACTTGGGAGACTCTGCAGACTTCCCAATATTCCAAGCGGTCAAATATAAGCAATAGTATTTCCACTGGTAGGTCTATTAAAGCAAAGCAGTTTCAGTATCATATCAATTCTTAGGTACAAGTCGGTTCTGCATTCGCAAAGCGCGGCGATTGTTGAGCTACTTTGACTTGCTCCTTTGCCTGATAATAGGTCTCCGCTTGAGGTGGGGTACACGGAGTTCGATATCTAAAGTTGAAGGAAAACCAAGCGAAACACTCACCTTCCAAAGATAGTCTTGTAGTGGTCGGCGAGCGCCTATATGTATTGACAAAACGACCTCTTTTCAAAGGTGATGCAGCTTCGGTTGGTGGAATGTCCATTGGTGAGAAAGCATGCAGTCAGATAGGGCAAGCCACTACCTAATAAATTTGATGACGCAGGAACAGCCGAAATTGAAGCGGAAAAAAATTAAATCTGAAGAAATTCAGCGCGTTGGCAGTAGATAAACTACAAAATTTCATTTAATCGCTTCTGCGGTGGAGTATGGGCCGTGAAGCGAGCGTTGTATAGAATTTCCTATCCCATAGTATGTGTCATCCCATTTTACTTTACTATAAGCGGCGATAATACAGTGCGGCTTTGGCTGGCTGGGCTGTGTGGTGGTGGTAGTGGACCTGATATGCATAAATGGTTTATAACCTTCGTTAACTTAAACATTTCGCGTAAATAAGATAAAGAAACAATGAAACATTTTGAATAAACTGACTCCGTCGGGAAGGTGGTTCCTTCCCAACGCAGTATTGTCTTTGGAGACATGAGCTTTATTCAATGATCGTCCACCCCCAATTGTAAACAGCTGGTTCAACTCAGATTGTGTGACCCGTCATGTAAGGTCTGCTTCTAGCCTTTCCATTATAAACATCAACTACGTTCTGGAGCAAATTTTTCGCCTTTCCTTCTTTCGTTCACTTTTGCCTCATCGTTACTAACCATGAATCAGAATAATGGAGTGTCTCTACGCGGTATGCCCTCTAAGAGGCGAAAAAACCGCCACCACAAACATAACCAGGGCCGCCCAGACCAATCAGAAAAGCCAACTGATACCCAAAGCAATGCCTATAGCTCTGAAGAACGCGGGTTCGCGAGAGGATCCGCCATCGGCTCAAGTAACTCACCACTGTCATCGCAATTGGAAAGTTCGTTCGATACTCCGATGCAATACGATGCGACAGGCAAACCACTCGTAGCACATGGCACCGAAACATATGGAGACATCATGCTTCATCCAGCACAGCAATATCATTTGCACAAACAACGTATGGAAAAGTACAAACTTGAGGTGGAAGCTTGGGAAACCGAAAAGACTGGTGAAAAGCCCATACCTGTTCCCGTTGGCATCCAATCTGGGTAAGAAAAAATTCCATAGGCTCATGTCCTATTTTCGGAAATCAAACCATGTGCTTAACAATCGTTCCTCAAATGACTGTCAGCGATGTCTTTGAACTACGATCAGGTAAAATTCTAAACACAGGCACTGAAAGCTGCGATTGAGAAGACAAGCTAACCCTCCCATGAACAAAAAGTCATTCATTTTAGGAAGTTGATTGGAGATCAAACTATCAAAATGACAGATGAACTTGCTGCAAGCATTAGCCAAGAGGTAAACTGTCAATTAGTTTATTCGGACCTCATCTTTTTAAGCCCCACCGCAAAAAAACCAAAATTCTTATTTATCCTCATGACATATCTCTCCAGCTTGACTTTTCACCTGATGAGTTAAAAGAACTAAGCAACGTAAAGAACACCGATGCACTTGCCAAACTGATACGAAAATCAGGTCATGAGTTGTCCATTAAAGTCCACAACTCGGAAGACGTGCATCCTGAGGGAACAAAATCTCCGGCAAAATCGCCAGAGATGGAAGAGAAGAATCCCCTCGATGGCCATCACTACCCACTTAGCGAGCAGCCTGTTCCATCTCCAGTGGCGACACCTGCAGGCCCCCCAGCGTCTACCCCGAAGCAACAGAATTTGAGCGCCCGTAAGCTTTAAAATGCCAGCTATATGCTCACAGAACCAGGTTGAATGCACTACTAAGTCGTTTACAAAGCTAATGTTGAACAGCCACCTCCCCAACAACGTCTCAACTCTGATGCCACCAGCGCAAATGAAAAGGATAGAAGAAATTCTACTGATTCCGAAAGAGCCCATCTTGCCGCTGGTTCAGCCATCATTCATTTAAACGCTAATGTATATCTAGAAGTCAAAAAAATTATCCACGAGGACCTTGAAGAAAAGTTTGAAGAAAGCGCTCCAAAACGTCGAGCTTTCTTTATGTAAGTGCAATACCATTAGTGTGGTCAGTGATAGCCAAATTTTTAACATCTGCAGCAACGCCTGATAGGATTCCAGACCCAGATTTGTCTGATGAAATTGGTGAAGAATCGTCCGCCTCTTGGCTCGAGCTTTTTGGTGATGTGTTCTATGTTGGCTGGTTGACGACTTTTACGCATCACAATCATATTGTGGACGGCTCTACATTGGCCAACTATGTCGGTTGGTTCGTTGTTATGTGGTGGTCTTGGTGTTCCAGCGCCCTTTATTCGTCGCGATATGATACTGGAGGTATGTGCATGCACTTTCAGTCATTTCGCAAATGAAACAACCATACTGATAATTTGTGTATTGTAGACGTTGTGCACCATATCTATAAGGCTATTGAGCTTTGTGCATTGGGTTCGTATACTTTGATACTGACTACTCCTACACAGGGCACAGCAGCCTTCATATACTAACAATTTTGTTACCAGTTGGCATGGCCGGTGCTTCAAACACCTATTCAACTGAAAACCATTTTGGATTTGTCCTTGGATATATTGGTAAATAATACAAGGGCATTTTGGTGTCGTATGTTATATTTCTAATCCGTAGTTATTTTCAGTATCAAAGGCTGTTCTTATGGTTGAGTACAGCGTAGTTTTAGCTGTTGCAATTATCACTGGTTCTCATGGAAAAAAGCCTCTTGCTGCCTATGTGGCTGTCAATATGCTATCTATTATTCTATGGGGTGTTTCCTTGATATTCCCTGGTGACGATGAAAGAGGAAGTCGCTTTGCTTTGTGGTATGTGAGCATCCTTGTTGAACTTCTTGTCAACGTCGCCATGAAGAAAAACAAGCAAGTATCCGTCGCGGGCAGCCATCTTGCTGAAAGATTCGGTCTCTTCACTCTTATTATCTTGGGTAAGTTGGCATTTCCCATGTATTCATGATTATTACAGTATATTGATGGCCCATCCCTTTTAGGTGAAAACTTGATGGGCTTCATTACCCTTGTGTCCGAAGCTAGCTCTGACGATATCAAGCTCATGTAAGTGCTGCTTTTCAATTATTACTTTCCTTGTTTATTGACATTGACGCAAACAAACAAACCAAATTAAATTAATATAGTTGCGCCAACATGATGGGTGTCATTTGCATCTTTGGATTCTTCTTCATGTGCTTTGATGATTTCTCTGCACAAGTTTTACTGGAAGTCAATGTCTCTCAGCTTTGGATGTATCTCCATTTCCCGCTGCACTTGTGCCAAGTCGCTATGGGTATAGCCTTGCAGGACGTTATCCATATTTATGGTGAACATTGGGATTATCTAGGAGTTGGATGCTCTGCCAACACGGAGAGCGGTGTTGAAGTGGCCACAGTAAGCAATACCACACAGCTTATGCTGCATGCCAGTGGCCGTGCGCTCAGCTTGTTACAGGCCCTAACAATGGAGGCTCCTGCAGAGGGTGGAACTACGACCAGTTCTGAAAGCACCAGTTCGGCAGCATCTGAAGCTGAAGAGTGCCTCAACATTGATTTCGTCTTCAAAACCTTCTTGATATCTGCTGGCCTTGTCTTGATAGTTAATGCACTCATTAAATTGATCAACACTCCAGTCAACTCTCGTTGGTCAAAGTACATTTGTGCCAGTAGAGCGATCAACGCCATTGTTTTCTTTGGATTGACCCAAGCCGTACATCGCATTAACTCCATTGGTCTCCTCGGTCTGCTCACTGGCTGCCTCCTATTTCAATGTAAGTTGCTATTTTTAAAATGGGCTCTCCTCATATATTGCAATATTTAATTACTGTTTATTTGGGTACAACCCCCCATAGCTGCCGTTGATCTACTCGATTAGCGTGGACGGACCATAAAATTACAATCATTCCAAAATTCCCAGCTTGGCTAAAATCAGCCCTTAGCTTCGTTACGATACCCGTAAAAATTAGCTTCATCGATATATACCTTAAGTCCATAAACCATAAATTGTTAAATGTCGTAATTCAAAGGATGAGGCTGTGTTTGAAAATTCTACCAAGCCATCATCATACAGATCCCGGGACTAGAGCATGCTGCATATCATTTTAAAAAAAGAAATTCAGCGGTATACTCAGACCCGTTCGTGATTCAAAAGAAAGTAGGGGTGTTCAAAAAGGGCGAAACTCTTCTATCCCCTTTCCTTTCATTTCAACATGTCGCCTAATCTCACCTCGAGATCCACCATGAGGCGCGGTCCAACAGTTCGCGGGCGACGCCCTACTATTGGCAGAGTCGGCATTCGGCGAAGATCCTCAGCAAGTGATCAGGAGATCCTGACCAAATCAGATTCTGACACTGCCACAGAAGAGGTTGAATTACACGAAGTCGAAGAGCCGCCTATTTACAAACATGGTGAAGAGACATTTGGTGATATCATAACTCACCCTCGCCAGGAATACCAAGCTCATAAGCTGCGAAAAACCGAATACAACGAACACCGCGCCTCTTGGGCCCTGGAGCATGGACTGGATAAAGATGATGCAAAGTAAATAATAAGGAAATTGCCCTCTATCCATGGGTAAATGACTGACGATCCTTGTTTTACCTAAATAGGTTATTGCACCACGACAATCAAGCATTTGTGACAGGTACCGTCAAAATTTCAGTCTTTGATTCCTGGTACACAACTAAAACCTTAACCTCTAAACGCCTCTCAGTCATTCATTTCAGAAACTTGCGAGCCGAGCAGAATTTTGCTATTGACTATGAAACTGCGAAAGAGTTCGAACGTAAATTGAAACTAACGCAGCAAGAAAAAATCATGTTTAATGGAGTACACGACACCGAATCACTCACTTCATTTTTACATAATGCGCATCGTGATTATGCCATTAAGGTGCATCATGGTCATGGTGGAGGTATGGTTATTCTTATACCCAAATATTTTGCCTGTTGAGAATTTTACCAACCGTACTGTTTCCAGATCAACATCACAAACAACACCAAACATTGGAGCTTAGCCCCAATATTTTTGTAGAATTTAAACCCAAGTTCCAAGATCACTCTGCTCCACAGTCCAGTCACTCTACACGGCGCCCGTTTTTCCTGTGAGATTTTCTCTTGCAATCTATCATCAGAATGACTTCCACTTTAATTGACATCATACGTCTTTCTCTAATAGCTTTCCTGAACCGGACTTGAGTGCAGATATTGGAGATGAAAAAGCTGCCAGTTGGTTGGAGCTATTTTATGATTTATTTTATATAGCAAGCCTTTCGGAATTTACCCATACTCACGTCATTAAGGACTGGGCATCATTAGGCGTGTATGCATCCTGGTTTGTCATTATGTGGTGGGCTTGGACTGCAAGCTCTTTGTAAGTAATTTAAATATGTGTCATGTACTGTTGGGACAGATTTTTCAATCAATTAACCCAAACTTTTCAAGGTACACTACTCGATTCGACACGTAAGACATACCATATTATTGAATAAGCAGGAAGTGCAAATTTCTAACAATCTGAAACGCTTTGACTGATAGAGACGATGTCATGCATCACATCTGGAAACTAATTGAAATGTGCGCAGTGAGTATGTATCGATTCACTGTTGATTGATGTTGTGGTTTCATAAAATTTTATGTTGTTAACACCGACTTTTACATACTCAGTTGGCATGGCTGGTACTTCTGATCACTTCTTGAATTCCCCTGGGTTCGTATATGGCTATATGGGTAGGTTAATTTTCGGTGTACTGTTCATGAGAACCAAAATGACTGAATCTGGATTTATTTTGAAATAACAGCTCTCAAGGGCGTCCTAGTCATAGAATATGGTATAGGTAAAGACTGTCATGATCCTCTTTTTGAATCATTCAAAGCTACATTCATCTTTTTACTAACTACTCTGGTATTCTTTTGCACTAGTGTTCTCGGTTGCATTGATGGCAAAATCAAAGTCGCGAGTTCCTCTCCTATGTTACGTCGTGGCCAACGTCATATCGATCATTCTCTGGGGTGTATCTCTTCTATTCATCAACAACAACTCCCACTTTGCCTTATGGTATGTTGGATTGTTTGTAGAGCTCATAGTCAACTTGATCGTACGGGACAATAAGCGTCTTTCGTGGGCTGCAAGTCACTTGGCGGAGAGATTTGGATTATTGACCTTGATTGTACTCGGTATGTAACATTCTCTAATATCTCGGTTTTGGATCTTTGAAAAGTCTTCTCTAATTTCGTTATAGGCGAGAACTTGATGGGATTTGTTAAGCTTGTCGCTGAGGCTGGAACCACCGTACACGTAGTGTAAGTCAGAGCCTGAAGTCGGATGATCTACTGCTTCGCACTGATAAAAGTTCACAACTTAGTATACCCAATTTTATGGCTGTGGTCATCATCTTCGGATTCTTCTTCAACTACTTTGAAGACTTTTCGAAAGAGGTTATGCTTCACAACAGAAATAATCAGCTGTGGGTTTATCTTCACTTCCCTTTGCATTTATGCCAGGTTGCTTTTGGAATAGCGTTAATCAACATGTGAGGTATTTGAATGCGATGAAATTGACGTCGTAAAACGGCGTGCTAACAAATTCTTAACATCAGGTTGCGTATTTATCGGCTACAATACGAAGAGACACATAGTGAGAGTTCCGGTGATGAAAGTACGGCAGCAACCGAGCCGGCTGCTTCAGAACCGACCGCGACAGATAATGCAGAAACACCTGGTAGTAGCATTATTTCACCTGCTGAAAAGCCAGCCAAGAGAGATACGTTGAATATGAATTATAAAAACGAGGGTCACAAGTTAGCTGCACGAGCTGTTGAAGCGATTGGTAGCTCCTCGAACCCATATTCACCTGTAGCCGTCCCACCACTGTCTTTCCCTTCGTCTTCTCAGCCAACAATTTTACCAACTCTCTCAAGCTCATTTATATCCACTGCTGCAACCCTGACAGCTTCTGTTGCGATGTCGACACTAAGTGCTATTCACGAAAATGCGGCAGAGGCAGTAGCCTCCAACTCTACTAGTTCTTCTTCGGAATCTGAAGAAGCGGATTTGACACCACAAGAACAAACGTTCATCTATAAGACATTTTTGATTACCGGTGGATTGATCATGACGATCAACTCTTTGATTAAGCTGCTCAATACGAAGGTTCACGGTAAGCATTTCATAACTATTAACGGCTCCTTACCGCTTAGCATAACATTGACCAAATCCATCGAAAGACATCTACGGTAAAATCATTATTCTCTGCCGCATACTGAACGCTATTGTTTTATGGAGTATATGCGCTCTCCCTTTTACGCAGCTTAGTGCCCTTCTTTTGATATCTGTCATGACTGGCTCGCTCCTTATTCAAGCTCTCATCGACTTGTTAGACTAGACTACAATTCAAACATCGACGAACTCACTCTATACCACCCACCCCTTCTTCATACCACCTTATAAAATTGACTGTAGATGAAATTGATGCTACTTGTCGTATCATTCATTTATTAAAGCATATCTCGTTAGGCTTAAAGATCAGTGTTATGTGTAGACTGTACTTGCATTAACTGGTCCTGGTTGCAACTATTACGCCAGCCAATCAGAATGAGGCAGAAAATTGGTGACGGTTTCTGGTACGGGTCAACATGAACGCTGTAAACTTGTCAAAGTCGACCGCAGTGTATCTCCGATTTCATAGAATGTAAGCAGTAATTCACAAGAATCAACCTCAAAAAGCTCTGCTAATCTGATTACCATTGCACCTAGGTCTGCTCGATTAGACGAACGTTCGCGACGCTCTCGCTCAGTAAGCCGATCTCGCAGCCCGTCACATTCTGTCAGCCGATCACGCTCGCGTTCTCGTGGAAGATCCACTCACAGCAACAACTGGATCTCAGTAACCAATCTGACACGAAATGTCACCTTGGATCATGTCAAAGAGATCTTTGCGCAATACGGAGAGATTGTGTCCACGGATTTTCCTTTCAACAGTAAATGTAAGCGGTCTATTGTTCTACACCACTCAATAATGTCCGTCTCACGGATAGCCGACATGAAACTTACTCAATGTTTCTTTCCTTATTCTAATCTATAGTACAAAGTAACCGAGGCGTGTCATATATCGAATATGCTAATCGTTCAGATGCGGAGAAAGCAATTGCCCACATGGATAATGGCCAATTGGATGGAAAAATCCTAGTTTGCGTATTTGGTGAGCCTCCGCGTCGTCGATCTCCAACACCTCCACCGGCACGTCGTAGACGTATGTATTCAATGGCCAATGTCTTTCACGTTCACTTCGTAGTATGTGTTGGCTAATCTCATCGCGTCCTTTTTTTTTTTTTGGTAGCATCAGGAAGGTTTTCACCACCGCCATTTAGACGAGGACCTGCCCAACCCGAAAGATATCGCGGCCGCCCAGCCGATAACTATAGAGGACGACGATACTCGCGTTCTCGATCCAGGTCGCCGCCACCCCGACGTGGTCGTCGCTTTTCTTACTCTAGAAGCCGCAGCCCAAGCTACTCTCGTAGTCGATCTCGTTCGTATAGTCGAAGTCGTAGTCGTAGTTATGATTCCAGAAGTCGCAGCCGAAGCTACGATTCTAGAAGCAGAAGCTATTCACGAAGTATATCGCGAGGCAGGCGCTGATAATCAATTATTCACAATCACCAAATAAAATCTCTTGTGCGTCTCACATGTAGCTGGGGTTGCTTTGGAGGAGATGGAACAATCTGCCTTTCAAAAAAAAAAGGAAAAAATTATATTATAAGCTTTTCGGTGCAAAAACATGGTTGCGCTATTATGCTCGCTCTGCTAATTTACGGCTAATCTTACAGTCGGTTCGGTCTACTTGGTGGTAAAAAAGAGCATCGCACAAAAATTGCCGTGGTGCACAGCTGACGACTGGCATTAAAGAGAGCTCACACAGACAAATTCCTAGTGTAACCACGAAATCGGGATCAGCTCTGGTGCGACTGTGGATGTTTCTGATGAGAGAAAAAAAAAATTTCTGTAATATAAATACTTTGGAATTTCCCGCCCTCGAAGCTACTCTTTGTTATAATAACACTCCATCAAGTCTGTTACATCTTGTGTTTCATTGACTGTAAATCACCTGTATTTCTGTGCAAATAACGTCACTATTTAAATCTGTAAAAATAATGGGTTCTCATATCCCTTCAATCGAGCAGGACGCTCCTGAAAAGCAACCTCGTCAAACCATGCCTGTAAATTTCTTTGGCCCTTCCGTTTACTCCAAGTTCTACAAGGCCTTCATTTGTGTCGTAGTCTTGGCTAGCCCCATGTTGGCTTCAGCTCAGCAGTCCAGCATCAACCCCACTAGCTGTGTCACTGGCTTTAACAATGCTACCGACTACTTCCCCGTCAAGGTCCAGGCTGACGACGCCACTCTTTTCAAGATTGAGTACCACAACAGCTACAAGCTGTTGACCAGCATTGACCCTTATGGAATTGCCAATGAGACCTACGCTCTCTATCAATGCGGAACTACTCCTCCTACTGGTCTCACCAATGGAACTAAGCTTGTGCAGGTGCCTGTCTCTAGAGTCGGTGTGCTTGATGTTTCCGTTATTCCTTATCTGGAGGTAAGTAGCGTTGGGAGACTCAAGGTAGAATACTAGCGAGTCTAGAACTAAAATGATGATTATATGGTAGATGCTCGGCGTTGCCAACACCGTCACTGCTGTTGGCGATGACATTTTTGTGTCTTCCCCTTGCTTCCAGAAGCAGGTTGCTACTGGTAGCATCGTTAGTCTTTCCAGTACCAATGCTACTCTTGCCGATCAACAGCTTTCTGGTGTTGATATCGAATTGGGTGCTTATGCTGCTGACTCCACCAACAACAAGTCCATTGCTGTCTATGCTTCCCAAGATCCCGGTACCTTGAACCGTGCTGAATGGCTTGAATTCTTTGCTGCTTTCTTCAACAAGGAACAGGATGCCAACACTCTTACTGCTCAAATCAACAACAACTACAACCGTCTCAAGCAAGCTGCCAGTGGATACAACCCTAAGCCCGTTGTTGCCTGGGCCAACTACCAAGCTCCTTCTCAGTACAACAACAACACCGCCAGCTGGGGTGTCAGCAACGCTACCTACAAGGTTGAACTCACCAAGGATGCCGGTGGTACTGCTTTGGGCTTCGGATCTTACAGCAATGTCACCGCTTTCCAACAAGCCATTAGCAACGTCGACGTCTTGATTGATGAAACCTACTACGCTACCAGCTTGAGTGATGTTCTTACCAACTACAACATCTCTTCTGCCGACCAAAGCAAGTACAAGTTCCTTGCCAACAAGGCTCTTTACCGTGAAGATGGCATCTCTACTTCTGCTGGTGGTCAAGACTGGCTCGAATCAGCTATCAGTATGGCTGATGCCGTTTTGGAGGATATTATCAACGCCGTCAACCCCGCCGCTCCTTCCGGCAACTTCACTCGCCGTTGGTTGCGCAATGTCGCTGCTAATGAGACCATCCGTTATAGCAGCGCCGATAACTGCACTTCCAACGAGAACGATGCTCGTGCTGATGCTGCCACCAACTTCACTAGCACCACTGCCTTTGCTCAACCCACCTATGGCAGCAGCGCCCCCAGCAGCAGCACCACCGCTTCCGGAGCTGCTGCTTCGTTGACTCTTGTCTTCTCCACCGTTATGGCCACCGCCGTTGCCTCCGTCTTTGCCTTGATGTTGTAAACTCGGGAAAACGTACTATTTATTAACACTTGAGGCATCATGACCATAACTTCCGTTAATTTAATAAATATGGATAATGCATTTAATTCGTTCTGTTGCGGACAAGCCAAATGTGGCATGACATTTTCGTTTTCCTTTATTTGCGTTTGTGTTGACTAAAATTTCATGTCTTGCGTCAATTGCATTGCTACAGATTTACAGCACAACATATCGTTTGAAAAGTGAGATCCAACATAATTTACTTTTGTTTCTTTGAGCCAAGTTCAGCGCGCATACCCATGCTTTGAGTGATCGCATCTGGAGCTAAGTTCTGGCCAAGGTCGGATCCTCCTCGTACCTCGTCACCTAGTCCCTTCTCACGCTCTTTCTCGTTGGCAATACGAGCATCTTTGCTGTCGGATTTGGTATTGCGGATATCTAGCTTAGGGTCAGCAATCCCTACTCTGGGTGCTTCGGTGTCGGATTTTGATCTGGCATGACAGATTTAGGTATTGTAAGAAAAGTTGTGAACGGCGGAAGGTTGACTTACACTGGACGGTCCATTTTGTATCGTTGGCAGTTATAAATTTTGACATGTTGGAACCTACTGTTGACTCTTATTTATACTTTAGACAATGATGCCATTTTGATGCCATCGCTTAGCATTTGGTGCTTCGCATTTCATTGTGTGGATATGTCACTATGACTTCTAAAATTGAAACACAGAATGGCAGAAGTTCATATTTTATTGCTCCGAGGCATTTGATGTGCTCTAATGGGACTGACATTTTCGCGACGCCAGCCTGTCTATTTGGAGTGGTTTTAAACATAAGCCTTCGGATTCCATTGCTGATTAATCTAATACACCATGACCGTTTTCTTTGATGACATATTAACAGACGTTGATTATGCTCGGTTCCACTTTCCATTGATCTCACATGCATATCCGACCTGAATATTTTCCCAGTCGACTTGGATAACTAGATGAGAAACCTTATCATGTACTTTTATCCGCTTCTTGCTTGCTTTTGTTCTTTGTGGCCATTTTTCCAGCTTCACCAACACGTTGCTGCTTCTTAGAAGCAGTTTTAAATGGTGAACCAGAGTATTTATGTTTATCCTGTTGACAGGTCGGGGTTAGAACTGAGTCATCCAGTTTTTTTCGCGCGACATCCTCCTCGGTAAATAATCTCTCACCTTTCTGCTCATTATTTTCTTGTTACGAGTTCCTTCTCCACCTTCCCAGAAGGTACCTGCATGATATTTTCCTGGTTCTTGGCCACAAGCACATATTGACTTGGATGATGTGAATTCGCGAGAACAGTACCCACATACATGCATTTTGGCAAGCTTTCATATAGTCATGTTAGAGGCATGCTTTAACAAAACGTTATATATCTAGTGATTAGACCCACCTCTGCTTTATGATCCTCTTTCTCATCATGACATCGATCGCACGGGTGAATTCGATTGCAGCACGAGAACCGGAACCACCGCCTTGACTTACGGTAATGCTCACATGCACCTTGGTGAGGCAACGGTTGGCCCACCACAAGCCCAAGTTCTTGCATTGGTTGCTTCTTTTTTTTCAATTGTAAAACTGCAGGGTCTGCACGGAGTTCTTTCGATCCTGTCCCAGACCCTATTCTCACAAATTGGCTGTTGGGTATACCGATACTCATTTTCGAGTGGCAATTTCGGCATACCGTGGATTTTGGCTGATCATGCACGGTCAATTTGATGGGTATGTGCGGCTCCATACAATTGGTACATGTCGCAATGTAAGTGGAGGGCAATAAGTCGAATGGCGTACAAGATGCCAGCTGTAGCAAGCCCAATGTAATGGAGTTATTGTGCAAGTAGTTCCCCTTGAAAAGAGCGCCTATCAGAGAAGAACACGTTGGGCACGGTAGCCAACGTTGATGTTTCTCAGACCCATTGCTTGCCGAGTCTACGGCAGCTTGATCCGGAACGATGTTTTCAACCTCCACAGTGTTATGACATCGATTGCACTTGACCATAAGAAACATCCGCGCGCATCGCAATAAGGCGACGTTTTCTAGTCGTATATCAGGAAAACGTATTTCTGTTCCCGATCGCACTTGCTGTGGCGTGGCCGAAACACTGGTCGATGCCATTTTTATAGAGATCTCATCGTCGTCGGATTCCTGCTGAGATGCCTCGTCGCTACCGTGATCATCGCCATTGATCTTAAGGGGTGGCGTTTCAGCCTTTGGTACGGGGTCCAATGGCCTCTCGACGTAAATTTTCTTATCTTTCCGTAAGCTTTCATCAAGGCTGTGTTGGACTCCCGACGACTGGACATGGTGAGTAGTTGGAGGAGAGGTATGCGCTGTTGGCACTTGTGTCTTGATGACTGATGGATTAGAAGGCGCTGGGACATCTAATAGCGTATTCAAGTTTGTGTTTAGCCAGTTCAATTGTTGAAACAGGGTAGCAGGAGACACAAAACTGCGGTTAGCGAAACCTTGTTCAACACTCCTGCAAGTTTAGGCAAGTAAGGGTAAGCAAGGAGGCGAGTCGTTTAGGGATTTTAGAAATAAACAAGATGTTCTGTATAACCGTGTTCACAGAACAAATAAATGGGATGAGACATCAATGAACGACGACTTACTGTGCTCTCCAAGTAGCAAGATTAACGGCATTCACGATTTTGATTCGGCAAGGGTTCATTGGATAATGAGCCGGTATTTCCATTTCGATATTGATAGTTCCTCCTAACTCCTCCTTGAAAAGGCAATTGGCGTCTAAGGGTAGCTTGATCAGCAGAACGGTAGTCATGGAATCCCTAGATATGTCGCTCAATTCATTTCGGAATTGGGCTTTTAATTTTCTGATTTCAGCCTCTCGTTTAACTTTCGCATCTTGGATTTCCTCCAATGCATAATGCTTGGCGGGAGGTGAAGTCTTTTCTACAGCAGCAGGCGGAGGAGGCGCCATTGTTGCTGGCGGTTCTTTGGAAACAGTGTTAGAAACGAACCGTATAGTTGGAGCGGGTGGCTCTTGTAACAATGTTTCCATGTTGTTATCCAACCATGCCATTTCTTGAACAAGTGTTCGGTGGTTTGACTGAGCCGCTTGATGTTGCTCAAATCCCTTTTCTAGATTTCTACAATGAGGTTGATTAGACACTTCCTTTCATTTGACATTGCCTGACATGGTCGAGCTTGTTTAAGTTGTTCCGAGATACCTTGCAAACCCCCTGGATATTTCAGGGTTGGTCACTTGGATAGAACATCGTACTGCCGGATATTCAGCTGGTATATGAATATGGAGACTGAGAGCTTCCAGCTCATACGGGAAATCCGGGTCGCTAGGCGTAATCTCTATTTTAACAGACATAGCCTTGTCATTTTTCTCTAATATCATGTAAGAAGCCCGGAATCTTCGCTGCAGCTGTGCTAGCTCTACTGCGCGAGCATCTTCGGTGGACTAATAAGGTTGGGAAGGGCATTACGAATTTAGTTGAAAAGAAAAATGGAAAAGAGGTCATCGGGTGAAGTCAACACATACGCGAGGTGCTGGCCGTCTCGCTACCACACGTCTAGTTGGTTGTGTGGTCTGCATCTCCTTTCATGAACACGCAGAATGGGTCGTCACAAGAAAAAAATGACTGGGTTAAGTGGCCAAATCACCCCCGAGTGACGCTCATCCTCCTTTCTTTCCCCTTCCATTCACTCATTCTCTTTCTCTCTTCCACTTCCCTTTCCTCATGGACGATCTTAACGGGCAAACTGCTCCAGAATCAACAAGAGGTCTATTCGACCCTCCTGCGGACGTTAAGGTAGGCGTTTACTTAGTCTGATTTTTTTTTTGGGCTTAATGGAGCCAATGACCCTTGCAAATTGAGAAATTCTCACATTATGCAAAGAAATTCACCCACTGATTTTCACATATCACTAATCAATATACTTGAAAACAATTAACAGCTACCGTCACGACCTACTAGTACCTCCAACGCGGAGAAACGCCGATCAGCGCTTGTGTTCTCTGCTTTCAGTCATATGAACATTGATAGTACCGGACAGTCGTCACAACCGCGAAGCGAACGGGGTCACCAACGCAGCCGCTCAGCTGTTATTGCTCCTCCCTTTGATGGAAGCCCACGAGCTAGCAATGGAACACTTCATACTTTGGAGGAAGAAGGAGGCAATGTCGACAGGCGGTATAGTCAACAACCGCTTGGAGGCAGACGGTCTACGCGGAGTTTTGCTCAGCAGGAATCCATTGGTTCGGCCGATGGATCGGAGCCTCAATCCGCCATGAGCTCATTGCGAGACATGATCAACACGCTTAAGCAAATGCCTCCGGACGAACCCATGCAAAGAACCGTCTTGAGTCACCGAAAACAGCAATCTATGTCCTCGGTTCCCGCCTATCCTAGGCAAAATCGGCTATCTCAGCACGATACTGTCAACGCCCAAACATTGCGCAACATTGCTGACAACCGACGAAATAGTGCTATCCACAGTAAACATTTGAGCATGTCTGACTTTTCTCGTTTATCGGCCAATGATGATGACGAGGATGACTTTATGTCACGAGCTGACGCTCTTGCTGAAGCCGAGGCAAAATTGATGGGTACATATCAGAAACCAGAAAGGCAACGCGAAAATACGGCAGACGACACAAAAAGTCAACGACGCTCCCGCCAAGTCTACGCTCAGCCTGGCGGTGGTCAATTCAATGTACATGAAAATGAATTTTCTGATCAAAGACACAGTCGCCGTTTGTCTGAACCAAATGCTGTAAAGTATGACCCACGGAGATTTTCGGATATGCCTGAAACGAGTACCTCATACACCAACAATCGAAGTTCAATGAGTAATAAGCGTATGTCGTTGCATATGCCTACTTTGAATGAAATGGGAGAAGACCCCAATCGTCACGGCACGTCGCGCCGCATCAACTTCAACAAGCCTCTCGATCTCGGTCAAGATTCGAACAAAAGACGTTCACGAAACTTTGATGATTGGCGATCCAGTAAGTTAACTTTAAATTAACAGTGATGTGAAACGGTTGCAGCATTGTTTTGGCGTCATCTGATCCAATCATTATTGTTTTTATCTTCTTTTCACAGGCGCTTCACCTATTGTTCCATCTTCACGGAATCCCGCAAATAGAAACTCATTCCATTTAGTGCCGTTTACGCCTACAAAAGTCAACTTTACTCGTGATGATGCTAACCCGCATCAACGACGCCCGTTGTTCACTGCGCATCTGCCTTTTTCAGCTTTGACCCCTCTACTCAAGTCTAGACAACTCGTCCGTGGCAGTTTGAGAGTGAACAAGCGCAACCGTTCCGATGCATATGTTACAACGGACGATTTGGATGCCGATGTGTATATTTGTGGCTCACGCGATCGAAATCGTGCTTTGGATGGCGATGTTGTGGCTATCAAGTTAGTGGATGTTGACCGCGTCTTACGAGAGAAAAAAGAAAAAGAAGAAGCCAAGCTAATTCGTAATGGTGGTCAACCACGAGTTCGAAAGCCTGATGAAGAAGACGACAATGAGATTGTCTTCGGCGGTGATGAAGATATTGATAAAGTCAAGCCCAAGTACTGTGGTATCGTCGTAGCTATTCTCGAGCGCGCGCAGAATCAAGTATTCTCAGGGTAAGTGAGATTTGAGCTGAGTTGCTTTGCGTCGTTGCATCGGCATTATAAAAATTGACCCTCCTCGTTAGCATTCTCACTCTGATGAGACCCAATAACAAGCGTGCACAAGAAGAGAAGGCCGCAGAGGAAGCTCGTAGAATGAGCGGGGATGGTCAATTTGAACACAAGGAAACTCCTAGAATCGTATGGTTTAAGCCTAGTGACAAGCGTGTTCCTCTCATTGCCATTCCTATTGAACAAGTTCCCGAAAATTTTGTTACCGACAGCGAAGGCTATCAACAAAAACTCTTTGTGGTAAGTTATCTCATGGCGACTTTTATTATGATGAGCAGACGAGATATAAATACCCTTTATTTGAAATCAGGGGTCCATCAAGCGATGGCCAATCACGTCTTTGCATCCCTTCGGTGTACTCGAACGGGAAATTGGTCTTGTTAGCGACATTACTGTTCAGACCCAAGCATTACTGGCAGACAACAATGTTACGGATTCAGATTTCAGTGAAGCTGTGATGAACTGTCTTCCGGAATTGCCTTGGACACCAGAAGACTCCGATCTTGAGGACAGAAGAGAATTCAAGGATGTTCGCGCCTTCACCGTTGAAGAGCAGAAGCAAGGTATGAACATTGTTACACGAAGTGTAAATCGCAACGGGGGGGAGGTCTTAAGTAGTAACCCAATTTAACAATTTATCTTTCACCAGCTGATATCTTGGATCGTGCTCTATCTATCATCAAAGTTGGAGATGACACCTATGAAATCGGTCTTCATACGGCTGATGTTGCTCACTTTATCAAGCCACACTCACCATTGGATAAGGAAGCCAGAGCCAGAGCCACTGTGGTTGAGGTTGTAAATAAAACCGTGCCAATGCTTCCCGCAGAATTGACAAGCCAAGTCACCAACCTTGTAGCTGGAAAGGACAGGTAAGAGATTGTCGTTGACATACACACATGATGTTACTTAATACAACGCATTGACATACATCGAATTTAGATTGGCTTTCTCTGTTGTCTGGACTATGAATTCCGCCGGCAAAGTGTTGGGAACATGGATTGGAAAGAGTGTCATCAACGCGGCTGCTAACTTGAGCCTTGATGATATTCAACAGGTCGTTCAAGGGTCCCACCTGTCTCAGACAGACGAAACGTCCGAAGAAGAGTTACTTGCGTTGGAACAAGATATTCAACTCTTGCATAAAATCGCACAACTTGTGCGGGAATCTCGCTCCACGAAAGGCATCTTTACAGCGGAAAAGGAACACCTCAATATCAATTTGAAAGACAATCTTCCTGCATCTATCGATATCACTGAACCACATCCCATGGTAGAATTGGTCAATGAATTTGAAGTAATGGCCAACATTCTGGTGGCACAAAAGATTTCAAGCAATTTCCCTGAACAAGCTTTACTTCGTCGCCAAGGTGGTCCTCACCAGAGAAAGATGGATGAACTTTACGAGTATGCTGAATCGTTAGGTTATCCTTTGAACGATGAATCACCTGGTGCACTGCAATCATCCCTCGATGAGATTGAAGATCTTGAAATTCGACACGGTCTTACTGCATTGGTGCTCAAGACACTGCAGCCACCAAAATATTTCTGCACTGGTGTTTTCGACATTATCAAGTATGCTCACTTTTCTCTCAATACACCATTGTATACACACTTTACAAAACCATCACATCGATATGCCGACATCATCATTCATCGTCAAATGGAAGCTACTCTAGCTGGTGAAAAACGTTTCTATATCGATCGCGATACTATTCAAACCCTTTCACAGCATTGCAACGTGAAACAAGAAGCTGCACGCTGGGCCAAATATCAAAGTGGTCAACTTTTCCTGTCACGATATCTGCAAGGTGTCATGAAGCGACAGGGTACATCAGCGGTCACTCACGAAGCTCTGGTTGTGGCCGTCTTCGATCATGCATTTGACGTTGTGCTGCCTGAATATGCACTAGAACGCCGTATTCATCTGGATAATCTCCCCATCGAAGCCCACAAATTGGATAGTGAGGGAGGAACCCTGACCCTGGCGTGGAAGAAAGGTGTTCGTACCGAAGGACACGCCGCTGTCCGTCAAAGAGAATGCTCTTCCGATGATGACGATAATACATCTCTTGTTGATCTTAACTATAACGATGTGGACCCCGATTTGGCTGACACTGTACATAAACTTGGAGTAAACTTATCGGACCGTCGAACCAGCATTAATGGACACAGGAAACGAATGTCCGTTGTACTTTCAACAGAGAGCGTCTATGATGATCAGAAATGTACACAGACCATCAAGGCACTCGACAAAATCAAAGTTGTTATCATGGTTGAAGGGGACCGTACACCACCTGTGATCAAGCTCCTTGCTGCCAATAATTTTGCTTAAGAGTAAATCTGCTTCCTGATACCGACGAACATTGACACAAAAATTTAAAAAAAAAAAAAATTAGCCTGATGGATTGATGGCAGAGAAAAAAAAAACCCAAAAACCTCAAAAAAAAAAGAAAACGTAGCAACCAAAACAAAAAAGAGAGGCTTTAAACCCTCTTACATTTATTCAACTTGCACCCAAACTTTCTCTTCATTATTACGTTTTTCCAACCTTTTAACCACTTTTTTTTTTTCTTAATGGCTGCGTATCAGCATGCAGACCTTATAGTCATTTTCCCTTTATAACGTTTACCTTTGTCTTACATAACAGCGTTGCTTCTTGAGACGATTGTGCATATCTCCTTTTTTTCTTCATATCTCAAATTGACATTCTTCTATACATTCATTTTTTCATCTTCGTTTGTCTATTGTTTTGTTTCCTACATCTTTTATCGCAGTTTACTTAAAGACATTGAAAAAATACATGCCAAGCCAAGATTGTTCTCTGTATTAAATATGCTACACACTTATCTATGAGATGATTGCCTAATTACGTTGTCGTTATCACCGGCTCAATGTATCTTTCCTCCTGTCACATATGGATGAAAAAGTCGTGATGCAAGGCCATTGGTAATGTGTCTCATCACATCGTGACTGCCTAGAGCGTCAAATTTTTGACTGACCCCTTGCCTTGCGTCAAGGCGTCGTTTTTTTTTCTGCCGGAATTATCCTTATGGCTGATGAACAACGCAGAAACGCCAATGCTAACAGAGTAAGAGGTCCCACTTCTGCCCTTACAAGCTTCCTTCGAGTAAGTATCTCGTTTCAATCCCACTATCCCATAGCCTTTTACTTATCTTCATGTCTCAGGAACATGGGATCTCCGTCCGCAATCGCCGCTTTGACAGACCAAGAAACGCTAATGGCGCAGCAAATGATGATGAACCTGACGAAAATGCAGCAACCACGGACGACGCATCCAATACCGAAACTACAACGACAACAGTACAACAGACTACAGAAGATACAACTGTGAATATACTATATACCCCGACTGTTGCGCAGCAAACTACCGCAAGTGCCACTCGGTCTTCCCGATCGAGAGCCACCAAAGCTGCAAAAGCAGTCAAGGCTGCAAAAGGCACTAAAAGGAAGAAGAGAAAAGACGATGAGGATGATGAGGATGACTATATCGATAGTGATGAAGATTTCTTACCTTTAGCCTCGTCCTCGACACCACGAGCGGGGTTCAAGGCTCGAGCTGGCAGAACCCGAGTGGAGTTCTGTTCTCAGTGCAAATGCCGTTTTTCCAAGCTGGTCCTCCCTGGTATGGAGGAATCATCTTCTTCTGCTCCACTATTATGTCCATCCTGCGAAAAAGGAGAAACAAAGAAACCTGAACCTAAGAAAAGAAGACGCATTGCTCGTAATGGAGTTGTCAAAAAGATCGGTAGCAATGGTTACTTTGAAGTTGCTTCTCTTCAAGATATTTCCATCAGAGTGAGTTATTCATTGTCATATTGGATACATCGCGATAAACTCTACATGCTAAAGTATTCCCTTTCTATCCCATTTAGTTAATAGCAAAATACATCGAAGATGTGGAAGCTCTAGGCGATATTGGCACTATCAATATGGACAAAATATGCAAAATCATCTCGAAAAACCGTAAACTTTCCAACGAAACTGCAAGACTTTTCTTAAACCCTATGGAAACAGAGCTATCGATGTATGATTGCACAAGTAAGTAAAAGGTTAACTTTTATTTTGCCAAATTTCGCTTCAAAACTAAGGTTATTCTTATCTTGTGCAGACATGACTGATGATGGTTTTATCAACATTGCACAATTCTGTCATCGTCTCGAACGCTTGAAACTAATTTATTGCGGTCGCATGACGGATGGTACTATCTCGACCTATGCTACTCACCTACAACATCTCAAATCCATCGAATTGGATGGCCCCTTCCTTGTTACTAATACAGCTTGGAAGAACTTCATCACGTCCGTTGGTCCTCGTTTGGAATCCTTCGCCCTGTGTGAAACGCCACGCTTCGACTTGGATTGCCTCAAGGTCCTGGTTGAAAACTGCCCTAACCTGAAACAGCTTCGTCTATCCAGAATCGTTCCACTTCAAGATGAATGGTTACCCGTTATTGGAAAACTGAAACATTTGCAAACTCTTGAGATTAGCTGGCCATCGCCTAGCCAAACTATTTCAACTTCTTCCATGTGTGAACTCATCAAGGCCGTCGGCGCGAATTTACGAGAGCTCACCCTACAATGCTGTGTGCGTCTCACTGATGAGGTGTTGACTGAAGCTATTCTACCCACTTGTAGCAAGTTGACGACCTTGAACCTAAGCGAGTGTGACGGGTTCACATCTGATGGAATCAAGGCAGTATTCGATGGCTGGGTTGAACAAAAGTCAAACCTCGGCTTGATTGATCTCAATTTAACAAGGTGTACCAAACTGAACGACGAAGCAATTGAAAGTGTCCTGCGACATTCTCGTAAAACATTATCAGCGTTTAGCATCAATAGCTTGGACGAGGTTTCAAGTAGAGCTCTGGAGGCCATCGCAGGTGAAGGTGATGGCGCATCTCCGTGCTTGGCCCTTCGGTTCTTTGATTGTGGATTTGTGCGTGCCTTGGACGATATTGTCATGGACAAGCTGGTCAAGAGCTGCAATGCTTTGGAGCACCTTAAGGTATGGGGTTGCCATAAGCTGACTGAATGTGTTCCAATCAGACCAGGTCTACGAGTCGAAGGTCGTGAAAGTGACACTAGCTAAACATCAACATAAGTAATCATTGCTGTCTGGTTCTTTATTTCTTAATAAAACTGCAATTCCAACTGATATTCCCAAAAATTTTCATTTTTCTGAATGAATTCATACTGTGCACCACATGCTACCATCAGAGCAAGCCAAGTCTCTATAGAAGAGAAGCAAATGTTCAAAGAGATTTTTGATGCCTTTGCTGGAAATCAAAGCGGGAATCTGACATCTGCGCAAGTCAAGGTTTGTTATTGAATTCACCGCACTCACAACTGCCAATCACTGAATCCGTCAACAGGAGGCAGTACAAACGATTGCCCCATATGCTCCTTCGTACATGGTATCAAGGCTAGAGAGCGATTACGGATCAAGCTTGACGTGGCCTGACTTTGAGCGATTCAGTAAGCTATTGGCCATATCAACCCCTCCAGCAGACTATAGCCTAATCATGTATTTTGCTGAAAGTGACGCGAGTGCTTTTAGAAATGAATCCTATGGACGAAATCAAGCGCGTCTTTGAGCTGATCGATAGCGATCATACCGGCTCCATCAATGCACAGCAGCTGCAGAAGGTAATGGAAGCTACTGGAGAGCATCCACCTCTGTCCGAAGCAGAAGCCATGATCCACGAAGCAGCAAATACCCATTCAGACAAAGGTACGTCTATAGTCGCTGTTGAGGGCGTTTTTGAACAAACATTAATGGTTGGATTTGCGCAGTGACCTTGAACGAACTGATAACTTTCTTGACATCGTCGGATGAGGACTAGAAATTTCGATATAGAATACTCCCTACCCTTAGTATATTATGTACTTTTTGTTAAGCGAAATAGCTAATCTGTAAATTAAAAAGTTTTGGTTTTATCATATGAACTTGGAATCTCACGAGAAGTTCACTCGTCTGCATGATAATACAATAAGTCGTAGAATTTTCAAAAACGACGACATTATTCTGCTCATAGTTAAAAGAAAAAAAAAAATTACTAGCTTGCTGTGCTCAGCAAAAATGAAGCTACCAGGGGTCGAACCTGGAATCTCTTGATTCGTAGTCAAGCGCCTTGTCCATTGGGCCATAGCTCCCTTACTTTTAAAGTTTGAAATTATTTTATATCTATAATAAAAACTATAAAGATACCTTACAAATATAACTCATGCGCAAAGGAAGCTGCCTGTATTTCATCAAACATATACTTACTTACTTGACCTTGAATTAAGTCTACTACAAGTTATATTTGTGTGCCATTATTTATGCGGACTAATTGCTAGAAGACCTAAATATTTGAACGAAAGGCTGTAGTTGTTGTAAGACCACGGCCATGTCCTGCCACTGCTGCAAAATCTACAGCAGTCCTATTTCTTTTTTCTCACTCCTATCTCATATTTTAATTTACAACTTTTAATTGAAATCTTTACTAAGACCATAACCATTGATACGGCAGTTCAGTATTATGAAGGTCAGCGAACATATCATGCCATTACACATCGCCCTCACCGATATTGTCAGTCAAGAATGGACAAATACGTTTCACGCCTCTCTCATATTCTTGTAATTTTTGACTGAAGCTCTATTTTATTGCTTATGTTTGTCGCTTATCTTGGTTTTGTAACGCATATACCCAATTTTCTGTAGCTACAATCGGTACGCTCACCGGATACAAACCAAGCGGGAAATCGATTCATTCTAGATTCAACTCAGCTATTCATACCAAACATTGCCCGCCACGTCTTTTTATTTGTCAGCATAAACCAATGAAATTCCTGATTTGCATGACAATGTAGAATATACTGAATGCTAGAGCGTACCAGCTTCATGAGATATTCTCTTGGCGTTTTGCATTGAAGATGTTAGGTGCTTAGTACTAGCAAAGACGATGACAACAGAAGCCATAGCGGTAGTGGTAGGCGTTTCAATGATGTTTTGAACTGGATCATTTCATGTGTATCGTTGCTTGATCTATATATTTCTTTTGGACGACTTATGACCATCTTGAAGGTATAAGCATGCCAATTATTTTCTCAAGTTAAGCTCTTGTCATGAGTCATCATTGATACATTTCGTGGTCTTCTCCAGTATACTCTTATACGGGAACTGCCCACAAGTGTCCTCGTTACCATTGCATATACGCCCCACACACCAGATAATGATTCTATAACCTAGAATGATATTATAGAATGATCTTAAATAGAAGCATGTTTATGCTTGATATTGAAGTAATGAGATAAGGCTTTCATATCGATCGGACATCAGCATACAATATCAGAAGACAGTACGGTGATCCGGAGTAAAAGAGAATGTCTCGTGGCGGAGAACAGTTCAGCAGCGGATGAACTATTTTAGGAATAACAACCATCGAAACTGGGCCAGCTCCATCGTTTTGTTAATTATACAAGTTCCAGGAAATCCAGAGCAGGAAATCACGGGCAAGACAACTTCATCAGCAATGTTGTATGCTATGATTTGTCAGCTAGCTTATGAGGAATGATCTCAGTTTCATGTCATCTATCACCCTAGATTTGATGACCGGACTCTCAGTATGTCAATATTGAACACAATGTCATCTTTGTTCTTGAAGGAGGTCTCAAATTTCAAGACATGCTTCGTTTTATCTAGGTCATGGGCAAACAGACATACCATCAGGACTTTGATCGATAGCGGTAATACCCCCTCTAAGCCAATACCAGATTGTTCTGCTGATCTATTATCAGTTTTACCGACCCAACCATCTGAATGGATCCATCGCAACGTTTACTATGACTGAGCTGAAATAGAAGATACTGCGTGACATCTGGCAATGAAAGAAAATGTACCTAGGCGGACCTTTTCTTAGACGAGTATTCGTAAGCAAAATAGAATTGATGTGTTTCGAACTGATAGATGCTTCATTTCATCCATCCGTGTCAACTTGCAAGTCGTGAACGCAAATACTGCTTGAAACTACATGTCATCGACCTTGGGTTACCAGCCTGCTTATTAATAATGTATGTAAGACCAGCTCGTTCTTAAGGACATAATCGAGTACCAAAGAACGGTAAGCTGCTGAATAAATCGAGATAATGGCATAAGAGCTTCCTCCCCCCCTCCCAAAGTGCAATATGGTAGTGCTCTCTTTCAAAGTTGACAATAACTGCGATTAGCTACCCCCGCACTTGGAAAATTCAGATTAGGATTACCGAGTGTGGAGCCTGGAACATGTTTCAAACTCAATGAAAGTAAGTTTGTCAGGCCATGGAGATTTACAAATGTGAAGAATTAACCATTTCGCAATGTTAGATTCTGGGCAGCTATTTCCTTGAAGCAGTCTACATTTGGCAACGTTGACGGTAACATCACCCAAGCCCATAAATTTCTTTATCAATCCGCAGCGGATATATTTGCGGAGCGCCATCTGCAACTTCTGGAATTGACTATCAGATTTTTGGTTTAAAACACCGAGAAAACGATCCGTGCGTACCAGGTTTTGAAAAGTATCTAATTATCATCGTATGCAGCACTGGAATGATTGTAGTGCGTGTAGTTTTTGATACTTGTACTCAATTACCATCAGCGTCTTTTCGTATTCTGAGGTGCTGGAGTGACGGTGTAAAATAAGTGGGGGAAGTGTTTGCTTATGTAAAGAAGAGCGTCTACATTATGTAACCATTCCGACACTTGGGTTATATAACCTATTGCCAATATCTTTTATTGTTTTTGTGCATTTTGACTCATCACCTCTTTATAGAGCATCGAAGCATTTTCGAATTACTTTGGGGGTTGCAATTCCAGTGGAACAGTGGCGTGCCTGTGTGCTGCCTAGGGAATTTCCCTATCGATCACCAAAAAGGCAATTCCGCCTGAATGGGCGGGTTAGAGGCGGGGCAAAGTGAGGCCAAGGCAAACCGCGGTGACGAGAAGTAGGCCGAAGGGAGTTTTAAAAGCCCATTTACCACAAGTATATGCTTGAAGCAATAGACTTGTATCAGCTTAGCATCGTCTAAAGCATGGGTTGCGTTTGATGTGTACAGTTGTAAGAGCGTATAACAGTGGAATTGGCAATGGTAGGATTGAGTAAATGTTTGGTTCTGTCATCGACCCCCAGAAAGCAAGAGGATTTCCCAGAAAAAAAAAGGTGTTTAAAGATTGACCGGCGACTTACAAAAAGTTACCAGATCCCATCCCCGCAGAACCGACCTCCCCCCATGAAGCCTTCGCCGTTTTTGGAATAACCGTTACAGAATGCGGTTTCCCTGTGTGATCCAGGATATTCCGCTGCTTTCGACTTTATCCCTTCCCAGTACTTTTTCCCCGCACTGTCCCGCGGTAGGCTTATATAATGGGCCACTTTATCAGTTTCCAAAAAATAAATAAATTACCTCTTGCCATCATTTTACTCTTCCTTTTCTCTTCTTAACATACCTCCCACCCTTTTCTGCCTTTTCCCCAGAAAAGTCCATATTTGACACGCCTTCGCTCTAACACATACCTTGGGTATCTGTAAATTATTCGCAAACGCTTCCCTTTCCTCTGGGACATGCCTGATAGCCCTACTGAGTACGACCACTTGAATCAAAAGTCAACTTTAACTCCACAAACATCTCCAGGTGTCATATCGACCAATCCAAATAGCTACTTTGATCAATTTTATATCTCTTCGAACGAAGGACCTTTTATTCACACACCAAGTCAAGAACTGATGCCAGTACACACAGCAGGATATCAGAGTGCAGCTATTCCACAAAGCGCATACTCCTTCTCAATGCCCACGAATGCTACTGCAACAGTAGCCGGCTTTGATTTACAGGACGTTATACATCAGTTCAGAACACAGCCCGAGCTATTACAGTTGATTCTTAACAGTAAAGTCGAGGAAGACAGACGAAGAGCGGAAGAAGCTAAGCTACGAGGCAAGGAAATTGATTTCTACCTTCAACGCAAGCAGCAAGAATCCACCGTTTTTGAAAAACAGTCGCCAAAGACCGGTGAAGTACTTGCGCCAATACACATCAATCGCCGCGATGTCCCAGACGAACCATCGCAAACAACCAGCTATCATAGCGATTCTTACTCGAAAAGTCACCGAACGCTTGCCATGAGTACTTCACGATCTCAAGGATTCATATCTGGTGTTCTGGCTCAGCCATCTAGCCCACGACGACACAGTGCCTTTGAAGCGCTTCAATCAACAAGTCCAGACAGGCGCATGGGAACCATGAATGCGTCGGAGGAAGATCATTACGTTCGACACAGGTCATCCCATGAGAACAGGTGCGTACTACTGTTACTTTGTGATACACTTGGCACGTTTTTGCCCAAGGGTACCATCCGCGTGGTGGTTTACCCATTGTACACCATGTTCCCCCGCCAAGTCGGGATTGCACAAACAATGCCACAAACACCCAACTAACTTTTTTTATTTATTTTGGTTTTTCTTAGTCCACGACAATCCTCCAACAGCCCACGCTCACCAGACTTGGATTTTATTATGGATGATGATACCAACATGTCGAATGGACATGGTCATATGGAAAAGAAGCGACGAAAGAGACGGGAAATGCAGGCAGTAACCACTATCGTCGAAACTCGAGATCCATATAATGATGAGTACATGTGGAAGAATAACGGGAATACACTTCACAAAAAAACTGGACAAAAAAGCACGTATTACAAGTGTTCTAATAGTAACAAGGTAAAGTTTCTAGGTCTTCCGGCGAACACAGACGAAATGACAGAGTAACTAATTTTAATTTTTTCAGGGCTGTCCAGTGAACAAAACCGTCACTTTACGAGAAAACGATACTTACCTCATCAAATACCGTGGTGAACATCTACCAGAATGCAATCGAGTGAAGCGGATTGTCGACATATAAGAAACCTTGTATTCCCTGTACCCCATATTTTTTTACTTTCTCAACCACGCGACGATGGCTTTTGCCACGTGTAGTTGTTACTTTGCAAGATTCCGTGAATTACTGCAGATATCCTACTTTTTTTACTTCTGTATACCCACTTTTCTATATTTGTACAATACAATTGAGGTCTTTTTCTCCATATCTTGCTCAAAAGGAAACGGCCACATGGCCAACGTGTCCGCATGGAAAAGCCAAAGTCGGCGTGTAACGTCAAGTGGCCTGGGTCATTGCACAAGTTTGCAAACCGCATCATTGCAGATCCCCCATAATTTCAGCAAATCTCTTGTCGTAATGGACTGGGGAAATGAGTCTCAGAGTTTTCGTGATGGAATGAGATGATGGTATGGAAAAACACGGGGAGGAAAATGATTTTCTTGAGCGGATCCACTTCTTTGGATTTTCCCAGTGTGAAACAGTGATGCATCCATGATTTCTAAATGAAGATAGGAAACCTGTGGTTAGTTGAATGAGATGAAAGAGTTTGAAACTTTGCCGCGTGGCAAGAAACGTGGTTTTCGTGCTGCCTTACATCTCGGAAAGATGTTGGCCACGCGAGCTTTTGTGGCCCAAAAGTTTCCTAAACCGCACCCAACCCACGCGGTCCTGTGGAGGACAGCGTCAGGTGAGGTGGGGGAGGAAGGAAGGAAAGCATTGGCCATTCCGCGGAAATACATGCTTTTTGCGTAGATATCCGGGTTATGCTGGAAAGGTATGGGTCCATTTTTGTGTCCACTCAGTCATGAAACCCCCACTCAAAGTTAACTCCACGTGGGTTTAACAATTGTGACAACTTGTATTGGCGTTCTCGCGGAAACGGTTGGAGATCTTTCTTATCTGCGCGCCTTTGTTCACACTGTAGTCTCAGTACCAAGAGTCGTAATCGTCTTGTATTTTAAAGAAAAAGACAAGAGAAAAGAAATAGGCTTAGTGTTAACCACAAAATTTTGTCTGATGCGGTGCACGAGAAGTTGATGAAAATGAAAACTTTTGAAACATGGTAAGCTGCTGTAGGAAAACCTCAGCTCAGGCCACACCTACGACAAAAATGAAATGCTTATTTATTTGCTTGTTTAGTTATATCAGGAGATTGTTTGGAAGGTCTCCTTGCAAAAAGAGATAATAACAAAACTTTTATATGGTTCATGAGATCATGATATATACTGTGTCCCTGGAAGACGTGAAGGCTCTTTGTGAGTTACTATTTGCTTTATATTGGGTTGTGGATGGAATACTGTATGTGATTCACTGCTACTGCTATGAGTTTTGATTTCATGATAATAATCAACTATTGTTTTGGGCTAGGGGAAAGGGATAGGGTTAGTGCTGGCAGAAACGTGAGTGGTCACGGGATCGACCTAGCCGATCCAGTTAAAGAGAACCGCCGTAAACTATTCGTCCACTTCCGTGATCTCTAACATAGAAATCTGATAATAACGTATGCTTATTTAGTTATACAAAGAGATAAATCAACAACAGTTAATAAGTAGTGTGAAATTTACTGACGGGAGAAGGGATGCTTGGAAGTTTACGGCCCCTCTTAAAAAATAAATGTTTAGTCAGGAATAAATACCGCAGCGTTCTGAGCTTCTGTTTCGAAAAGATTCCAATTGGCGAAAACGAAAAGCGTAAAGTTGGGTTAGAATTACAGGTAGAGTATTTTGTCTCCAAGTTTTTAGTAATTTTGACGAAGACGGGTTGCCCGATTGTAATTTAAGTATCATTGAAAGGAAAACTTATATGACTGGTAGACGAGGTTTCTTCATCCACTGTACTTACAAGCAGTGTAGATTCAGACCCAATATAACGCATAACAAGCTACCTTTTTTTTTTTTATCTCTCCACTATGAACACTAACAAGTATCACCAAGTAGGCAAGTCAAGTAGAAGTCGCCCTTCAAATTTTTAAGATAAACATTGCCATTCTGAAAGCTCGCAGCGATCCAATCGACAAATTCTGAGTGATGACGTAAACAACTTGGCACTCACCCTCCTAGCCCAATTTCCTGAAGTTGGAAAAGCCGAGAAATCTGTAAAAAAAGCTTTTTTAACGGTGAATCCTTCACATCATCGACTGAAAGTTTGGTAGGTTGCCTCAACTTTTGTTACTTTAGTGGATTACCAAAAATATATTTGGCTTATATTTCCTTCTGTTGTCATAACTATTAGGTCTTACCTTCTTTCATAGTCGAACACAAAAGTTACTCTCGCAGCGCAATTCTTGTGGGAATCACTCACATTTACAAACCCTTTCGACCCACTTTTTATACATTTACAACCTTTATTGTATAGTCAATAGTAAGAGACTAACAAGATATCTATTGGTATGTCGAGCAAAAGCTTTTAGCTTGGTCATCCTTGCCGATGGCTCGATTAATTCGGAACGCCCATTTCATTACTAACCCAGATTCTCTAGGTCGTTCTTATATACTATATCAGCATTAGTTATACTTCAAGCTAGGATAAGAATTTGAAGTATCATTTTCAGAAACTATCAGTCAACAAGTTGTCCATGGTACCAGTTTTGCAGAAAGGTGATCTTCCCATCGACAATACGACTTCTTACCCACCACAAATATATCCACAACAAATCGAAGATATAAATAACTCAAAGTACCTTCATGAACATCGACCCAAGGAATTAATTCCCAAAGTGTTTCATAAACGACTTGAATCTGGACATGACATAGCTCTCAACAACATGGGAATGCAAAGTAGAGATAAATCGACACACGCCTTTCATCAGAAAGAGAAGATATCAGGTCAGATTTCCGAACATGGACCCTCTAGGAATCGTTTACGACATGAAAAGATTTTCGCCAGACAATCAAGGCTGCCAGATGACACTGATGATGATGAAGAAGAAGACTATGCTCATCGTAGTTCAACAACTTCGAATGACGGTCATAGCCAAGATGGTGGCAGCGATAGCGGACCAATCGATTTTTCCTTGTTTACTCGTAACAGTCAAGATAAAGACGATGGGAAAAAGCATAAAAACAAAAATCAGAATGCTCCTCGCCGCCAGCCAAAGTTCAAGCACCTCTATGCATCCAGTGACGATTCTGATGCATCTGAGAATTCTGACGCTGTCATGTCGGCTGCGCAAAAATCATCAAATGACAAATCTATAGAGCTTAACGGTCAAAGAAATGCTGAAATAGGATCAGACAGTAATACTACTTCAACTCGACCATCCAATAGTCAGAAGCGACGGCCTGGTCGACCACGTAAAGAAGACCCTAGTGTCATTAGATCTAAATTAGGTGATAACTCTGATACAGATGATTCGATCTCTAGCCGGCGTCGTGAACGACAAACAACCTCTGATTCGACTGCCTCAAAGAACAAGAGCGGTGCGACGGACCCTAATCGCACTGATAAAGCTGGACGAACTCGACTATTTTCCTGCACGGGAACCGGCAATCTAGAACGAGTGAAAGAACTGATCCAAAAGGGAGCGTATGTCAACTGGCGTGATAATGCTGGGTGGACACCATTGCACGAAGCAGCACTGAAAGGCCAAGCTGAAGTAGCTCAATACCTCCTTTCATGTGGTGCCGAGGTGAATGCTCAAGGATTCGGTAACGACACTCCACTGCATGATGCCTGTTCCAACGGGTGCAGTGAATGCGTTCAAATTCTGGTCGACCATGGTGCTAATATCAACATTCAAAACTCTGATGGTCAACGGCCCATTGATGTATGCGAAGATGAAGATTGTCTTGATATTCTTAACAAGAAGCAGAAGCAAATAGACCGATTGGCTACTCGCGACAAAGCAGGACGTACTAGTCTTCACCGAGCTTGCATAGCTGGCCATTTTGACGAGGCGCTTACTCTGATGAAGAGCGGCTCTGATGTCAATGCAAAAGATAATGCTTCTTGGACACCATTGCACGAAGCATCTCTGAACGGATACTTGGACATTGTGAAAGCACTTTGCGAGCATGGAGCTGATATCAACCCCATGGGATACGATGGATCAACGCCTTTACACGAAGCCAGCGAAAACGGTCATAGCAAAATTGTTCGATACCTTTTGGAAATGAATGCCGATAAGAACATACAAAATAAGAAGGGCCAAACTGCAGTTCAAGTTTGCGATGATAAATCTATAGAAGATCTCTTTTCCACTGATATCAAGTCACACCATACTGCACCTATGGAAGAAACTATTAAACGCTCAGCATCTCATACATCTCTTGTCGAACCAGATAAGAAGGCATTGACAGCCAAGAAGACTCTGTCTCGCGAAGAAAAGAAGATTCAGGCCTTGATGCAAACCTTCCAAAAGATGGAAAAGAGACAGGCAAAGAAGACTAAGAGACGACAACATCGACCGCACGATGAGGACGACGAGGACGAGGAAGAAGAGGAAGAAGAAGAGTCGACTAGTGCGCCGCCAAAAGAATCCGAACAGTTGCAACGAACTAAACGTTTAGTACGTGGCCGCCCAAGGTCAAATTCACTTTCACAAAGTAGAGAAGCGTCTGAAGAAGCGGCACAGCCCAGAAAACCAGTTATGAAATTGGATCCTAAGCGTAAGGACACAGCAGGAAGAACTCATTTACACAAATGGGCCGTTCGAGGCGATGCCAGCACTGTTCGCGAATTATTAGAGGCTGGTGCTAATTCAAACGAAAGAGACCATGCTGGATGGACGCCACTGCATGAAGCTGCGTTAAGAGGACGCCTGGAAGTTCTCAAGCTACTCTTGCAACATGGTGCTGATCCCAATGCATTGGGTGCCGACCAAGATACCCCGCTTCATGATGCTGTGGAAAACGGACATGGTGATGTTGTTCGTGTACTACTGGAACATGGAGCAAATGTCTATGCTCGAAATGCTGCCGACCTAGACTCTTTACAGATTGCAAGAGATAACGCAGATGATGACATGATTGCTATCCTGAAGTCTGCTCAAAAGCTCAATCCCGTCGCTCCGCCTGTTCGTCAACCCAAGCCGGAACCTGTATCGGAGCAAGATGATACCACTCTCAAAGTATCGAAATCGGTTGTTTCTGGTACGTTGCCGTCGTTCTATTCAGTCACTGTCAGCTTGTTGCACTACTAATTCACTTTCTATTAGACCTTGCTGTATCGGTCAAGAAAATGTCTGATCACTCTGACAATATGTTGGAGATGGACCAAGGCACCAACGGAAAAACGGTCAAGAAGCGTCGACTTGTGTCTGCTGCAGAGTATCATTCCAGATCAGGATCTCAGGAGCGCAAAAAATCCGAAGACAAAATGAACGATTTGCCTCACGCACCGAAGCCAAAGGCAGAGCGAAAGCTACCTCAAGCTTTAGCAGGTGGATTTGATATCTTTAATATTTCTCCAATTCCGCAGCGCAAACCTTTGCCACCGACTATCAAGACCTCACCTGTGCCAAAGAAACAGTCAGCTGAAAGCCCCAGTGAGGCAATGGATTTGAAAAAGGTCAAGAAGGAAATAGAAGAAGTTACCATACCTATGCCCAAGAAGAAGTTTTGGCCATCACTATCTCATGCTATACAATATCTGCCGTTGTACACTGTTCAACTTCAAGAGATTGGATCGCCCAATGAAGAGCGAGCTTTGTATGTGGTTGATCTCCAAGTACGGCTACTTTTAGGCAGCAACAATTTATTTCAACAATACCCTCAGCTTGAAAGACGTTTGGTCACGGCACGAGAAAAGGAGCGTCTATGGTCGCCTTTAGCATTCATGGTATCTGAGAAATGCGCTCAAGCCGTCAAGGCTGGTCATACTGGCAAAGACAAGGAAGATTTCAACATCAAGGTGGAGAAAGGCAGTGCGATTGATATTGCACGAACTAAAGAGCAAGAAAAACAACGGTTCTTACAAACGGAGCTATACTTTATTAGACTCGAGCAAACGATCTCCATCATCAAAAGTGATTACTCTCATCTTAGCAATAATTTGATCACAATTACTTTGGATATCGGGTATTCACCTAACCGTGAACTATCTCATGACAAGCTTACATATCCATCTACTATACCAAATGAAGCAGACGAACCTACTTCAAAATCTGTCAAATCGAACTCTACCCTTCCAACGTCTACCAACATACCACAACATGCTTCTACTCCATTGCCCATCAAGCGACCAGCCTATGGCCTTCCTGCCAAGTTTGCTATGAAGATGCAAAAGTGTGGGCTGGGTCACAAGCGCGATGTGTCAAAGTAGTTCAGAAGTCTCCTCAAATCTCCTTTTTCCTCCCTCCTTCGTCAAATGTACATTTTGCCTGTGTCCTTTCCTTCTGAACATAACGATAATTCTTTCTATTGTTTTCTTTATGTATTTTTCTTTTCGTTCTATTTTCCTCCCCTTTTCCTAAATTGTTTATTGACTTTGCACGAAATGTGTTTGGCCAGTCATGTACCATTTTTTTTCTGTTGTGAACAAGTATTTTCCTGCATTCCAACCCCAACTTGAATACCCAACATCACCTGTTTGATTTTTTTTCTTTTCGCCAATATTTTTCCGTTTTTTTACATTTAGTTGTCGTTTCGACTCTGCATTTTCCTACAAAAAGCATTAAACTAACGAAGAAGAGAACTTGTTTGCAAAAATCGCATTGGACCCATATTTGGTCGCGCGCCTTTATTGTACAATAAAGAGATGTCTAATTTATACGCAACGGCATATCTAGAATTTGAAGACGTTTTCAGAAGTGTAGCCCAACTCCTTAAGAATACCACCAATCTCGCCTTGGCTCTTATCCTTTGCCTTGGCGCCGGAGATGAGCTCAACCATCTTGTCAGGTCCGCATACAGCGACGAGCGTGTTGGGCTCGTTAGGTCCAGGCATGTATTGCTGGACAATCTCCTTAGTAACGAAACCCTTACCGCCAGCCCACTTGTCGGAAGGACGGTCAAGCAAGTAGTGGACCTTGATCTGATCAGGGTGGGCCTTGACATAGTTATCAAGTTCCTCTCTCAACAAGATGTCCTCTTCAGTTTGGTTGGCAAAGACAAGAGTGATCTTGGTCTTGTCGCGTCCTTCGCTGTGGTTGAGGACCTTGCGAATGATTTGAAGCATGGGGGTGATACCAGTTCCGCCTTAGTTTTTTTTTTGTTTTGTTAACATCCAACCCATCGTTTATGCCGTGTACCTCGCTTCAACTTACCAGCAATCAAGCCAACGTTGTTGAACTTGTTCTCCTCCCACATCAACTTGGGAATAGGTCCCTTAATCTCAAGCTCGTCACCGACCTTAAGGCTGTGGAAGTGCTTGCTCATCTTGCCATCGGGGTATTTCTTAACAATGAAGTCAACATATCCTTGAGCATTCTCATCTGAGGTAGGAGTGTATGGACGGATGATATATCCGGGAGAGCCGTCCTTCTTAGTAATGGGGTAGCGGGTGATAACGCAAGAAGCAACATGAAGACCACTGGTGGAGTCCTCAGGCAAGTCGAAACGGAAAAGGCTGGTATTATGGTTGATGTCTTGGACCTCTTTAAGCTATAACACAGATGTTAATCCTTCTAAATTTTTCCTCCCATAAGGTTCGTCTGGTGTACTCACCTTGAAAGCCTTGAACTCCTTGGGACTGAAAGCGGCCTTAAGTTCGGTAGCAGCAGGTGCGGCGGCAGCAGGCTTTACAGAGGTGGTGGAAGAGCTGTTGTAGTAAATACCACCTGCTACACCAAGACCAGCAAGAGCAGCAAAGAGGAGGCCGTTTCCACCAGACTTAGGCTTGTCGGTTGAATAAGCACGCGCGGTTTGTCTCTGTAAAGTGTGGACATGTAAGTACAGCACCATGTAATGTACATAATCTCGGAGATCTTCAACGTACCTGAGCATTCAAGCGTGTAGGAGCAGCAGTGGCTCTGATGGCAGACGATACGACAGTTCTGTAAAGCATAGTGAGTTAAAGTCTAATATCGTTGGCTAGTGAAATTGCATCATTTCACTGGAGAACGGACAAACTCGTGCCAAAAAGCCGTCACACTCTGTTAATTTAGCCGTACTGGACAGAAGTCAGCACTTTGCATTCTGTGATCAAATAGATTGGGATGCAGTCTTTGTCTTTTCATGTTAGGCTGTCTTTATTGTATTATTCTGAGCCCTATACACTATGTTAAAGATTGAAATGGCTTCTCCAAGGCGAGATAGACATGATCAATGATTTGTACCATAAAAATTGATGTCACCTGTGCCCAAAAAAGATTTTTTTTAGGTCCAGCCAAACGGAGCCACTTGTTGCTTTTTATTTTTCCCTTTGATCAACTTTCAAAAAGGCAAGTGTCTCGCCTGGCGCTCGTTTTGGCAACCCTTCCATCTCACATTCTTCCATTTCCGCTTTTCGGAACTTCGAAACATAGTCCCTAGGCACACTTGGATCATTAGACTCTACCATGAATCCAACCCAAATGCACCACCACCCCGGCATGGAACTCTCAGAAGGCCAGCCAGGCAAGTCTAACGGAAAACCCAAAATGCATCAGTTTGAAGATGTCGATGACTCGGACGATGATCTGGAAAAACCCGTCAAGCGATCGGGTAGACGCAAAATTAAGATCGAGTACATTGAAGATAAGAACAGACGTCATATTACGTTTTCCAAACGCAAGGCTGGTATCATGAAGAAGGTAGGTTTCAGCCTTTTTTTTTTCTCAAGAAAAATATAGCGACACTGGTCCATATATGTGCCTGAGCCGATCCCCCACAACTATATGGAGCATGTTTTCCTACGTGTAAAGCGCGTTACGTGGATCGAAAGACAGTGTTCAGATGGGTTCCAAGACGAAACGCTTGATATTGACGCGTATTTGTATCCTATTTTTCCATCGTCGACAGGCTTATGAGTTGTCCACTTTGACCGGTACCCAAGTTCTACTTTTGGTAGTGTCCGAAACTGGCCTCGTGTACACCTTTACCACCGTCAAGCTCCAGCCCATCGTCACTAAACCTGAAGGAAAGAACTTGATTCAAGCTTGTCTCAACGCACCTGATGTTGGCACCGAGAAACAAGAGGTATAGAGTGGTTTAAATTGATCGGAAAGGCTAGATGGACAATACTAATTTGGGCTTCTTTTGTATTAAAAAAAAAAAACTTTAAAGGACTCCGAGCCTGGTTACGCTAGAGGATCCCCCAACGCAAACGAAAACGATGCTTATGAAGAAAAGCCGGTAAGTGTCGTTGACAGAAAGACGAAACAACCCTTGTTACAAACGGCTCATAGTGTGTGATCTCTCTCAAACCAGGAACCAACACATCAAGCTCGTCATGCTCCACCCCACCAACAGCAGCCTCCTTCACAGCAAGGACCTCCCGCATCAGGTGGCCATGGTTACCCTCAAGGATATGCAGCACCACAAATGCCCATGTCCAACAATGGCTATGCACATGCCGGATATCAATACCCACAAAGCTACCCGCAAGGTGCACCACCGTTTTACGGAAACGCTTCACAGCCAGCACAGCATTATATGCAACAACAGCAACAAGGTGCACCTGGCAATTACTGGTCTGGCGGTGTTGATCAGCAAGCACAAGACGATGACAAGGATCGCAAGAGAAAATAAAAGGGTGGAAGAGCAAGGCCAACAACCATACAGAAGTTTTTCCAGGGTACATACCGCTGATCGCTGTGCTGATTTGCAGTTGTTCTCCTCTATTCTAAACACCTCATACTTTGTTTTGTGCCATTTGCTTCCATTTAACCACTCTTCTCAATTTTTTTTTTTTTTTTAAAAAAGAAAAAATCCTTCCATTGTGCTCTTCTTCATCGCTCTCATGTCACCTCTTTTTGCATCTGATCATTCTTTGTCTATCTCATATCAAACTAACCATGGGATGATCACCTACTTTTCTTAGGTCCAATCTTCCCGTAGCTTCTTACTTTTTCTATATTTTCTCTAACTTTTCTTTACCTTATTTGTACGAATTGTTCTTTTCTTTCAATGTCCTCTTGTGGAAAAATATCGCATGAAATACTAAAAATTTCGATGGATCTGAGTCTTTTGGATCTTGGATGGACGTTTTAATAGTAGTATTATCAAGCTAGGGCGGGATATAAGGGGGGTTTCTTTTAAAGCAACTATGGAGTAAAGATCAAATCCGTAAATGGAAAATGAGAAGAAATATACAAGGTAGCCGAGATGAGAAAGTGGGGGTCCGGGAGGAAAGCTACATGGTCGAGCAGAAAAAAATATATATATATCATACAGATGTTTTCGTTTGTGACGCGAGTACATTTTCTAAGGGGGGGGGTTCATTTTAGGACGAAGATAAAGAACAGAATCCAACTGGCCACAGCTAGTGCGACGAAGACAGAGCCATAAACCCAATTCAAAACGACTTTCTCTTCCACTCTCGGGACCTTGAGCTCTCCACGGCTGTCACGACCAACAAGAAGTTTGGATTGGCGAGCATTGGCGTCCAGAATGCCAGAGTAGAATACGCGATCGATGATGGCGAGCACGATACCAGCGATCACTGCGCCAAAAGAGATGCACATGAAGAACATAAGTACACCGTCATAGCCTTTTTGTGGATCAGCATCTTGTAGCCGGCCAACTACGATATCAAATATAGTAGCTCCAATGTTTGTACCAGATTTGATAATGCCCATGCCGGTACCAACCAAACACAGGGGTAAGATAACTGGTACAGATGAAACAAGGGCCACTGGTCCGAGAGCCAAGGAAAGACTAAATATGAGCATGCCAATCACGGGAGGAAGCATTGTATAGCCTAGGAGCACCATAGACAACAACATCGACGCTCCGCTTGCAATCACTAATAAAGATTTGACATAAGTCTATGCGCGCGCTGATTCATTCGCTTCAAGCATACTTACTCATCCATGTTCTCTTGCCATTTCGATTGATGAATAGTCCTAGGAAGGGCATGACGATGATAGGGGCTATCTGGGCGGTACTTGCAATGCGAGCAGAGTCATAGTTGTTGTAACCAAAGCGGAATTTCACAAATTCGCTGGAGGAAAAAAAAAAGTGGGCTGATGTTTAGAAGGCGACGGAATGAAGTTAGGCGGATCAGAGTTAAGAAAATAAAGTACCTGTTAATATGAAGGAAACAGCCCCATCCACCCCCAAGTAGGAATTCCATAACGGCAATCAACCAGTACGAGTGAGGTAGATGCAACAATTTGTTCCAGCTAAAGTCCTTCTTCTGCTTGATGTTATCGATATGGAACTTGGCGCAAGCTTTGTCTGTGACATTCTTCTTCTCTAGATGTCTGAGCAGCATGATATAAATCATATTCACCAGCATTGAGAAAAAGCATAAGGCAGCCGAGAACTTGTCTGGAGATTAGTCATATGTTTCCATTATGTCATCACCCCTTTCTTTTAGGCAAAGGCCGATAAAGACACTTACCCAAAGTGCATATCCATACCATCCCGTCCATTCAGCAATAGGAATCATACTCGCTTGAGCAGCAAACGAAGCCTAAGATTGCAATAGTTCGATCAATAAGCCGCACGACATTGCATGAAAACGGTCCTAAGCGGAGATATTTTTACCAGTCGACTCGTGGTCAGCATGAGGGAGACCACGCCAGCAAGGCTGCGACCACTGAACCAATGGCTCAAGATAGTCTCTTGGACAATAACAACTGTTCCACTACCGATACCGTACAAGACTCGTCCAAGAATCATGGTCATAAGACTTTTGTTGTGGGTTGAGTAGGCGACGAGGACATTGCCAGAAGTAATTAGAAGAGTGGTAACAAATGAACCGGTAGCCGTTCCAAAAGCATCGATGAATAATCCACCAAGCACCGGCAAAATGGTATTCACAATAGATACGCTTGATTGAATCACACCATATTGAGAATTGGAGATCCCGAATTCCTACACACGCCATGGTCAATATCGAAAGCTACGTCAAAAGAGCCATTGGCACGTAGGTATGTTACCTCTTTGATAATATTTTTCATTGCGCCTAAGGTATGTGCAGCAAAATGACTTCCGACTGAGGAACGATGGTTAGAAATGTACCAGGAAAATATCTAAACCAAAAAAAATAGAAAATACTCTACCTGCTAGTAGCAGAGCACAGAGTAAAGCGACTGCCTTATTTTGCCATGGTTGACTAGAGAGACCATCGCAGGATTCATTTCGTTCGATTTCAGCTTTGCTGGAGCTTGCTCTACAGCATGTCTTTACGTCGCCTTTAATACTACACCCTAGACCTAGACCACAACATTCGTTTTGATCATTGGGCACATTGACTGTAAAGTTGTCACCAGAACGACAGCAACTATTGGTGGAGGCGGAGGTAGTTTGGCAAGCCAAGGAGCAGTTTTCGCGACCACTGCAGCATTGTTTGGATTGTTGGGTTGAAATGTAAGTAGGGGCGCCAGACTGATTGGGTATAACATGAGTGATGGGTTCATTCGAGTAGTTAATTGCATATTGAACAACACTGTTTTGTTGTGAAGAATGCGATAGTAACGGGGTACGCTCAGTAGCATAAGAGTCCGGCATGGCGGCCTTGTCTTTGCAGAGGAAGAAGGAGTAAAGAAAAGTTAAGAAAAATGAGACAATTCGTTGTTAAATAACGAAGCGGATCGGAATAGATATTTTTGAAATTTTTCAATTGATTGTTGTATAAAAAAAAATCAGATAAGAAATCAGCGGCTAAAATTTCATCGCTTGAGTACAAACTTATTTTTCAAAAAAGAGAGTACAAACAAGAGACATCAACCTTCCAGTTTTATATGTGCTCTGTGTATAGCATCTGATGGTACGCGACTTTCTGAATATTGCTGCAATGGATGACTACGCTGCCATTGATGACTATGTTTTGATTTGGGCAGTTATACTGCAGATTTTGCTTATAATGGATGGAGGGAACGATGCTATTGCTGTGTTAAAGCTGTTGTGCACTGGCAGGTGATGATCCCATGACTTTGGCTTCATTGCTGCACCACCAAGAAAACGTGTCAGCTGATGTGCGGTGGGTATCGACCGATTTTTTGCGTGGGATAGCTGTAACCAATCAGGATGCTGCCACAGCGCCTGCCCAGCATTTGGGTGGCCCCAATTCATGTGACGAAAAATGAAGTGCGGCGACTGAATTGGCTCTATTAATGCTTGGCCAATTCAATACAGGCAACGCACGTTTCTTCTCACATCTTCTAACTCACCACCAATATAACTCATAACCCCCTTTCAATAAGACTGCCATGGTTGCAATTTCAACATCCATCCTTTATTCGCAACTGAGGCAGTCAATTGGGTCGCTCACCGCGTCCTCTGCTACCCTCTATGACCGGATCCAAGAAAAACTGGTCACATATGCCCCTCAGCATCGAGAACATATATTGTATCCTAGGTTCACGACCAAGGACGGTCGAGTTACTTTATCTCGAACCACAGCTGCGTTCTTTTCTTCCAAAATTGTTCAATCCACATCCCATCAAGTGTCAGACCAAGAAGATCTGGACATGTCCAATTCATGTAACGGCCTTGACATGCCCGTGACCCCAGGCTATATTGCGCCTCGTGCTCCTATTGTTCTGTGCCACGGACTGTATGGCTACGACAAAATTGGTCCCGATGCCATCCCGTCCTTGCAAATACATTACTGGTCTGGTATTGACGACGCTTTGGCTAAACTAGGTGCCAAGGTCATTGTGACAAGAGTGCCAAGAACAGCCGGTATCAGCACTCGAGCTCAGGAGTTACACACCATTCTGACAGCCACTGCCAAAGACAAGGATATCAATTTTTTGGCCCATTCGATGGTAAGTTGATTGTTCGAAAGCTGCCAAGTCTAGATGATGTAATGATGCGCGGAGTCTATCGGCAAAAAAAAACTGAACACTTTTTTTGATGGCAGGGTGGTCTGGACTGTCGATACTTGATCTCGCATATCAAGGATAGGCCGTATAGAGTGAAATCGTTGACAACGGTATCAACTCCACACAGAGGATCGCCTTTTATGGATTGGTGCCGCGATCACATTGGCGTCGGTGTGATGTCTGCTGTAGCCGAAGCTGCTCATGAAGCGAAGCAGGCAGCGCGAGGCGGAATTGATCCTGGCACGGCCAGCTGTGAAGTAGAGCAAGGAAAAGATAACGTTCAAACGGTCTATGAAAAGAATTCAGAAGGATTTTCTCTTCCTTTTGTGAATAACATCTCCTTAGCCGCACTTGCCAAGATACCCACGACGTTGATTGATCCAGTTGTGTCCAAGGTCATTCAGTCTCTGGACACACCAGCCTATTCAAATCTTACTACTGATTACTGTAAAAATTATTTCAACCCTAATACGCCTGATGATCCCTCCGTTCAATATTATTCTTATGGAGCTTCCAAGCCAATCCCCATCTGGTCAACGCTGGGCTTTCCATGGCAAGTCATAAAAGACAAGGAAGGTGACAATGATGGCTTGGTCAGTCTAACCAGCGCTAGATGGGGAAAATATGTTGAAACCGTACCTGCCGATCACTGGGAACTAAAGGCTTCTCCAGAATGGTACCCACGAGTTACTAGCAAGCTCAAGGCTACACCCACTACCCCAGAAAAGTCCAAAGACTTTGATCCTGTTGAATTTTATATGCGTATGGCCACTTATCTATATCACCAAGGACACTAATGGTTCCCATTGCCATGGGACTTTTTTAAAACTTTCGCAAAAAGTTGGATTTTTGATATAACAACTTGTAAATAGGTCGATACTTACTACGTAAACGGCTAAGCAATTATTTCCCTTTTTTCTTAATGGCTTAAATCGCGTTGACGCTGCTCTTTTGACGATGTACATTCTTTCCTTTTCCCACTCTGCCATTTCCCCCTTACTTAATAAAAAATAACTGATGAAGATATCTTTGACTGAACACCTTTTTTTTTGGCTGCGCTTCAGCCAAGTGGTGATTTGCGCAGTTGACGGTGCCTTAATGTCGTGGTCTAAAAGTGATCCCTTGAATGTAAGGGAGCGTAACAATAGCTCGTGCTTTTCAGTTCATTGTGCAAATGAATCCCATTTTCAATATAAATTTGGTATCTTGTGATGGTCGTTCTATTTCCATGCTGACGCTGCTGCATTCACGTCCATAATAATCCTATTTTCCATCAAGACGTTTAGTGACTAAACGGACTTTACAACTTTTTTTTTTTTTATATATATTTTACTTTTGTGTGCCACAGACAATCCAGGTGGGATAAAAAGCCAAGGCCACTATCGCACTCTCTTGTTTGCTTCATTGCCTTCCAATCATAAATGTCCATCTCAAAGTCTAGCACGCCTAGACCGAGCATACCCCCTCGAGCAAGCACGTCGAGCTTAAACACTGATGAGTATGCTCCCGTCATTGAACGTCTACAAACCATTTACAATCGCAAGATTCGACCCCTGGAAACCACCTATAACTTTGAAGGCACGTAATATCCCCCGCTCGTACACTTTGAAAACTCGGTTCATTCGCTATCCTTGTTAGATGCCTGTATTTTCTAATATAAATGTCCTCGTATTTTGTAGGTTTCCATTCGGCACCGTTGACAGGATCAGATATAGGAGCAAAACCGATCGTTTTGCTTCTTGGCCAGTACTCAACTGTAAGACTGGACATTAAAATTTCTTGGCATCTTACTCAACCCCGGTATCCACATTGCTCACGATCAATTTATTATTATAGGGTAAGACCTCATTCATTCGTAGTGTTATCGGCAAGCAGTATCCCGGCGAGCACATTGGCGTTGAGCCTACGACGGATCGTTTTGTTGCCGTGATGCACGGAAACCAGGACCGCATCATTCCCGGTAACGCTGCGGCTGTAAATTCTGAACTTCCGTTCAGGTACGTGGTTCATTTTGAGGGTTGGGGTGCATTCATCAAACCAACCTTTCTCTTTGTCTGTATTTGTCCAAAAGGGGTCTCGATCGGTTTGGCCAAGCGTTTTTGTCTAGATTTCAGGTAACTTTTATACAAATGGTTTGGTCTCCCTTCTAAATGGAAATTCTGATTAATGTATCCGGACATCTGGGTTTTAGGTATCTCAAACAAACTGCCCGGTTTTAGAAAATATGACCATCATCGACACACCGGGTATCTTGGCGGGCGATAAACAGCGAGTAGATCGGGGATACGATTTCACTGAAGTCGTCGAGTGGTTCGCCAACCGTGCTGATTTGATTCTCCTCATGTTTGACTCTCACAAACTGGATATTTCAAACGAATTCAGGATGGCCATTACTACCCTGAAAGGACACGAAGAGAAGGTACGCGTTGTTCTGAACAAGAGCGACATGGTTAGCCAACAACAGCTGATGCGAGTGTAAGTGGACATGGTTTCCTGATCCAAACCCGCTGCCATGATGTTGTCTAAAGTGTATCGCGTCCTTTCAGATATGGAGCCATGATGTGGTCACTTGGCAAGGTTATACAAACGCCTGAGGTTTTGCGGGTATACTTGACCAGTTTCTGGGTCGAAAAGCCAGCAAATTGTTTTGAAGAGTGCCGGGATCTGATAGAAGCTGAGCAAAAGGATTTGCTAAAGGATTTGAGAAATCTTCGACGAAATGCTGCTATCCGTAAAGTGAATGATATCGTTAAGAGAGCAAGAATCGCCAAGGTGAGAGAAGAAGGAAGCAGACAAAAAAAAATACAAGGGGTCGACGCATTCTAACACTTGATTGACAATAGATACACGCTCTCATTATAAGTCATCTAAAGAAGGAAATGCCAGCGCTTTTTGGAAAGAAGAAAAAACAAGAAGCTCTGCTTGCCAACTTAGAAGGCGAGTTCATTAAAATACAGCAAACCTATCATCTGGCTCCTGGTGATTTCCCCAACCCTGCTCGTTTCAAGCAGAGCCTTATTCACTATGATTTTGACAAATTCCGGCCGTACCGTGAAGAAGTCATTAATATGGCAGAACAGGTAACAGTTGTATAGTAGTTGAACATAAGTTACACCATTATTTACTGACCACGATCATCACAGGCTTTATCTAAAGATTTGCCAAAGGTTATGTCCATGTTCCCACATACTGCACAGCCAGAACTGGCTCCGTCAGAACGTAATCCATTCCAAGAATTTGATGCTGAAAGTGCCATGGCCAACAATGAATTGCCTCCATCCTATTGGCATGCTGACGCAGTTGACGCTAGCAAATACAAATCAGTGTTTCAAGGTCTTGAACCCAATAATGGTATAGTGAGTGGATCAAAGATTAAGCCAGTCTTGATGAATACTGGCTTAGATACCAGTGTTCTGGCCGACATTTGGCGATTATCTGATTATGACAATGACGGTGCCATGGATATGTATCAATTCGCGTTGGCAATGCACCTTGTTACTGTGGTGAAGAATGGTGGTGAGCTGCCGGAAAAGCTACCATCAACGTTGCAACCCAAATTCAATGGCATTTAGAAGACTCCCCTTCCCCCGATAGTTCCCTTTACTAATTTTGACCTACTACGTTTTCCTCCAATCTTACATTTTTTATATGTCTGTTGTTTTATTCTGTATCTTACAATTGGCTCACCGTCTTAAGAGATTAAAATTAACCACGCTATCACCAAATAAAACAAGCAGAGTGGGTATACCTAGGACGAGTAGGGTTCAGTACGCCAAGCATCCATACCCTAATTGAACATGTAGCAAAGTATCACTTACCGCAAGCGCCCTGCGATTGCTCAAGTGAATCTCAGATTCAGACAAGAAGCCGACCGATGCTACAGCGATTGGCGTGAGTTCACAAAGGCATTCCATTTCATTCGTCCATCAACCCATACTTACCGTAAGTGGACCAAGCAAAGGTGATAGCAGCCAACGGAAGTCGAACCCAAACGGTCTTGACAAAGATGGTAATGAAGGACACAAGGACCAAAGGAAACAGGCAGTAACCGATAACGCACACGCTTTGGAAGAATGACCTAAACCAATAAGCAGGATGAGAGATCATGTCCAAGGGTCCACAAAAAGTAAAAGATCACTTACACAGCGCCGCCAAGGACTTTGGCATTCAGTGTCACAACTGCAGCACCAATCCAGACAATAACAAAAACGCCTGTGAAGATGGCTACAGCTTGATCGGCGGGAGCTTCGGCACTAAGGGTAATGGCCAATGCCAGACACAAGATCAATGGACCCCACAAATCCCCTATACGTAAAAATGAGTCAGTAAATTCGAAACTGAAATTGTCCAGGTTTGGGAAAATAGCATACAGTCTCGGAGGACATTTTTGTTTCCTTGAGGATATAAAACTTGTCTTAGCTTTAGGGCAACTTGTCGAAGATCGCGCATCTGGAAAACGACCATAGGTAAAAGTTGTTAGCGGTCGGTTGCATATTGACAGATAGGCTAAGTCTGTACTTACAATGGTGACAGAGACGGGCTCATCCAGAGTGTCTTCTCCAGTATAGCCTGAAGTAGTTGTAGCTTGCGGTTGATAAGAAGTTCCAATTCTGCCGCTGGGTTGAGCAAAGGGATTAGGTTGACTAGCGGGTGGTGCAGATGAGGTAGGCGGATAGCTGGGGCGGGTGGTTGATTGGCCGCTCAGGTCCAAGTCAGGTTCAATGTAAGCATCGTTGCTCAGAATAGCGTCGGATGAAGATTGAGCAAAAGGATTGTCGAACTGACCATTGTCAGCAGATGTATAAGCAGGTGGATTCTGCTTGGATGGTGACAACATTGGCTGCTTCTATTCCAGAGGGAAAAAAAAAGGTTGTACTCGTTTGCACGTTCGCTTTTGTCTTGGCCGAGCTGGTGGCCACATTTTGGGCGTGACGTGTTTCGGGTTTTCCTGGGTTGAGTTGGACTCTCTTCTTTTCTCCATTCTTCATTGTCTTGTTTCAAAAGCCTCATTTTATCTCCCAAATCAAGTGAAAGTTTTCCTTCATGACGACTTCAAAGGAGACAATCTATACAATGTCTCGCTCAGAATATCATGCTTGGGCAATAAAAGCGAATAGAGACCGTCATACCCTGCCGAGTTTGGATCTTCTCATCCCGACTGACCCGACCAAGCAACCTGTTTGCAAATCCAACGTCAGAGCCGTGCAGCAAAAGTATATTGCGCTCCCTTCAGAACTCATGTTTGAGATATTGAATCATTTACTTGATGCGGACGAACAAGGTTCTCTATACAATGCTACACTCGTCAGTCGGCATTGGATGAACTGCGCAACTCCTCTACTATTCCGACACCCAAAGATTCACAGCACCTACCGATGGGCAACTTTTTTGCTGACTTTGATGCGGCCGAATCAGCAATATGCATTTGGCGAATTTGTTCGTTCCATCAATTTATCATCATCCTATGAATTTCCAGGTAAAGTGAAGTCAAATCGCGCCATACCTAGATCGTTGTTCGGTTGGTACTAACTTACAATCTCATATAGAAAATACCGACACTACAAATACTAATTCATCAGATGGCGGTGATCTGATTGATGCATTAGAAAATATGGCAGATCGATGGGCCAATGTCGAAACTACCAATATTTCCAACTCCAAAATCACCCCAACCATTACATTATCAACATCGTCTTTCTTGCAAGTTGCCAGCTGTTGTCCGAATTTGACGTTCTTAGATCTGTCCAACACTGCATTATTTTGTGACTCTTTGATTTTGGAGACTGGAGAATATGTTTCGTCCATACAAACGTTTGCATTGCAACCTGGACTTACTCATGTACGGATCGAGCTAGACCAAGCCATTCGAGCCATCGGTACCCAGTGTCCGGCGTTACGACATGTCAATATGCAAGCATGTGACTGGGTTACGGCCAAGGTGATCTGGTGCTGGGTAACCAATTGCCCAAAGCTTCAAAAATTGGATGCAAGACGATGCTTGAGATGCGGAATCGAGCGCTTGACGAATGCCTCCTTGGATATGACCAACGGTGATGGAAGTAGAGATCAACAATCCGTGGTCGCCAAAGCCACTACTATCCAAGAACCTTGGACGCAAACCGCCAATCTTGTTGACCATGAAGACAGTTTGTGGATTAATTCGCAGATCGCAGAGTACAGTGTACCACGACCTAGCGTATTTGCAAGAGATCGACGGCCATCTGCTGCATTAGACAATTCAGGTGCATACAATCCAAATCCACTGTTGCCTCAACCATCCGTCCCTATCACACTACGATCCCTGGTGTATGACATACTCAAGGAAGCAAAGGAATCCGGTATCACTGATGTCAACTGGCTTCATGATGATTAAGGACGATGATCATAATTTGTTAGGCCATCTTTTAGTTAGGCAAAGACATTGTCTATGCTAATTTCTTTTTTTCTTTTTTGGCTTCCAATTTCTACTGTATATTCTCTTTTCCTCATCGCTTGCGCTCTTGCCAGCATTTGTACATGTCACTTATTTTTCAGCATTGTATCTTTCGTAGAGTTATATACATCACAGTTTATACACACGTATAGCTTACATTTTTTGGCTGGTCCAGCATAGAAAAGTAACAACGTTTGTTTAAATTTAAATTTATATCATGTGGTCGATGTCAATCAGCAATGTAAATTGGAGTACAACTTATATAATTCTCAGGTTCACCTAAGGACTGCGACGTAACAGCTCAAATAGATTTACAATCGCATTTTGTCTTTAGTGGATTTTGCAGCGGAAACGAAAGAACTCTCGCCTTGCGGATAACGACGGTAGAGAATAATATAAAGCTACGATCTCAGTGTGTTTATTTCGTCGAAAGATAAGAGCTATCTCCTTGTCTCTGTTGCCTCAGTAAGGCGTTTCGATCATGAAGGCGTTGCCACCGTTTGCGCAGCACTTACGGAGATGAAAAGCTACAATGAAAATGCTGCCAATGAATTATTTTGCCCTCTTTGGGTGAACCTTCTTTGGACACCAGAAGACTTCGGCCTTTTTTTTGTTGGGTGATCCATCGTTCGTCAATATTTGAGAAAGTGCTCAATATGTCTCGGACTCTAATGCCGCCCCCGTATCCTATTGTGTCCCTGATTTCTTGACCAGTTGAGTTCGCGGAAAAGATATCCCGAGATGACTACGCTCAAGAGAACCAAGAGCCACCATTTTTGTTTGGAACTCAACAGAACTCAACTTCCAGAAACTTGTGCCGACAGATTGCGCTATATCAAGCTTTGGTAATAGAAACAATAAAAGTGGTTTAGAATTTTGGAACTTTGGAATGCTAACTTTTTCTTGCGTCTTTTGTAGACTTTTTATTTTATAGTTATATCTTTCATATTTGTATTTATTGCTCAAAGTCGGATCAAGGAGCGTGGTCTGCTGCGCACAAGCGAAATGCCAAGCCCTGACTTTCTTTTCGCTGACTGACTTTTCAAACCCCCCACGTTGACATATAAATTCAGCAGATTTTGGTTTCTTCGAAATTTTCACTCGTTCTTATGTCCGAAAAGAATCAACCTTTGGGCAGCCATGTCTCTGACCATGGCTATGAAAACATACCCCCACCACCCGCATACACCGCATTGTCCAGCTCACCTACCGCTCCTGCCATGAAATCGGACGCATACCCTAACAATGCTGCTCCTCCCTATGAAGCGTCCAGGGGATATGGACGACCGCCGCCTAACGATTACGCTCCTCCGCAACAATACAACGTCCCTGTTGGCCAATACACTCCTCCTCCACAACAATACAATGCCCCTCCTGGTCAATACAGTCCTCCTACACAGCAATATGGTGGACCTTATGAAACATCGAGCGGTGGGTTCCAGGGTGGTATGTTTGGTACATCGAAGCTGAAGCGTAAACCACTTGATCCCCCACCTCCTTGTCTCTCGCGACCGCCACAGTTTTTTCAACGCCCTTTACCCTTTGCTGCCTTTAGAATACCTTGCAGCGGTAGTCATCTTGATTCCGGATTCCCTCTTATGTATCCAGGACATGTTCTACATGGGCACGACATACAAGAGCTGGAATGGATACGATTTTTGGAGGACTTGGGTATTTCAGGTCGGTTAGAATCTGGAGAAAAGGTGAAGTCGCATATTCTGCCTATGGCGTTTGGTGTTGGCGCTGCTGGAATTCTCATCAGTCGGGCCATGCAACGCCGGATGAAGAACGGCAAAGCAAATCAAGTTGGAAGTCTAGTTGATATCTGGAATGGCTATTATTTCCACCTTCGTGGAGTGAACGTTACGCTCATGCATGGGGACAAGGCTCTAAGTGGTCTTCAAGCATCGGAACTCACCAAGGACAGTTCTTCATCCTGCTCATCGGATTCCTCGTCTGACGAAGAATCACTTCGACACAGCCCATCACAGTATCAACAACAGCACACCGATCGTAGGCAAGAGCGTAAAATACAGCGAGAAGAGAAGCGCGAGCGACGTGATCAGAGAAGAGAAGAGAAACGGGAGCGACGTGACCTGAAACGAGAAGAGAGACGAGCCCGAAAGCAAGAACGAAAAGAGGGAAAGAGAAAAGACATACCATATTACCTTATCGTTGAATCAAGACCAATGTAATATCTTGTATGGCTACAGCTCACATTTGAAAGGATATATCTCTTTGGGAATTTTCGTCTATAAGTAGCTTATCATATTCACAGACATACAAATGTTGTATAATATATATTTTTATTTCTTAACAGTCAAATACGAATTAGAGTATGAATGAGTATGTAAAGCCATACAGCGAGGGCAACATAAGATGCGATGGTGAAAATATGGCACCAAGGGGATGCCGTCATGACCGAAATACGAACTTATTCAATGTTATCGTCGCTATCTAAGTCGAGCGTTTGGTCGAGCTTAATTGCAATAGAACTCATCACCTCCGCTCCATGATATGAAAGTTGTACTCTTTGGGAGCAGACAATACGCACACATTGTATAAATTGAGCCAGGCACGTCTCATGCTATGTGTTTATAAAGGTCGATTGTAATTTTTTTAATTGAAGCACACTATGCTGTGGTATGTAAGATGTAGATAAGAAGAGAAAAACAAAGGACGGGACAGAGAAAGTTTTGATATAGGGTATGGTGAAAAAGTAGGGCCATAAGCGAAATTTGACCACAGTGTTCCAGACACAGAGGCTAACTCGAGCTTCGCGCACTAAGGTATGGGTTTTTTAAAAACCGAAGGACATGTTGGCAGGGCCATAGTTATTCAGAAGCCTTTCTTGAGCTTTCCTTCTTTCAGCTGGGGTCATGGCTTTTCCTTTCTTTGTGCCTACGCTGACTGAATCTGAGTCCTTTTCTTTCGTGGTATTTGCGGCGGCCTTTTTAGATGCAGCAGGTGGAGTTTTTGGTTTGGACGATGATAAGCTAAAGAAAGTACCAGGTTGAGGTGGAGGTGAAGCCACAGGCGTAACGGGTGGTTGAACGACTGCAGGAAAATCAAAGAAGGACGAGCCGGCCTCTGATGGTTGTTTGTAAGAGGGTGTGCTGGGGGTGTTCAAACCGGTGTTTAACATGGGTGTAGCGGATCGTGGCATGCTGATAGATAACGAGGAGAGATTCAAATTGTTGGGTTTGGGAGTTGTGGGACTGGATGCTTGGCTAGCCGCGGCTTGAAGTGCCATAGCCTTTTTAGCATTGATCATGACTTTCAGTGCGCGTACTTGCAAGGGATGTTCATTTGATAGGGCAGCTGTTTCATAGATCAGACTGGCAGTAGACAGCGTCAACATTTGATGCAGAGCGTGGGAAGCGAGTTTCTTCAGTCGAGGGATGCTATACATATCCGAGAGAATTAGCAATTGCGCCAAAACGTTCGGTTGGTGCTGTTGCGCCGTTAGCAAGTTATCAGCGTAAAAGAACTGCAAAAGTGCAAACACGATGGAGTAAGGTTCTGGCAGCAACATGGTCCTTCGGTTCGGTGACAGAGTAACCTTTCTGCTAGCGGGTGGGGTATTGGGAGACTCGGGAGCTTCTTTTTCGTCAATCTCGAGATCTTCCTTGCTTGTCTCTAATAACTTTTTAAAGTATGGCCATCTCTGCGCTAATATCATAGAATTCACGGGAATTGTAACACCATCTCTTGTCAAAATCTCAAAGTCCGCCATGCCAGTATCGTTGAGCATGCTCAGACCCATTTCCTGAGCGACGGGAGCAAATGAAGGTTTGGGGGGTTGATATATGCCAAAGCACTCGGTATTGATGACAACGACGTGTTCAAAATTGGTTTGACGATGGTTGTAGTCGTCTAGTAAGGAGCGATCTCGGTTACCAAATACGAGGAATTGATTAGCGGCTTCATGCAGAACACCTCGGTTCCATGATCCAGTGGACAATGAAGCACCAGTCTCCATTTTTGTCCATATTAGATTTGAAATGTTGAGTGACCATAGCTGAAAGACTTGGTGTTGAGGTGTTAAATACGTTCCAGCTAATATCATATGGTAACCTAGCATATGGCCAGAAGGAAATCGAAGACCTGGTGGAAGCGTTGTGCCTGACATCTCGTTGGAGCGATCTTTGAGTTGGAACTGTGATGTTTTGATGGGAGGTGCGAACATTTGTAATTCTCGTTGTACGTCCGTGAAGTTGTAGTTGGAGTATAAGAATATGGGGGAGTGAGAGTCCTTCGCTGCGGATGTGGCTACCGGCGTATACGACATGCGGTAATTTGCGCTAACATCGGAAGAAACACCACTTTTCAATGAATCTTGTCTCTTTCCAGAGGTCGGAGTGGTAACATCTTCAAATCCATAATCTCCAGCCGCTGCCGCATCGCCTTCTAATATTCCAGCAGGTAACTCAGCGCTTACGCAAACGGAGCGGTACGCGCCACATTGTTTTGACAAAGTTCGGACCTGAATCCATTCCCACTTCTCGATGTTAAAGACATTGATCTCCGGGATGTATTGATTGTTCATATCTTGTCCGCCAACGATAACGAGTAAGTTGCCTGATACGCTAGACAGATGTGCGTAGCGTGCTCTAGCGTTGTACAATGTTGGTGCAATGCTACCATAGCGCCACTCCATCTTTGCTACATCGAATACACACACATCGTCCAAAGCACATAGGCCATCTTCGGAAGATCTTGAATATCCCATGCCTCCAAATATCACCAATTGGTTATCATAAGCATTGGCTGAATGGAAATATCTCGGCCTAGGTGGTCGCTCAGCTCCAGGAGGTGGGATAAATCTTGTCCATTCCAATGTTTCCAGGTTCAAAATGTACATATCGTTGGTCATTCGTCTTGTAGTCACCAAACGGCCAGCAAATACAAACATTTGGTTGCCGATTACCGTCGTGGTTGCCCCTACCAATGGAGGTGGAACATCACCAGTTGTGACTCTCGTCCTTGTTGTTAAATCGGCTATTGTCTGCACGTTGGGTGCCATAGTATTGTTGAAAAGAAATGGAAGGAGGAGGTAAACCTCAAAAGACTAATGCAAAAAAGAATGAAAGGGGGAAAGATGAAGGTTTGTCGAGATTCAACCGGGAAATGCATTTCGTCTTTGGAAGTTGCTTTATCTTTATTACTGGTGGTGTTTTTTTTTTGTGTAAGTATCACAGCACCCATACGGTCTGATTTTGGAAGTCGACACCATTTTTGACCTCATCACGCTCCTTTTCTCTCAAGATGGGTGTCACAACCAGTAAGCTTCTGTGAATCGCCTGCTTTTGCGCTCCGATAGTGTTCCCGCTACATTCGCACAGACTCGCAAGCAGCATGAGCACAGTCGATGAGCACACACCATTGCTGCATCAGGCACAGTATGGACAGCAGGACCAGCATCTACGCATTCATTATCCCATTGTCACGGTCAAAGAACTCAATCAAAGACTACACGAACTTGCTAATTCTACCACCGACGACCAAGGTCTTTCCGACTTGGTGGCTAACGGAGGGGACGCGGCTTTTTATGTGGTCGTAAACTCCCTACTTCTTCAACCGCTCGATAAGCACAAAATGCTTGAATCATGGGCAATCAAGGTCCTGGATATGTTATTGCAAGATCAACACGATCCATATCATATCAGAATACGCCAAATTCTATTACACGAATGGGAAGCTCAGGGATCAGGTACTTTTAAAGACAGGGTTTTTTTTTTATTTCCCACTTTTTCTCGCACTTCCTTGCATACCCTCGTTTTATTTTTTATACCTTCCACTGATGATCTTTTTTTTTCTTTTTTTTTTGGTGTTGCATGGATTTTAAACAGCGCTAGATATCATCTTGCAATTGCCAGCGATGACGGTTCTCTTGTATAGACCAGTTCAAGACGGTATCAATGTAGGTGTTTTGCCATATTAAGTTATAGTTAGCATTGGTCTGATGATGAGGTAATCTAGGGTATTTGGAAGGATGGCAACCCCATTATGACAGATCTGACGGCCGCCAGCAGGGTCACACGGTTCACGATGATTTATTTCGGAAAATGGCGTTCTCCAAAGTGAGTTTTCAAAAGGTCGTATTCGGTAAACAATATGCTGAACCAGCACTTGTTACAGATACCAGGCCCTGTTACAATTTATTACTGGAGCTATTTACGTCTCTCTATACCTGGCTACGGTTGCTAACCAAAATTATACCGTATTTCCGCCACATGTCTACGAATATGTCTTTTATGTGTTTGCCTTGAGTGATCTTATTCTGGAGACACTGAATGTGAGTCTTTCACTTACGCTGACATTCACCTTATCTCACCTTGTGTAGGCTGATTTCTATTAGCTCTTATCACATCCTCGTAAAAGCGTTGTGTCTATCAAGTGGTTTCTGGGAATCTTATCAGCTTATGTGATCTTGGTATCCTTCATATGGAGAATTTTAGGTTTGACGACAAGGTCACTGCCCAGCGCTTACCGACAGTTACACGTATCCTACGTATGTTTAGCCGTCATTAGTCCGATCATGCTAGTTCGATTGATGTTGTATGCCCGCCCATTCAATGCTGTCAGTCGCATTGAGATACGGCTCTGCAGGTGTCTGGTGGAAGCCTCCTGGGTACTGGCAATTGGCGCTATGGTTTTAACGGGATTTTGGGTGGCGGTGGCCGCCATCAACACCGACAAGACTGCATGGGAAATATTACAGTTGCTTGCATTGGGCGCGTTATTGTAAGTGCCAAATGTTTTTTATGCTCTCTTTGTAGGATGAACACACTTTCTCAACTCTTGGCACCTCTTAGCGCACCGGAGATTGGTGATACTTTGTTATACGAGCCACAGGTCCTAGGCATATTATTATTCGTCTATCTGTTTTTAACCACTGTTCTGCTAAGTTCACTCCTAACTGCCTCATTTTTGTCTACCTTTTTGAGCTTGCGCAACCAGCTTGATAATTTGGTGGCTCTGCAATTTGCTACACTGACATTAGACGCTCTCAAAGCCGGCGGAGGTTCGGGGTTCGGTTCATATATACCTGGCGTATTGGTTGAGTGCATTCTCGTCTATCCACTTGCATGTCTGGTTAAGCTATACAAAATATACGCAAAACAACGTATGGCGGGAACTCATTATGAGCAATTGTATCAGAAGGTCCAAAAAATTTCTCTTTATCTCAATCGATGGCGAGAAATAGTTTTTTTTGCTACCTATCTTCCATTTTTCATCACCGCCACCGTCATTGAATTGCTTGTTGCTATGGCACGCAATCTCATATCCTATGTCCAGAAAGTGACTGACACTTCTTTTCCTCCTACTTTTACATCAAGTCATGTATAATAATGTTGGATGAGGTTGCGAATAAAACCACTTATTGCTAGCTCTATGCTAATATCACGTGCCCATCGGAGACACTGTGAAAGGTGGGGTGTGCACATTGACTGCTGGACAGAATGGCGTAGAGTGCTTGCTTGTTCTTTCCTCTCATGGCTGGTATGTAAAATCTTCATATTTATCCTACGGGCAATGGAGTTGATCGCTTGGCTGTGTTACATTCCGGGTTTATTATCGAATTCCAATAGCGATCCAGCGTCTACTATCTGATTTTACACCAAAAAAACCCTCAAACCTGACCTTGACACTCCATTTGTTCTTTTTTGACGTATAGATCTTGGATTTCAATTCTCCGGGGAGTCAGAGCTCAAAGAGCCAGATCAAAGTACTGCCAATCACTTGCATCACTTGGAAGCGCCTCCAGTTGCAACGGTCAATCCCGACACGACCGGCAGTTTTGAACCCGTTGAGTCCGTTGCTATCGTCGAGCTTTCACCTCAACATACAAATATCGAAGATGAACCTTTTGTCACCACGGAGGAGGTTGAATTTGCTACCAAAGGATCCAGCGTAGAACTTGAAATGAGTTCGGAAGAATTGCTGCTGGCTATGGCAGAAGGTACGTTGAAATGTGTAACGTTGAAATGAAACCGCATGCCCCTCACGATGGTGGTTGGATGAAGATCGAAGCAACTGTGCAACATATGCGATGTCAACAACAAACCCGAATATTTCAAAAGCATAAATAATGAACCCCGGATAGCGGTTCTAGACATCTAGTATCGGTTATGCCTTTGCTCGTTCATTCATTAATTTGCTTTTTCAACTTAGAACCCTTATCGGAAACGCTGTCCATTGGCGAACTTTGTCACACCGACACATTGACCCCGCTTGAAAGGCTGTATTCATTAGGCAAAAGCGATGTAGCTATGCATAGGTATGAATTTTTTTTTTATTGATCAATGTTTAGTAAGTTGTTCCTTTGCCTTTTCTAAATCTTGTTATCTAGAGTTCTCGCTATAAAGGAACTCTCCACTGTTATTGGTAATATCGATATATCGGATCTCGTAGAGTACATTTTGCCTTTATTGAGCGCTTTGGCATCGGATTCAGGTACGTTTAAAATTGATACATTTTAGGCAGTATTGCGTAATTGAGAGCTGAATGTTGACTCGCCACATTTCGTAGACGATGGAGTTCGAGAGACGTTGGCACTAGAATTAGACCGTATAGTCTTGTATCTTTATGAGGTATGCTTAATGGAACTGAAGTTTCATCTCACCACTCGATCTAACGAATCCTTCTATCAGTCCTGTCCTCCTCATGCTGAATCGCAGACCATCACCGATGATTGCAAAAACAGCATTCACGGACTTTCAAAGCTGAGCTTGGATTCCTTTGTTAAGGAAGACGTCACATCATTCGAGGAAGAGGCTGATACTAGAGCTCAAGAGGAGGCATCCACTTCCGTGAATGGAAGATTGCCGACGGACAAAAGGGCTGTAACGGAGCAAGTGGTTGACGAGGCGCAACAACAACAATCAGACTTGGAACAAGCGGCTGCAACACCCATTCCCAGCAGCGTACCACGACAGCGAAGCTCATCTTCAGCTGCGACATCATCCTTTCTATCATCCTCAACCGATGACTATCGACCAGAAGATAGCATACCAGCCCAGGCATTTTCTATGATATTTCTAGACTTTTTACTGGACCGTAATTCCAACCTTGCTGCTTACGGTCAGCAGTGCATTGTAAATATAGCGTCACATCTATCGTACATCTCGACTTCCCAGGAAGAACCTTCAACCAAACTTACTCCATACCTCGCGAAAGAACTCCTTCGAACAGAAATCTTCGAAGGCGTTATAATGAAATTATTCAATATCGCGAATGGAATACAACCAGGACAACACAAACAGCCATCTATCAATGGCCAAACACCTGATGCCGAAAATTCGGTGTGTGTTGATGAAAGCGACATGAATCTGGGGAAGATGATGTGCCTCTCGGTAAGCTGGTTGATCTGAGCCGTCGATTGACGTCTAAAGAGGCTAACCATGATAATCCATTGTAGCTCATATGTGGGTTGGCTCCTATTTTGGGGCAAGACTGTTGCTCTGAAAACTGTCTTCCCATTGTTGAAAAGTTGTCTTCTGATCAGGTGTTTTATGTTCGCAAAGAGGCTGCGTCTGCTCTGGGTAGCTTGGCATCCGTAATAGACGCACAGACCGTAATTGATAAACTGGTTAGTTTTTCTATATTCAGTTTAACCAAATGGCAATTTACCACAATTGGCGAAGTCGTAAAATGCTAATTACATTCCTTTTTGTCACTAGATTCCAATGTACATAACATTTTCCAAGGACAGTATATGGCATGTTAGAAGGTCCTGTGCACTGTCATTACCAATGATTTGCGGTGTCTTACCCGACGATCTTAAGCGACAGCTGGCTATCGAAGCGCTTGATACCTACAAAAATGATGTTTCTAGAAATGTTCGGAATGCCTTGTGGGAGATTACGGGAGAATTGATAGCCAAGTTCTTACCAAACGATTGGGAAACATCTGGATCACCCGGTGATGTAAGTATAGTCTATATGTTGAAAAATATTCATCTTTGGACACTCATCAAATTGTCTTGCGTAGGTGCCTGATGCTCTATTGGATTTCTTTCTGTCCGTTGGTACAACAGAAGGTGGTATCCAAGTTTACAAAATGGAAGCAGATCGGACCTATATCTGCGCTTTCAACTTTCCAGCGGTGGTTCTAGCAGCTGGTCGAAGCAAATGGGAGTCTCATCTCAAGGAAACGTATTTGACGCTAACTAAGGATTACCAGATCAAGGTCCGACGGTCGCTCGCTCATTCACTGCATGAGGTGGCCAGGATAATCGGTGCAGAACAAACCGAGCGAGATTTAATTCAAATATTTGCTTTGTATTTAATGGATCTTGATGAAGTCAAGCAAGGTGTTTTAGAACACATGGGCGATTTTCTTGCTACTTTGGCACCAGCGTCTCGGTCGGAATATATACCCATCCTCACTGAAGTATGGGATGGCGTTTTCAGCAACTGGCGATTACGGGATATCCTGGCTGACCAATTACCACTTATTGCGGAGCTGGTCGAACCCGACTTGGTGATAGAGTACATTCTACCCTTGACTCTGCGAGCCTGTCAAGACGAATTCGCCAGCGTTCGAGAGACAGGGATCAAATGCGTGAGTATACTCTGCCCTTTTCTCCTAATTGAAATCCGTGTAACGCGTCAAATTATTCTAATCATGTTCCATCACAGCTCCCTGTTATTCTGAAAATCGTCAAGCAAGCGGTGGACACAGATGAGCAGGAGGAAGTGCCAGATACAGATGACGAAGAGAAGAGAGTGGCCATGAACGAAATGCTTGAAAATCGACGCGAGCACAACTTGGCCCTTTTGAGCCATGTCATGGAGAAGATAGACTGTTTTGCACGATGGGAAGGTTATCGTGGACGAATAGTGTAAGATATCTTTGTGTATGCGCACTTTTTAATCGAACAACATTTGAACTCACGCCAAACTTCAATAGATTTGCTCATACATGCTCAGCATTGATCGCTTCTGGTATCTCGGTGTCTGATTTCTCTGCTTTCTTCTTACCTCGGCTAGAACCACTAGCTAGTGATCCTGTTGTAAATGTTCGTATAGCAGCATCACGGACGGTCAGGGCTCTGTGCATGACAGGTACGTACAAAGGCGGAGCAAGGTGTAGGCACAATTTTCCATTGTTGTTGGGTCATTACTCTGATACACTTTTCCTTTTTCTTCAGATGGGCATAGGGAAGACGCCGGGAATTTGGATTCGCAACCTTTACATAGTGTCGATCATCTTGGAAACCCATTGCATAGACTGTTGTTCCGCCTAGCTCTTGATGAGGACCAAGATGTTCGATCTTATATACTAGATTTCGTGGATATCGAAAAGTTGCAGGAGGAGCAAGTGAGAAAGAGAGAAATGTCAAAATTAGAGCAACAACATCAGGTCACCCATGCTACGGCGGAAGAGTCGTCGGATTCTATATCTGAAAGCAAGACTTCCGTTACGCCAGATGAAGAAACGCTCATCGTCATGAATGAAGAAGACTATGACATGGAGGTGGTTGGTACACCCATGGACTACAGTAGCGAGGAAGACATTTATGATGGTGGTGACGACGAGACGATGCTCGATGCTTTTGAGGCTCAAGAAGAAACGGATATGGTAGATGATGGATTGTCAACCAAGGACTTTTCCAAACCTTCCTCTATCGAGGTTAATGACATTCACGGCATGGTGGGATCAGGTAAAAATGATCCCTCTATCCTCTTGACTAGCCAGAGTGACGATAACCATTTCTTATATCGGCCCATAAAAGCTGATTCCAAGTCTGTCGGCGAGGAGTAGCCCATGGGTTTTTTCTTTTATTTTAACTCTGTTTACGATACTGTATGATACTCTTTTCTACTTTGTATTTTTCTATCTGTCTTGTCTCTTACATTTATTCCCCTTATATACATGGCTGTTCTTGTGTTAACTCTTTTTTTTTATATCCACCATTGTAACAATACTTTATACATTCTGACATACCTCCCTTTCCTTTATTTTTTTGGTCATCACTTCGATTTTATGTACCATCTTTGATGTTCTATTGAATGTATGACGAAATAGAATTTTCCACGGAGATGATGTTGTCCCTAGCATTGTTTACAGTAATGCTGTTTCCTTATAAAGCATGGCATAAAGGCATCGATCTCCATGCGTGCAACCATCGATGTTGGTCAAGTCTACCCACTGCCGTACCGCCTTTCGTAGGAGGTGATGTGGAGTTAGAATGGGGCAAGGAGGAGCGCATTGACTGCATTATAGAACATCGGTCATGGGTTTACATGGTGGTCTTGCTACCAGCTTAACACTTGTTTAATGCATCGTTTTTGTTACATATGAAGTTCTACGACGAGAAGGTGAAAAATGAGTGGTACATATGGCTATATAATAGGATAGGAAGGGGGGTTTGGGTAGTAACAGAGATTAAGGAATAGGAATGAGACTTTGGTTTGGATAAACAGCTCAAGTTCAGTTTGCAAGCAATGAACGTTGAGCAAATTAGTAAACTACTACAGGTAGCTGAGCTAAGAGAGACATATGGAATGCGTTGATTTTTCTTCTTAGCAGGGTATGGAGTCGAAACTATATCGGAATATCCTCCTTGTGGTGATTTTTTTTTTCTTTTGCAGTTCGATGGAGGGGGGGATAAGGGGTGTTACAGCATCTACAGAAAGTCGTATGTAGCATCTTGTCTGCGAGTCGTCCAGGGTTTTTGAGCCACAGCAGAATGCCAGTTGATATAGGCATGAAATTCTTTCCATTCTTCAAGGATGGTTGGAATTGCGTCCTCCAAGGTTGAAGAGCCTATCAGACCGTTGAGGGCTTGTAGCTGTTGTTGATAGCAATGCGCATAAGCGTTACCAATATCACCACTCCACCCTAGTGGTAGTGACTGGAATCGACTTTCCACTCTTCGGAATCCACTTGTGGCTAAGATCGACGACAATCTTCTAGATACGAAAGGGTCTTGGCTACGGCATGACAGAACGTGAATGACTGGTGGTAATCAAACTGATGTTAATACCGCGGTGGGGCAAGGATGGCTCAAAACAACATGGGAACTCACTCTTGTCATACAGTGTTCGCTCTTTGACAGAGCTTTGTTGGGTCTCAATGTCGGGTTCTACAAGCTCGATCCAACCACCTGGCTTGAGAACACGGTGGTATTCTTTAATAAGCCTAGTCCAATCAGACGCTTGTAGGCCCCAGTTTAAGTCTCGTTGAAAAACAAACCCAATGCTGTTGTCGGGAAACGGGAGTTGATCGCCCACAGCGTTGCATTTACGAAAATGGCAGTTTTTCGGCTTGACTTGTTTTGGGTAGTTTTCATGGATGTCGATGCCGATGAAGGTGGAACGCGGGAACAGAGTACTCATTTCCTAAAGGCGTTTCCTTATCAGTGAGGTGTTCATATTCCGTGTCCTACATAATAACACCTGAAAGCACAAAACTTACCATTGTCCAGGTTCCTAGGTGACAAACAAAATGGGATCCACGAGAGAGAAAACAAATGATGCGTTTGTTTAGTACCATCATCTGTCAATTTACAACATTTTTTTACGAGATAGTGGTGCTTACCTGGGCCACAGCTGATACATCATAGTGAGCAATCCGAAGAGGGATAGAAAGAATGCGTCAACGGAAAGAAAACGGTCAATTCCGTATGAGAACAAAATAACACATACCCAACATCAAGGACAACAACACCTTTTTCAAGGATCTGTCGTATTGGAGCAGAAAAGTCACTGTTGAAAGAGCATGTTAATAACACTCTACATTTTGACTGTCACACTGAAAAATGGCAACAGCTAGTGAATATGTACCCACCCTTTGAATGCGGTTCGTAGTAGATAGTGCTGAGCGATGAGTCGATCCTGCTCTTGCAGACTATTCTTCAAGGCATATGGATCATCGAAGCGAGCTCTATAGTTGACGGTGTTCCAACGTTTCGGCGTGACCCGGATGTCTCTGGAGACACTTTCGCTAATACTTGGTCTCATAGTTGGAGATTGAAGAACACGGTCGTCCATCCACTGTACAACATCTTCGACGCTGCGAGGTCGTCTATTAAAGTCTGCGCTACTGCCGGAGGAAGATTCGGAAGTTGCGGAATACGACAAGGATGGGTAGTACCTGTCAGTAATGTCATCCGAGTCAGCGCTGTTTGGTCTAGAGCGGTCACGGGGTGGCATTGCTGTTGTTTGCTCCATAGAGGCTTGTGGCAGATTTGGCGTGGATCGGGCGTTCTTTAGTATCGAAGGTGGAGCGCCAAGTCGTCGGTGGTGGTTGGAGGATGTGATCGATATGGAGGATGAGAAAAAAATGTCGTCGTCGTCGGAAGCCATTCTCTTGTTAATCAACTTTTGAAGCATTTTGCCACCTCTTATAGAAACCGCAGATGGCATGGTTATCTTTAGAGGAGAGAAAAGGGTTTTAAGAAGGAAAAGTCCAAAAGTTTAATTTTCTGGTTGTTTGCAGAAGAAAGAGAAGGAGAAAGGAGAAGTGTTGATGAGCGAAAAGGCCAGAAGAAAAAAAAAAAGGAAGACAGGTATGCTTTTTGGTCTATTTGGCGGATTCGATTAGCTGGCTCCCTTGCTTGTGGAGAAGCTCACATACTGTTTTCAGCGAACGCATGTCGATAGCCCAGTCCGCGTGTCGTCAGGATTGTGCCACGATCCGCTTTACCGAGCATTGTGTTGTCATAGGCCTCGGTCCAATGCTGCTGGTTCAGGTTTCACTAAGTAAAGTGCACAGCTTAAAACTAGCGTTCATCCTTCATTCATAGTGTGGTACAGGGCGATGCCATCCCATGCCTTGTCACCATCGTTTCCATGATGTCGAAGTGCTGCACCTTTTGCTTGAGAAAAGTCCGTTTCACAAGCTACAATCGAGCATCCTACTGCCATATATGGTAAACCATGCGAAGATCTTGCTGTTGAGAACAGTCAAGGGGTGTTGACTTCCATATGTGGAGCCTAACGGTTATCCGCTTCCTCCGAGTCTGGTTTGTTCCGTTCGCTAAGAGAAAATCAAGAAAACAGTGTATCTAAACGCATGCCTGCTGAATTTCATGTCAGGTTCACAACTAGAATCTTACCCATGAAGATATATTCATCAGATGCCGTTGGCAAAAAAAAGTACACACATTCGTCCCGCCAGTTAATAAAGTGTCTTCTGATATTTTCACAAATTATTTAATTAAATAATCATTACGATCGGCATCCTACAGGGAAGCCCTACAAATCTATGGTTTAATTAGATGAAGCACTTCTTTGACGCAACTGAAGCACGCAACAAGAAATGCTTCAGTAAGTGACGTTATTTCAGACACGAGGCGAAGGTATTCGTCGATCTTGTCCATCAGAGCGAGGATGAGGCGGTCTGGATTGTAAGCCTATCGCCGCTGAACTCTGGGACCTTGTATCGGTGCAACGTGAACTCCTTGCTCGGTCCCTTCTGTGGATGCGTCGCGGACTGCGACGCTAGGATCGGTGACGTGAGCCTGGGTACAAGCGATAGCGTGACCGCATGTCAGGTTCTACGCTGTGGTCTATCGTAAGATTTACTTCGGGAACGACATTCAGAACACCAGCAGAAAACCCCTTGTGACGTATAGCTGTTGTATATGAGAACAATGCCATATAGGTTGCCAAACCTAGGGCAACTTGCGCGGCGGAAACATGCAGCTTCCAGCGTCACCGCAATAGTAGCAGAAAACATCCTTTCTGCCGTCAGTTCCTTTAGCAAATTCCACCATGATACGATCGCCAGTGTCATTCTACAAGATTAGCACCCCATACGGAAACCTATTTGTCAATTATAACTGAAAATGGTGCACCGGCCATCCCCATGGCATTGTTTGATGGTTTCAACCGTTTCCTCCATGTTGTCAAAACGGACAACCCGAATGCCGAGTGTCCAAATAATATGACATTACTCTGTCAATTGGTACTCTTAAATATCTATTGTTCACTTGCCCTTAGAACGATTCACAATAGTTCGGTCCTGGCTGCAGGGGGGTGAGAACTGGTTCGGGGGATTTTAAGAGCATGCAGCCAACATGGACAGAGAGTGAAGATAAAGTTCCTGGCCTTTATCTTGCCATGACATGATGATCCATAACATTTGCAAACTCTTGAAAAATTACATCCTAGTTCCCCAGTGTTCAATATTGGACGATAATCTTTAAATATAATACGACTAGTAATGTAATCGCTAATCAACATATTTAAACAAACTCTCTTTTTACAGATCCCCTTTCTGCCCTCATGGATATTACAGCGCCACGTGCGGAACTCAAACAGATACTCTTTTCAAACGGCTTTCATGGTGTTAGATCAGCAATCACCGAGCGGAACTGGTCAGCAAAGGTTACATAAGCCCAGTTTTCTTCTCTTCGTGTGGATTGTGGTTCTGTAAGTGGGTACGAACGCTTGATCCAAAAGAGGAAAAGCCCTCATGCCGCACTTATGGCGACTTGCGTCTCGCTGCTTTAAAGTTTGCCCTTTATAAACATGAAAGTCGTCTTGCACTGAACGGTTGTTCAAATTGTCCAATATACCCTGATGAAGCATATATGGGGCTCACACGCGTTCTCCTTGAGTAGAAATGTTTCAGCTTGGCAAAAAATAGAAGCAGTTCGCATTTCCACCAAATTTTTTTTGGTGGATTCACTCAAGAATTAGTTAATGTAAGCCATACATATTTGCACAGAATTGGCTCATGTACATAACCTGGAGAGAATGGGATCATAATAGCTACTGATTCATCTGTCCTCACCAACGTAGTGACAGTTATCTACGCGAACTGCTTTACTATAATATTAAGATTGAGAAAGCTATCATATTTCCAAGAACCAGTTTAATACGCACAGCATAACTGGCTGGCAGGCTAACAACTTGAATTGTGCATTGGCATTTCCAGCACATGTTCAGTCGACTTTTCCGGTCACAAACCGCTGACCTTTAAAAAACAACTTGATACTAGCCAACGTTCAGTCTGCTGCTTGGCTAGCTACTGTCTGGAATGTCCCAGCAACTTCATTTCGAGTCGTCCTTCTGGGGCCAAAAGTTTACAAGCTTATCAGTCCCGGACTATCAAGCTGGTCTTCGTGTTCTACATGAAAAGCTCTCTCAAAGCAGGATCGAAAACGATGAGATTATCAGCTTTCTGCGAGAACGAGTCTCAGTGGAGGAAAGCTATGCAGTTAAACTGGTCGACCAAGGACAACAGCGAAGTAAAGCCAAGGGATTCCTACGAGACGAAGGAGCAACTCTCAGGAAAGGCTTTGATAGTTTACGCGCCGCCAGTGAGCTGCTTGGTTCCCAGCACATGGAGCTTGCACTCAATATTCACGAAGTTGTTCTGAAGCCACTGATCAAAGTAAGCGACGAGTACAAGGCCGACGTAGCCAGTGCAAAACGGAACATCGATATGAAATTCAAGCAATTCGACAATGGAGTGAAGGATGTTGAACGACTTAAAACCTATTATGTAAGAAAGTGTCGCGAAGCTGACCGTGCGGAAGAGCTTGCACTCAACTCAGCAAGCGAAGCAGCAAAAACCACCGTTCTATCACCGAAGAAAGAAGAAGTGGAGAATGAAAAAGAGGAAACCACTGAGAGCCAACAGGTTGACAATCTGGAGAAAGCTGTCCAGCAGGAGGAACCAGCGTCCGGTGAAGTAAATGCAACAGCCACAGCGGCTCATAGTCCGACGTATACCCTAGCTGGCCAGGTATATTCAGCAGAAGAGTTTGAAGCATTGATCAGCAAAATGCGACAAGAGATTCCCGTTACTGAGCATAAGGTAGCCATTTTTGGAACCTATCAAAATACATCGACCGGCGAAAACATCGCTCGTTGGCTACAACAGAACTTCCCCAAGTGTAAAGATTCACCAGCAACGGCCGACCTCATTGGACAGCAGCTCATCACTTCTTATCATATTTTGAAGCTGATCGGTCAGCTTGGTGAAAAGTTTGTTCCATCGTCGCATCATGTGTATCAATGGAAGACAACGGTTAGTGCTCCTGATACCAGTCCAAATGGTATTGCAACATCAGCTCTCGAAGGCGTGTCTGGCATCCTTGGAAAGTTTGGAAGTTCTATCGCCAGTACTGCTGTGCCTGTCCAATCAACCCCGATGGTTGCTGGAGAAGAGCCTCATAAAGTGGCTCGTCGTGAAGCTGAGCTGGCGGACGAAGCGTATCTCAAAGCCATTCGAAAATTGGACAATATTCGCCTTCAACTGGAGGAAATGCTGGTAAGTGACAATGGTATAGGATTTCATGTTGTTTTTCCAATCATCTAAAGTAAATCCGTAGTTTGCACACTTTTCAGATATGGAGCGGCTTGAGCTGAATCGGATCTCAACCATTAAGCGAGGTAAGATAGGCTAGATGTTATGAAGGCGGAGCGAATTCTTGTTCATATTAGTCTTGGCAGCGTTCATCGAATTCGGAGCTATTATGTCCAACACACTCCCGACAGCAAAGGCTATTTATGACCAGATGCTGTTGTATCAGGAAACTCTCAAACCAGAGCAAGATATCCAGTACATTATCCAACAGTACTTCGTGTCCGGATTTGCACCAAAATCTGTACTCTATGATAATTTCTATCACGGTTATTCGATAGGTGAGGTAAAACAAGGCGCCGCCATTTTTAGGCCGTAAGTAAACTAATATGATCAATTTAGATCAATCTTTCGGCGTCTCATTGGTGGATATCAGTAAAAACACTGATGCTGGCATACCACGTATACTCCAAGTGTTCTTGTCAACATTGGAAGAAAGCAAGTATTTCGACTCGGATGGTGAATATGTAAAATTCTTTGTTCTCTAACCTTTCTTGTCTTGCAGAAACCAATGGTTTATCGTTGCAAGGTAGATACTTTTTCCAAAACAAAAAGAACGGGTGTTCTTTAGCAGGTGTATAACCTTTTATTGCAGATGAGACAGTGGTGTGGACTACGCCTGTCGCATTGGATAGCGTTCATGCTGTACGAAATGAACTCAACTTGCCAAGTAGACAATTTACAAATGATACAATGAACGGTTATGATGGAGTGATACTGGCAGGCACTTTTAGGTTGTACCTCAGAGAACTTCCAGAGTCTGTTATCCCGAGTGAGTTGTATGAAGGTATCAAGGCGATGTACAGTGGTGGTAAGTACTGCGAAACGGGTGCCATTCTTGTATTACATAGGTATGTTGACCAAATCATTTAGCTGATGACAACGAAAGCACCGTTCGCTTGCAATCAATTGCCAAACTGTTAGCCACCATGCCCATGGCTCATTACAATACATTGAAGTCATTGATAGGCTACTTTCACAAGTAAGTTGTGGATGGACTTTATGATGGATGGGCGACCCGACTGATGTTCGTTCTCTGTCTATCAAATAGGAAAATACAAGCCGCCGGTAAGGAAACTAATGACGATGAGCAGAATGAAGCCGTCGTTAGACTTGCGCATTCGTTTGGTTCCCTTCTGTTATGGCCCCGCCATGCGACATATACTACCACCAATGATCGACACGCTGTACAACTCGTTAAGGATCTCCTCACACACTATGACACCATATTTACATCTGAAACCAACGAGACCAATGCCGAACATGAAAAGCGTCGACTGGAAGCACCGGTTGCATTACATGATGGCGCAGGAATAGATGTAGAGATGGTATCTGAGCCTTTAAGTCCTGGAGGCATCCGACGTGGATTAATGTCATTCGTCAGATCCGCCGCCCCCGACGATAATCCTATACGTAAAGCCAGTGGTGTATTTGGAGCATTCAACAGATCCGGGTACACTGAGTCAACCACAACTCGAACCCCTGGCAACAAATTTACGACATCTATAGCTATTTCATCACCACCGCTTCCTGGCGACACTACACCGGATGCCTTCATAATTACTGATGAACAATCAATGACCATTAAGTCGGATCAAGAGGTTGAAGAACCCGATGTTATGTTTGACGCATCTGAAGACCATGGACATGACAGTGAGGGTCAGAATAGAGACATAAACACCAAGCCGTCTACAGGCAAAGGCACGTCTGACACACATCAAGTTGAAGGAGACGTCGGAGGAGCGGATAAAGCTGAAAACAACGTCTACAGTAATAATCTCATTGCCGAGATGGATGAACTAGCTCCATCAGATAAGGAAGGAAACGATATTGATCCATTCTTTGAAGATGATTAGGTAGAATGAAACTAACTGAAGATATACTGAATCAACTCGACTGTGTTTTAAAAAGGTTTCTCTTCTCTACCTTTGAGCTGTAACAACATTCAAATATTTTTCCTTCTCCTATTATTTTCTTCGTTTAACTCTCCGTCGATAGCTTCTGTTCCCTTATGCTCCTCGCCCTTGTGGCCCCCTCCTTCCAATCTTAATTAATTTGATGGCTATTAAGCTAGTAACCTCTCGATTACTCTCATAAATGACTATCACCAAGACATATTTCGTGTTGGGGCAATTGGCAGCGGGCTTCTAAGCTTTCGCACCACAAATATGAACCGCGCATAAAGCAGTATTGTAAAACGCCATTTTTCAATTTCAGCATTGCACTCATCATTTAGCAGGCATTTGATTGGCAGATGAAATTTATAAAAGACCACTCCAAAGATCTATCTTTTTTCTTGTTATTATTCCTTTTCTTCAAGAAAACAAATTACATATCAAACATGGTCTCTGCTACTAACCTCGGTTTCCCCTACGTCGGTGCTAAGCGTGAACTCAAGAAGCTCGTAGAATCTTTCTGGTCTGGCAAGATCTCTGAAGCCGATCTTATCTCTGGTGCTCACCAATTGCAAGAGACTCACTGGAAGGTTCAACAGGAGCAAGGTATTGAGCAGATCCCATCTGGTGACTTCACCTTCTACGATCGTATGCTTGATACTGCCTGCAACTTTGGTATCGCTCCCCAGCGTTATCAGCACATCCAGAACCCCCTTGAGCAATACTTTGCTATGGCTCGTGGTCTCCAGAAGGCTGCTACTGCCACCTCCGAGAAGGTCGATGTCCCTGCTATGGAGATGAAGAAGTGGTTCGATACCAACTACCATTTCATCGTCCCTGAGTTCGAGCCTACCCAAAAGTTCGAGCTCAAGACTGCTCGTGTTGTTGAGCAATTCAAGCGCGCCAAGGCCCTTGGTATCAACACTCGCCCTGTTGTCGTTGGTCCCGTCTCCTTCTTGCACTTGGGTAAGCCCGCCAAGGGTTTCGAGGAATTCAACACTCTTGATTTGCTCCCCAAGGTCCTCCCTGCTTACGTTGAGCTTTTCAAGCAATTGGAAGCTGCTGGTGCTGAATGGATTCAAGTTGATGAACCTATCTTGGTTTTGGATCTTGAGTCCAACGTCAAGCTTGCTTTCGAGAAGGCTTACAAGACTCTTGCTGGTGCCACTCAAGTCAAGACTTTGTTGACCACTTACTTCGGTCGCATTGATAACAATGTTTTCATTGTCAAGGATCTCGTTGATGGTATCCATTTGGATCTTGCTCGCAACCCTGAGCAACTTGAGGCTGTCTTGCCTTTGTTGAACGACAAGCAAATTTTGTCTCTTGGTCTTGTTGATGGTCGTAACATCTGGAAGAACGACTTGAACAAGTCTTTGGATCTTGCTGAGAAGGCTGTTGCTGCCCTTGGTTCCGAGCGTGTTCTCGTTGCTCCTTCTTGCTCATTAGCTCACTCTCCCTACTCCACTGCCTTCGAGAAGAAGATCAAGGCTGAGAACCCTGAGCTCTTCAGCTGGTTGTCTTACTCCGTCGAGAAGTGCGCTGAAGTTGCCACCATCGCCAAGGCTTTGAATGGTGGTCGCGCTTCTGTCCAAGCCGAGTTGAATGCCAACGCTGCTGACCTTGAGAGCCGTCGTACCTCCAAGCAAACCACCAACCCTGCTGTCCGTGAACGTGTTGCTGCTGTTCCTGCTCAGGACTACAAGCGCGCCAACGCTTTCCCCCACCGTCGCGAAGCTCAGGTCAAGAAGCTTAACCTTCCCCTTTACCCTACCACCACCATCGGTTCTTTCCCTCAGACCAAGGATATTCGTGTTGCTCGTCAAAAGTACACCAAGGGTGAACTCTCCCAAGCTGACTATGATATTTTCATTAAGGAGGAGATGAAGAGAGTTGTCGAGTTCCAAGAGAAGGTTGGTCTTGATGTCCTTGTCCACGGTGAACCCGAACGTAACGATATGGTTGAGCACTTTGGTCACCTCCTCCACGGTTACGGTTTCACTGAGAACGGTTGGGTTGTTTCCTACGGTTCTCGTTGCGTCAAGCCCCCTGTCATCTATGGTGATGTCTCTCGCCGTTGCCCTATGACCATCGATGAGATCGTCTACGCTCAATCCCTCACCAAGAAGCCTATGAAGGGTATGTTGACTGGTCCCGTCACCATGATGAAGTGGTCTTTCGTTCGTAACGATATCCCTGCCAAGGATCTCTGCACACAAATTGCTCTTGCTCTTCGTGATGAAGTTGTCGATTTGGAAACTGCCGGTATTCCCTGCATTCAAGTCGATGAGCCTGCTATTCGTGAAGGTCTTCCCCTTCGTCGTCAAGACTGGGATGCTTACCTTGACTGGTCTGTTGGCTGCTTCCGTTTGTCCACTGCTGGTGTTCGTGATGAGACTCAAATCCACACCCACATGTGCTACTCTGACTTCAACGATATCTTCGATGCTATCCAGGCTCTTGATGCTGATGTTATTACCATTGAGAACTCCAAGTCTGATGAGAAGCTTCTCAAGATCTTCGAGCGTAAGCAGTACACCAACGAGATTGGACCTGGTCTCTATGATATCCACTCTCCTCGTGTTCCCTCCGTTGAGGAAATGAAGACTCGCTTCGCTGATATGCTCAAGTACTTGCCCAAGCACCTTCTTTGGGCTAACCCTGACTGTGGTCTCAAGTCCCGTGGCTGGCCCGAGGTTGAGGCTGCCTTGATCAACATGGTTGAGGTTGCCAAGCACTTCCGTGAACAGGACAGTGCTTAAGCCTCTTTATTGAAATAATGTCGCCACCCTTTCAACAAGTTGTGTGTGCGATGTAGGTAAGAGATTCAACAGCTCGATTGAAAAAAAATAATCGTAAAACAGGCTGCACTTTTCAACACTAGTGTATGCCGCTCCTGGTTCTCAACGAACTGGGCTTTCTTTATTTTTTTCTCTGTTCCACCCTTCCTCCCCTCCTGCATTCGTAACCCTACCTCTCCCCTTTGCCACTATGAAACATCCTCCATTTAATCTCTCTAGGTTTATCGTGCGATTCAACATCGTGGCCTTCAAGGCCGAAACAGCAACACCAACTACATCAGGTCAAGAGTATCTTTGCTTAATCCATGCCTTGCATTCAACAATAAGGCCTCTGGTTATTGGTAAATACACTTTCTATGCTTTGACTGCATCTCAACAAATGCGGTTGAAACGATTTGGAATTTCTGGGCAGTTTGATCTCAACCATCAAACACATAAAAAGTCCCAGTTCCATTTCGCTTTTCAATTTGCCTTTCTTCCCTTTCAGAGCATATGACCAAAAAAAAAAAAATCCCAATACTTCTTTATCTGCCTATAGCAGTTTATATAAGTGGGTGTCCATAGTGGACCATCTCATCAGTAATATCGTCAATAAACAGTGAAATCAATTTTAGTGAAACAAAATATCTTGGGTTTTTTTTGGCGTTGAAGCTTTGGTGGCAACCAGTTGCGTAATTGTGCACGGTTTTACTGTGGTGGATTGAATTCTGTTTCAGTACTCCATATGCCTTGGTGTCCGAACATTGTAAAAGCAAACACATGGTATGATGAACAAAAATATAAAAGAATCTATTGAAAATTCACTATGTATCTGCCAAACGAAGATTGACGGTCAATTATGCTATAATGAAACGTGGGACGTAGAAGTTAAAGGCGTTGGAGAAGGGCAACATGTTTTTGCAGCACAGCTTTCGTCTTCTGAGCATCGCAGCAAGCACCGGCTAACCTGGAATCCCTGCTAGATACAAAGGTTAGTCCCTATCAAGCACATTGTTTCAAACTTTTGACAACATACTGGACTATTTTCTACTTGTTTCTCCTCGTCTGTTGTTTTCTTCTTTGACCAAGGTAGAATATTGGCCCACCATGAAGTCTTCGGTTGGCGCTGTGGTGTATTCGACTCCGCTGGAGGAATCTGCGCATTTGCGATGATATCGCCGGACGAGTCAGGGTCAACGAACTCTGGCTGTATGGTGATGGAATGAATGCCGTGCCGGTGCATAAGCTTTCTCACGCGCTGAGCAACAGTCATGTAGTTGGAAGTCGACGACAACAGGACATGGAGGGATGCAATTGTTTTGGTGTCTGAGAGCTGCCATATATGAAGTTCATGAACTGAGAGAACATCGGCTGTCTAAAAAATATCAAAAATTTGCTCATGTTGGTCACTATAGCCCTTGCATCATCAAGGTATCAAGGATGTATCAGAGTGTTTACCTTGTAAAGCTCTCGTCGAACGTCATCGATTGCAATCGTATTGGGAACACCTTGAAGTAGGATGAAAGAAGTACTTCGTACAAGCGGTAGGGCCGAAGAGAAAATAATGATGGTGATGATCAAACTTATCAATGGATCAAAATAGAATCTCCAACTATAGGGAGTCAACCAGATGATCAGAGCACTTATAACCACACCGATATTGCCCAAGGCATCACCCACAACATGGAGAAAGACCTAAGGAAGACGATGTTAGTGGGATCAAGAGGCAACACATCTTCTGCTGTGGTTATTAACTTACACCTCGCATATTAAGATTTTGCTGTGAGTGCTCAGATTCACCCTCTTCATGATGGTGGTGTTGCTCAGAGCCAGATGAAGAGCCATAGTCGTGAGCAACATCATGGGACGAATATTGTCTAGCATGTTGTACAATCAAGTCTCTAGCAACGGAAGGATGCATTGTATTCCTGTCGATACTATCTCTCAGCCTATTCACGTCGTCAATTCTTGGGCTACTCGGTAGCCGGTTTGCCTCTCTAATACCGTCCTTTGCGTCATTTGACAAAGTAGCGTGGCTGTCATCTCTTGAGATATGGGCCGGTGCGATATCCAAGGCACTCACATTATCATTAGTGGAGTGCGAGTGGCTGTGTCCATGAGAATGGCCGTGTTCTGGAATACAGATCTTGTTAAAATAAAAAGGGTGGCGACGCTGGATCTATCGTCACGGCACATACCATGGAACAAGACCAAACCAAACAAGTTCGCTGCAAGCCCTACGCAGCCTGTAATCAACACCAATACCGGCTCGGTTACGATTTGTGGGCTGATAAACCGCTCAATGCAGTCGATAAGAAGAGTAAAACAAAGAGCAAGCAAAAATACACCGTTGATGAGGGCCCCGAGGACCTCAGCCCGCTGCCAGCCATACGAATATTTAGATTCGAATTCTGTCCTTGCCGCAACCTTTCGAAGGAGAAAAAAAAAATAAAAGAGTCAGCGTGACCTCGTCAGAGACACATGATATAAAAGGCGTTCATACCTTGACAGCCCATAGAGCAATAACCAGACTGATCATATCGTTCAGCATATGGAAAGAGTCGGCTACCTGTTTGCTACCTTGTCAGATCACCTTCAATAATTGAAAACCAAAGTTACTTGTTTGCTTACCAGAGCTAGCGAGCCTACACGGTAACCAATTATGATCTCGGCCAAAAAAAAAAGGGTATTGATGACCAGCAGTATGATTATGCGTACTTGTCGTGATAGCTTGAACATGATGGAGCAGACTAGGATAAATCAGTAGAGGACGGTCGGTGGCAATGATAGGTAGAGAGGAAATGGTTGACAAGTAGTGAGTGAATGAGGGTGATGACTCCGTGCACTAAAACTTTTTTTTAAATGAGATAGAAATAAACAAAAAAGGGAGATAAAGGGGTTGCAAATGACTATAGGTGTGAATAAAGGGTCGTTCTGCAGTGACGACTTTAAATTCAAACAAATTACTTGCGAAGGGGCTAATAATATGAAGTTATATAGGAAAAGTCAAACGGATGGAGAGTGGCGGGGAGGTAGGAAAAGAAATCGCTCAAAAGTGAAAAAAGAAAACCAAAATAGACGGATGCTGATAAATTTATCCTCTTTGCGATGGGAAAACGGGCAACCGCAACAGTACTCTTTACAAAGGGTACCTCTGAAGAGCCGACTTGTCCGCGCAGACCGTAAGGGTACACATGGCCACAAAGGTACATTACTGAGACAGCCGAAAATTTTTTGGCATGAGAGAGAAAAGCGAATGGCGCATTAAGCCCTAAATTTCAATTTTATACAGCAGACAAGGCAACAGGAAACCTCAGCATGAATGGTCAAGTTGTAAAGCTGTTTGTAATTGCAAATAAGGAAACTTTTATTGAAACATTTTCATTCAAATGGTATGGAACCTTACCATTACTTGGTGAATTAGGTGTGACAAAGTTAAATGTTCGCATACCAATTACTTTACAAGTAGCATTCGGTAGAAAAGAGCCATTAGTCAATCTGCTAAAAGATAGGCACTGATCTCTCTGCAGACAATCAGCCTAATAGAATAGGAAATACTGGCGTCATTCCCGGATCTATTGCAGAGTCAGTCTGCTGCCATGGACATGTCTTTTCTGTTGGTGGGGTGATGCGAAACATTCCGCGCTCTATTTTGGGAAAGACGATAAAACATATAAAAAGCCTGAGCCAGGCGAACAGTAGCGGGCTTAATCACCATGAAAACACTCTTCGTCGCCCTAACTTTCATCTTCTGTGCTGTATCAGCCTTAGTCTACACGCCTAAAGTGACCTCGCCAGATCGTAGCTCCGTGTGGCAAGCTGGAAAAAGCTACACCGTTACATGGTAGCCCTCTTAAGTCTATATTGAAACAATTCAAATGAATAGCTTGTAGACCTAACTACATATCTAATTTTATAGGGATATCCACTCTGCCGGTGCACCCATCCCGGACGATGAAACGTATGTCATCGCTGGCAACAATGTCTCTTGAACTAAGAGTGTTCATGCTCATACTAATCATTTTCCTACAGTGCGTCACTCTACCTGGGATACTTAATAAATAATGACCAGTACAATGAGCACCTGTGTAAGTGATGAGGAATATTTTAGCCTTTGAAACAAGGAACTACTTCATTCATCCCTGTATCATATTCAGATTGGGAATTGGCGTCTGGTTTCAAGCTGAATGCCGGTTCACAAGAAGTGAATATCCCGCATGATCTTAAAACCCGCCATAGCTATATCATGGTCCTGATCGGAGACAGTGGTAACGCCTCTCCACCGTTCACCATCGATTCAATTCATTCGTGATCATCACCACAGCACTAATCGGTCTACGTTCAGACCGGCAACCATCAGTTACGACATTTTCCCACCCCACTCCACAATGTTTCATACCACTCTTGCTCTGTATGGGCCATGTGAATAATCTCAATTTTAATTCTTATGTGTATAGGAAAATCCTTTTATAACAGATATGTGTACTATCGTCCTAAAAATAAATGATAACTTAATCTTTTTTAATACCGAGACGGACCTCACGACCATGCTTCATAAGTTTCTTCATGGAGCCAAATCCAAAAAGAAGAGTGCTGATGGTCCATTTGGCCACATTGACTGGGCTATACCAGCCACGTCTGAGACAAATTCCCAATGCAACTACTCCTTCAGCAACATGAATACCGGATGCTGCCTTCCAAATTATAGGGTACCAGTGATGTGGGTAGAGTTTGTGAAAGTATTGAATGGGAAGTGGCAATGCCTTTATGTCTTCTGGGGTAGACACCGAGAAATAGTATACGGCTCCCATTCCAGCTACGATTGCAACAGCCAAGCCAGTATTGCAAGGGTAGAAAGTATCAAGTGGAACCTCAGAAGATGGTGGAGTGTACGAATCGGTAGCCGTAGCGTAAACGGACTTGGCAATGGCTGCTATAGGGGGTGGTCCGGAAAGCGAGCTTGGCTGTCAGAGAGAACGTCAACGAACTGAACGCAATTGAAGAGTTGTAAGCCAGGTGAAAGAGTTTCATTTCACTTACCAAGCCTAGAGCTTCTTCGGCCTCCTTGGCCATACCTTCCAAAACTGGCCGAATTTCCTCTCTCTTTGTTAAAGGTGTTTTGAAGTCGATGAAGGCATCCTTCGTAATTCCATCAGGCAGTTGATACTCAACAGTGAATCCTCTGGCGTTGATGCTCTTGAAAGTTGCTGACACAGCACTGTCTTTGCCAGCAAAATACCGAACATATGCAAGATTCGTGGCTAATACAGACATTAGATGAATGGCTAATAGGTCGATGGTGAATAGAGTGGACTCAAGGACTTACCAGAATGGACACTCATGTAGGCAGAAATGCCTGCACTGTGTGGGGCTATAGGATCTTGGCTCATTTCGGTGATGTGGAACGACAAGCAGACTCCTGGACAACGTGTGTAAACCCTTTTACATAGCACCGACGCGGTACTACAAAATTCCGACCTTCCGCCATCGACTCACTAAAGTATTCCGCCCTGCCTCACAAGGAAGTACAGTACTGGAACTCTTCAGGGAACACATGTTGTGTCGAAATCGATACTCGATATCTATGCTCATATTTTAATTTTGTATATGTACAATAACGAATGTACGTAAATCTAAGATATGCTACTTCAAATCCACCATCATCGACATTAGTGTCGCCATACTTTCAATTGTCTATCCTTGCCGCCACTAGCGACCTTGTCACCTCCTGGACTCCAATCCACACTGAATACCTGTGTAAAATATAAGGTTAATAACGAATTGTTTGTCTTTGCATATGCCGTAGCTTCGCAATGCATTATCGTACCTCGTCCAAATGACCAGGAAGGTCTAACTTGATTTTCTTGGTTTTAAGATCCCAAATCTTGAGTGTAGTGTCCTTGCTGCTGCTGATAAGCATACGGCTGTCGCTAGACCAGCAGATCTGGTATACTGGGCCAACATGGCCTCTCAATGACGCGATGAATTTTCCACTTTGACCGTCCCATAATTTAACAGAGTTATCGAATGAAGCGCTGGCAATAAGTCGGCCGTCAGGCGAAAAGCTAACATGATTGACTAATTTCTGGTGACCGGTTAAACGGGCCAACGGCTTCTTGTTCGCTTCGGGTTCCCAGAAGAACATTGTGAAATCGTCTGATCCTGATACCAACCGTTCAGGTTGCTTTCCCTTAGCAGCCTGATAGCGTTCCAGAGCCAATTTTTGACCTATAGCATCGATTAATTATTTTCCAAGTCATGGTTAACATATCACAAACTGTTACTCCTGTCCCACCTTCTTCTTCCGTCTTGAATCGCTTTCCAGTGTGATCGTATGGACCAGTACGGAGAACAAAGTCTGTGCTTAGAGCCAAAGAGTTGACCTGAAAGTAGAATTAGCATACACTGTTTGTATAACTTAAGGCGCCTCAGTTAGTCTACGGATCCTTACCCAGTGACCATGTCCTTGAAGTGTTTTGACAAGAACACCCTGAAAATGATTATCAAAAAGTCAGCCAACAGATCTTCACAAGACCGATCGAACTAGTAAATTCAAAAACCTACCGAAGAGTTCCAGACCTTGATGGTCTTATCCTGAGAGGCAGTATAGATCAAACCTTCACCGCCCCATTTCACACAAGTGACGGCTGCAGTATGTTGTGAGATGCTCATGATCATACGTCTCATAGATGTATCCCAAACGCGAACGGTATGATCTTTGGATGAACTTGCCAATCGATTAGCCTTTGAGTTACTATTGACAGGAGGAAATGAATAAATTAGCCAATTAGTTCATAACCCATATTTATACGTACAGGCAGAGCGATAACTTACAGATGATATGGCTCCCATGCAAGACATGTAATCCATTTTGTGTGACCCTTCAATCCGTCTCCTAATGCCTTTCCAGTTTTTGGGTCCCAAAGACGAACTGTATTGTCCATACTGCCAGATGCCAATGTTTTGCCATCAGGGGCCCAAGCGATGTAAAGAACCCATCCTTTGTGACCTATACGAAAAAAAATAATTAATATATGCTCTCTTTTCAGTGGCGAAACAAGCATTCCATGCGCTGAATGTTTGGTAGTGTTCGTACCTTTCAAAGTATGTTGTGGAGTTTCCGTATTCAAATCCCAGATTCTGACCGTGGTATCGCCTATGGGAATGTTTAATTAATTAATCACAGGATGTAAAAGCCTACTTCATTCAGTGGCAATGCACATACCTGATCCGGTAGCTAATTGAGTACCATCGGGACTGAAGGCAACAGAGAGGATGGCCTCGGTGTGACCTACCAACACATAAGACGTTAATGGTCATAACTACGTATAATCCTCAAATTCTTCTAACTTACCTGACAATGTTGAGCTACACCGGGTAACTGCTCGAACTTTGAAGACAGCTTGTGGTTGATAGACAATTGTGATGCTTTCTTCCGTTGATTTCGTTTTCATATCCGACCACAAATTCTTTGTTATTTCAGTCTCTTCAACATAGAACGAATAAGGTTGAGGATCGTCTGACTAAAAAATTGGATATCATTAATTCTCTATTTAACAAGCAATGTAGCAGAGTGGTACGGCGACGTACAGTGTTCATGAGCTGATTCAACAGCATTTCAAGCTGATCCGGTGTGGCATTGACGGGCAAGTTAAGTGGTGGGCCGGTACTTTCACCGTCCACAGACTTGAATTGTGCAATGACATTCTGACTCGCCGGTAATTCCTCGACAACTTCAGCTGCCTTTCTCTTCTGTCTACTGGCCATCGTATGCGATCGTTTTACGGGTGGAGTTTGGGCCACCAATTTTTTTTGCCAAAATTTCAATCTTCTTTAATTACGCTGTCACAAAGCAGTACCAGCTTGTGGCCAGTTGATGGACAACAGGAACAAAGAATTCGGCTCAAAGGCATCGGGTAATATTCCAAGCCTGCTTATATCAAGCTGTGTCATTATAAATTTCCATTTGTACAGGTGTGTATATCTTCCAACAACGTCTCAAGTCTCGTTTGCAAAATTTATTTATGTTTCTGCGTCTCAGTATCTCGCTTTTATGGTATGGACAGCATTTGCATTAAACAACGCCAATTCAACCCTTATCAATCCGGTATTAAAATTGGAGTGCTGCCTCCGCATGATAAACCACTGGAGACTGCACGAGCTCATTGTTTACGGCTTGACCATGTGATATTCTATATTTCGAAAGTATAGCGCAATGGTGCAAAATTCAATTGCCAGTGTTGAGAGACAAGTTTCGTCTTTCGTCCTGTACTCCTGACACAACAACAATCAGTTTTGCAAATGGCGTATGGATTTCTTGATATGAGGCAGGTGTAAATGAAGCCATTTTGAACAATGTTAACCAGCCAACTCTATGCTGGACAATGGTAATACCGTTGAACAAAAGTGAAAGCGATAAAGGGCATCCAACGTACGAAAGGAAAAGTATCCAGTGTTTGCGATGTAAAAATACCCAGCGCTATTAATTGTCTTGGATACGATTGGCTAACTTGGAAAGCCCTTGCAATCCCAGCGCTACAAAAGGCAGTCAATAAGTGCGCCAAAGTTGGGATTTCCATCGTTTCTTCATTTTTGGAACCTCTACCAAAGTCGAATCTTTGCGCCACAGTGCCGCTTTCTGTTAACAACCAAAAGGTAATGTCATGGACTTAAGTTATATTCTAGTGCGGCAGTGGACCTGAAATGGTGTTTGAAATTGCATAACTGCGACAAAGTGTTGTGCTAGGTGTCGACTGCGCTGATCTGGAAACACGTTGCCATTACGTTTATGAAAACAAAACCACTGAAGCTTTGCCGACCTAAACACTTTATACAACGGTTAAACGAAAACTCAAAGCTATCATCCATATATCAAAACTTGGTTTATTCTTCACCTGATTTCTGATCCGTGTTCCTCTTTTTTTCTTTCTCTCTTTCTTTTTGGTTCAGGCACACGCTGTAGAAATGAGCGAGTTCAGCCCTCGTCCGACTGCATCTAGATCTAGTGGGTACAATGCCAAGATGTCCGACATGTCACCCACAATGAAGGAACTTGGCATAGATACTCATGTACCTCGTAGACCTGGACCCATTCCTTCACCTGCATCCAACTCATCTCGTGATTCTCGAATTTTGTACGCCGAACGTTATGGCCTAACTCCATCCATGTCTAATCTGGCAGATATGAACGATGGTGATGATTCCGACGACGACCAGCCTCTGCAGCCTCTGCGTCCAATGGTACCACCAAAGAACGTTGCTTCTGCACATATGAGCCATAGAGAATCAAGGCCATTATCAGTTCGCAACCTAGCTCCCATTACCTCTACCCGACCGCATGTGTTTATTAAACCTGCTCCACAACAGCCTCCAAATGTAGGAAATGCTCCAAGTGACATGCACTCTACACTGCGACTTTATGACGCTTTCAATCAGAAAGTTTATTTCGAAGGCTACCTTCACAAGATGAATGACCTGACTGTCGATGGCAAGCCTGTACATGATCGACAATGGTCCAAATTGTATGTAGAGCTGTGCGGATCGGTTTTGACTTTTTGGGATGCAAGCCATGTTGTAAAAAATGAAGAAACGGGCGAAACCGAAATCACCAAAGAAGACCCCATCCTACCTACCTACATCAATGTCGCTGATTCCATTGTAAACATAGTCGGAACATACCAATACGACAACCCGCCCAGAGAAAATGTGTTCCTTTTGAGCTCTGCTGGGTCCAATCGTTATTTCTTGCAAGCTCCTAACCCACATGTCATGAATCGTTGGGTCTGTGCCATTCGACTTGCTTGCTACGAAATGACTAAGCTTCACGAAATCTACACCCGCACCTTCCTTGCACGTCACACTTGGGCTGACCTATTTGAAAAGCAGAACAGCAAGTTTGAAGGATGGATACAGGCAAGATTTGGCGGCGCAACTGAATGGCAACGGTACTGGGCCGTAGTGACGGACAAACGTGATGAAAAACGTCTTTTTGGCAAGAAATCCATTGCTTCTCGAGGTCAGCTCATGTTTTACGAGACTAAGAAATCCAAGGTCCCCGCCATCACCATTGTCAACGTCCTGTGTGCATATGCTGTGTATCCAGAGAACCCAAAGCTGATTAACATGGGCACGATGCTTAAAGTGGAAGGTAGCATGTATTCGTCCACCACAAAAGACCAACATAATGGAAGTGCAAACGCCTTTGCGCTATTAATGACTGCAAGCAGCAAGGAAATGGTACAATGGCTCATTGGAATTTTTGATGCTTTCAAGTTGTACGGTAGACCGGAGCGACTCCTTTCCGATGCGAGCAATACCAACTCACTCAATTTTGCTGAACCCGTATTTGGGCATCAACCAAGATTATTCCTAGAAGTAGGCGAGATCGAACACATCAATGTACAGAATGAGACTTTGTTGGACAGTAAGGTTGCATTTGCTGGAGTGTTACGTTCCAAACTCGAGCATCAAAACCGCATGCCACTACCACCGCCGCATTTGGCTGGTCGTACCAATAGCATGCCCTTGATATCTAATGTCTCTGCACCGCAAGACTTTTCATCGTGGTCAGGACAGAATAATTCGGAACGATTGCCATTACCTGTTGCACCTGCCATGAACCAGTCAACCACTCCTGTCCGATCCAGCACATTCCCTGTAGCACCACCTCCACCTACTCCTTCACCTATCCTGGGATCACGCAATGGTTTGAAGGCTGGCAAAAATGGAACACGTTATGTGGCGGACTCCAGCGATGAGAGTGAAAATGGCAAAGACGATGAAGAGGAAGAAGAAGAGAGTGATGATGATACCATCTTTAGAAAGACCGCAACATCGGATCATCGACCATCCATCGGCTCACGCTCAGCATCCCCCCATAGTCCTACAGAAAGCCAGTATCTCAACATGGCTGGATTTGGTGAACCATTCTCACTTTCACTTCCTGCGCATGGTTTAGCCGATGTCGACTCATCACCACCCCACCAAGAGCACTCTAAGTCGGCTTCGACTCCAGGCCTCAAAGTTATTAATAGTGAACTCCCTAGACCCGATATTGGGTTTCCATCAACCGAGTCAAAAGAGGATGTTGAACCACAGCAGCCCGGCAGTCAACCAAAGGTACCCGAGCATGAGTTTGAAGCAGTCAAAACAGAACCTGAATCCCACTCCATTCCTCCTCTTGGTGTGACTCCAATTGCTGCTGCCATGGCTACTATGCACATTAACTCTCCAACTGCAACCGACTTTGATATGGGAGAACAAATGACACGACAAGCTGTCTTGAATGCGACTGCTAGAGTATTGGAAAGTGGTGGCAGTTCAAAAGGCAGCAGCGAGGCATCTACTTCCAATCGACGCATGCCCAAGAAGCAGCCTCCTGCTAGCAGTGTGAGCGGCTCAGAACCTGACCATGGCAATGATGAGGTCAGCGATGTATCGTATCAAGAATCAGACGATGCACCATTGGCTGGTGGCCCCAACCCAACATTCGCTTATCATAGAGCATCGAGTCAGCCCATGCCGTCATCTCCCTCAATGCAATCGGGCAAAATGAAAGGTAGTGGACCACCGTCTATGTACGGATCTGAATTTGAGCAACCTCAGCAACGTCAGATGTGGGACCAGCAATCCATGATGCAGCAACAACAAGATATGTACTATGGAAATGATGACATGCAAAGCCAAGCCAGCGGTTATTATAATGGACGCATGCCTATGTACCCTCGAGGATTCTTTCCAGACGATGACAATCGATCTATGTACAGTAACATGCAAGGTGTTGAAGGGCCGGCAATACCCATGCTTGGGGACAATTTTGTTCGACAAAACAGCTTGTTAGACATGTATCAGCAGGAGCAGTTGAACGCAAGGGAGCAAACCGAGTTCGCTAAAGCCACCGGCCAGCCGTTGATTCATGTTCCTACCAAACCACCGGAGCCTCGCACTGGCCTGCTCGGTCTGATTACACAACGTGAGCAAGACAAGAAAGATGGAAACAAGGCTAAGGAACGCATCAATATGATGCAGGCAGAGTTGGATCGAGAAAGGATGATGGAACGAGAACAGCAACGCCGTATGATGGAACAACGTCAGCAGCAACAGTTCATGCAAGCCGTAAGTGAAGCAAATATAAAGATGACCATCGTCCTATATCTCTAAATGTATGCGTTTTCTTTTACTCAGAACATGATGAATCCAATGGCCATGAACATGATGGGCATGGGTATGCCCATGATGGACCCAAGAATGTCTATGATGTCCGGTATGGGTATGATGGATCCCAGAATGTCGATGATGTCGAATATGGGCATGATGAATCCTATGATGAATCCAATGGCCATGAATATGGGTATGAATCCTATGATGCTCGACCCCCGTATGGCTATGATGAACCCGTACGCCAATATGCGTGGATCTCAATACGGTGGAAGTGTGTATGGTGGTGGCTTTCCTGGTAGTCCCGGAAGTGTAGCAGGAAGTCGATTTGGTGGCCTTGCCGATGATGAAGACGACGAAGAGGATGAGGATGATAATATTCCCCTTGGAAGATCTGCTAGTACGCAAGATCTCGCTGACAAAAACTTGAAGCAACCTACTCCATCCAACTCCAGCGCAAGAGACAGCCACTCTTCCAATAATTCAGGCAGCAGCAAGTCCAAACAATCTAACAAAGAAGCGCAGTAAACCAGATGACAGTGCTCTCCCATCCACAATCCTAAATTTTGCATCTATAACACAATCTTTTTCTCTATGAGACGAGTATTCTCAAATCAGCTTCTCCTCCCTACGATTTTTTTCACAGCATTCATTTTAATCATTTTCTTTCGTGCTATGTACACTATGAACTTTTATCTTGCTTAGAATCTCCCATACATTCTTTTTTAACACAAGTGAAATTATGATGAAAATTAGCAGTCACAGCCCTTAGCGTTGTTTGTGTATGTGATCAACTTTTTTTTCTCGAGTGCACTTTCTGTAGAACATTGTAGAGACAATCCATCATGTCTGTGCTCAAAAGGATCGAGGTACATTGCACAGCACATACTATTTTTTGGACGAATGCTTACGTTCTCATGCTGACCATTTTGTTCTTTCTAGGAAATCGAGGTAAAATTTCGACTAACGATTCCATTGAACCCCAATCAAACAATGCCTTATTGACGTAATGCATTCTGTCGACGTTAGGCCGAAATGGCCAGAACGCAAAAGAACAAAGCAACCTCCAACCATTTAGGTCTTCTCAAAGCCAAACTTGCTAAGCTTCGTCGTGAGCTGTTGACTCCAAGCAGTGGTGGTGGTGGTGGCGGTGGTAAGCAATTGTTTAGATCTACGATATTCTCAACATGACGAGATCATGTTAACTGATCGTCCTGTTCCTTATTTAGTCGGTTTCGACGTTGCAAAGACTGGTGTTGCTCGTATTGGTTTTGTTGGTACGTACATAGTGGAGCGGTTGTATTTGATACATCAACCTATAACTAATCTCTCTTCCTCACAGGTTTCCCGTCGGTCGGTAAATCAACTCTCATGTCCAAGCTCACTGGAACACACTCTGAAGTCGGCGCATACGAATTCACAACATTGACAACCGTGCCCGGTATTGTGCAATATAAAGGTGCTAAACTTCAGATCCTGGATTTACCAGGCATTATCGAAGGTGCAAAGGACGGTAAAGGTCGTGGTCGCCAAGTCATTGCTGTGGCTCGTACCTGCTCATTGATCTTTATCGTGTTGGATGTGCTCAAGCCTCTTACCGACAAGGGTATCATCGAAAAGGAAATGGAAGGCTTTGGTATTCGACTTAACAAGAAGCCACCGAATATTGCATTCAAAAAGAAGGAGAAGGGCGGTATCACGGTCACCAACACTGTTCCTTTGACTAACTTTGATGCTGATGAAATCAAGGCTGTTCTCAGCGAATATCGTATTCACAACGCCGATGTCAACATTAAGGAAGATTGTACTATTGATGAGTTCATTGACGTTATAGAGGTAAGGGTTGTCTTTACATGTGACAGATCAAAGGTTATGGAAAAAAGTTTTCTAACAAAAAAAAAAAATCTAAAAAAATCACTTCCCACATCTCGATTTTCGTGCATCACATTCCAACAGGGTAACAGGTAAGTCTACTCGCGCTTTAGTGTAGGACAATGTCTCTGCAATTGACTCACCATGTATGTCCCTCACAGAATATACATCCCCGCCGTCTATGTTCTCAACAAGATCGATTCCATCTCCATCCAAGAGCTTGATCTGATTTACAAAATTCCTAACGCTGTTCCTATATCATCGCAACATGGATGGAACTTTGATGAGCTTTTGGAAACCATGTGGTCCGTGAGTATCGACCTTCAGACATGCTTACAACATCTAAAAAAAAAAAAAAATCGTGTGGAGAATTGTTTTCATTGACATGTGTCTGTTCGTTACTAGAAACTGGATTTGGTCCGCATTTACACAAAACCGAAAGGCAAGTTGCCCGATTATGATCAGCCAGTGGTTCTGAAGCGCGACGCCTGCACGGTTGAAGACTTTTGTAACTGTATCCACAAAGCCATCTTGGCCAACTTTAAGAGGTAAGCAAAGGACATTGACAGGTGTAAAAAACGGGAAACATTGGTACTGATCATGGGTTTTCCATTCTTCAGCGCTCTGGTATGGGGTAACTCTGTCAAGCATAACCCTCAAAAGGTTGGCAAGGAACACGTTTTGGACGACGAAGATGTGGTGCAGATCATTAAACGTATCTAAGCCTCATCTCCCTTGTCATACCTTAAGCGACAGTAAAGTCTAGGCAATTTTTTTCAACCAAGGCCCTTTAGAAACGGCCCAATGCTGTTAATAGGAAAACAAAAATAAAAAAAATAAAAAAATAAAATTTGCACACAACGTCGGATGAAACCTGTTCTGCCGCTGCTCGTGCTGCTTGCCTTAAGTTTCTAATGGTACTCCGTTAGTAAAGAGCTGCATACCATTTAGGAAAAGAATCCGCGGCCCACGGTAACCCTTAACCCGCTGCTCATAAAAAATCTCAGCCAGAAGCAGTAGGCCCGACCCAAAAAAAAAATTGGCCTAACTCAGCTAAACACCAGCTTATCTCGCAAAGTAACCCACACTTTTTCGAAATTTGCCGACTCCACCAAACCCAAAGAGGTTCCACAACGATTGCATAGAGGTAAATTAATCTCGGCAGGAGAAGGTTTATTGAATTAGTTCGTAACAAAAAAGTTTACCATAGAAGCATAGCATCCTTTTAGCTAACAAGACTATTATTTAATTATAAGGCAGAGCAGGAATAAAGTGGTAGCATACGATAGAGAGAGTACTATAGGAAAGCGTGTTTGATGAAAGAAATTTTGTGTTTTGTAAAAAAAAAATCCGTCCAGCGTTGAATGTTTAGTGGAAGGAAATTTAGACCTTCTCATCACCAACAGATTGCTTCTCATAAGCTTCAGGTCTCTCGAGATTTTCGACACCTTCATAGTGACCACCGACCAACTTGGTCTCACCCTCAACACCTTGCAAGTTGTCGACAACTTCTTCAGTGACATCGGGAATGGTAAAGCAGACGACGTAAGCGAGCAAAAGACCAGCACCGTTAAGGGCGAAAGCAATAGCCAACTCAGTCATATAAGGAGTACGGATAGCATCAACTTGACCAGCAATGGCGTTAGCAGCGTTCTGGATGGTCTTGTAGAAACCACCATAACGGGCAGCACGTTCAGTATCGTTGGTCATTGTTCCCAAAAGCCAGTAGATGAAACCTTGGTAGATGGCATCACCAGCACCGAAAAGAGCATATTCAATGACGAGACCGGCATATCCAGGAGACAAGACATCCATCTGAAGAGTGGGGTCGGCCTTAAGAGCAACAACGGATTCACGAGTGAACTTTTGTTGGGCGAAGATAGCTCCGATCCAGACAGCAGCCATGATAACCAAGGTGACAGTGTTACCAATGAAAGCACGACGCTTACGTTCACCAAGGAACTTCCAATCAAGGAAAAAACCAAAGAGACCAGCTCCGAAAATTTGGAACATCCAGTAGAACAAGTTGTTGAAGGCACGAGTGCGAAAAACAAAGAACTGTTGGTAGGTGTAGAACCAGTTGGAACCAGCGAACAAAGGAATCAAGACCAACATTCTCCAGTCCTTGAACAACAAGAGAACTTCAACAGCCTCACGCTTCCAGTTGGAGAATTTGTGGAGAGACACGGGGGTACCATCGGCACGGATGACCTTGCCGGGAGGAAGGAGAGCAATGGCGAGGAAAGCACCGAAAGCCATGATGACCATGAAGGCAATGTAGGTGCTTTGGGAAACAGCTTGAGCACCACCGGAAGACCATTCACGACCAAGGGCAATGGCGGCACCGATAGTGGCACCCAAGTTGAAGATCATCCAGAAGGTAGCGAAGAACTTACCCTTCTCAGCTTCAGTGGGGTAAGACATCATAATACCAGCTTGAGCGGTCCACAAGAAACCAGCACCAATACCGAGAAGAGCACCAGTGGCAATAGTGAAACCAGAGTTAGGGGTGAGGTAAGAACCGATATAGAGGACATAGGTAAGAGCAGCGGGGATGATGACACGAGCACCGAACATGTTGTAGACGGGAGCACCGATAAGAGAGCAGAGAGTGAAGGTGACGGAAAGGGCAGTACCGGCATTATCGGCAGTCTTGGGATCAGCTTGACCAGCACCTCCCATACCGTTGACGGCGTTGAACATACCGGGACAGCAGAAGCAAATGAAACCGACCAGGACGACCTGGACGTAGGGGTCAGAATAGCGAATTCCCAAAACCATGGTTCTTTTAGAAATGAAAGGAAAAGACTGGAGTAGCTGAGAGTTAGACTAACGAAAAGAAAAGAGAGAACTCTTGGGTATTTATATGAAAATTGTAGCTGAGAACGGGAACGCAACTAATCGTATCATGAGAAAGCAAAAAAAGCGTGTGTGCGATGTGGTGTTTATGATTTTGTGTCGCCAGGGTCCTGTTGAATTGAGTTGGGGTCTTACAAAGAGTACGAAGTACAAACGCCCATTAACCGCTGTATGGTATTGTGGCGGTGGAAGAAGTCCTTTTGGTCAGACAAAAACCAACGCCCTCATTAAAAGAAAGGGTCTATCAAGGGTTCGATGTCTGTATAGTTGAAACACCGCGTCTTACATTTGCTTTGTACCTTGGTGATTTTCGCTCTCTTCTGTGACTTTTGCCGCGCAGATTTTTCGTTGATCGAAATCCATGTTCTTAGACTGTTCCCCTATCTCCTTAACTTTTTCCCAAGTGGCCTTCTACCAAAAAGGGTCCTTCCTCATCCAGTGGCATCTCACTTGTTTTGATTGGTCACTCCTCAAGTGACGCCTCCCTTCCATAATTATTTTTGTGTACACCGTGTGATCTTGGCTCCAACGGTTTATGCCACCAAAAAAAACCCTGGATGGGAGGCGTGCTCGAGGATGAGGGTCCACTTGAGGGCTTGATAACAGTGCGAACAAGTTCAGTGGGAAAATATAGCCTATCTCATCTTCAGGGTTTGCTTTCCGTTCAGGACTCAACACTTGTATTACCAACAGAGTCTAAAAAAATTTTGTTACAAAGTCAACGTACAGCATATGTAACACTTGTAACAGCTCGGATATCAGCCTTCGTTTGATAACACATGCTATCTCTCAATAAGGGGGACCCATTGATACATGATAAAGAACTTAAACTCCCAAAAAATAAGAAGTCATGACCTTGGATATTCATCTTTCACTTGCTGATGTGGTATTCACTGGCGAAACTTATAAGACACCCATTCTGGATCTTAGCAGTACTAAATTGAGGCAACCACTTGAACCCAAAAAAAAAGAAAAAGAAAAATCACACATGTTCTCAATGCAGGTGAGCCCAGCTCATTGCACGGCGCACCTTCCATATTCCAGGTTATGCCAACTCCAAGTCACTGACTTGGTAACAGCATAACACAACATATAGCATAATAGCGCACTTCCATTCCTCTGCCTTTCCCTATCGTGCACTTGAGCTACCTAAATGTAGAGGTCGCTCAGCTAAGCCTTGGCCTTATCTCTCCCCAAACCGCTTATTTTAAACCAAATACTGCGCGCCTGTTCACCCATATTAAAGTCTTGTGTTCAGGGTCGAGGTTCAGGGTCGTATCTTGTGAACAACCGTATTTGTTGCTATGGGCTTTATTGTATTCCCAAAAGCCCTGCATCTGTCTTACGCTAATAATGGTCAGGATACACTAATTATCGGAAAATGGAGAAGTGGCTCGACTGTCACCGTGGGTAACGATCGTATCTTCAGCCGTGCATACGTAAAGGACAAGGGTCCTCACCTCCAATTCCCTTGTTAGGCGTTTTCAATAGGGTTTATGTACCCTCTGGCAGGGTAATACACGCACACACACCAAACAAGAAAAGAAAAATAGAAAATTCCCACCTGTCTAAGGCAGCTTCTTGTGTTGCAAGCAATTTATCATCCGAGATAAAGTCCATGAGAAGATCAGGTAATGTGGCAATGAGTTCTCAGAACATTAGGAAGAAGATAACTGAAAATGTATAAATACTACCTTTGACGGCATTCATCATTAGACTTTTTGGCTCCATTGAACCAAGATGTCTCTTCTACCATGCATAACCTTCGTGACTCCGATCAAACATGTCAGATCTGCACGGGCGCCGACTTGACGATTTAGATCATCTCCATTGTTAAGCATTCAAGAACCGAATGAACAGACCAGTCAGGAAGCTGCTGTGTGCTAAGACAAACTCTTATGCATTGGCCGGATTTCTAGACTTCTAGAATGCATTGGCCGGAATTCCAGACTTCTAGAATTGGATCATGAACGTGGCCGCTAGACCTAGCACTTAGAGCATGGAGAATACATGGCCAAACGTGACGTACCCTGCCCTCATGGGACCCTTTTCCAAAGGCATTCAAAAATCGTCAAGACATGAAAAATATTCAACATAAACGATGCGGTCATCAAGGTTAGTTTGAGAAGGCACTCTTTGAATGTAGTCAACTCTTTCTAATCATCAAATGAATGTGTATTTACTTTTCAAACCAGCTACCGCAATGTTTGTATTTCAAGATATTCTGTGCTTATGGAGTTTATTTGGTAGTTCAACTACTATGCCTTCTCCTTATCACAGGATAAGCAAATTAGAAAATATATGCAAAATATCTACGAAACAATGGAAATAAGGAAATATCAAGTTAAAGAAGTACCCAGGATTGTTCGGGTAAGTGAGAGGGATTTGAACTTTTTCGTTAGAATAACGAAGTAGGTGATGGAATTAGGTTGGGGGGTTTAAAATGAGTAAGGATTAACATAAAAGCTTTGATTTTGAATAGTATTCCTTAAGACGCTTGCTTAGAAGTCACCCTTTTCGACGTCTTCACGGTCGGTGGGCTGGGTATAGGCAGCTTCGTTCTCAAGAGCTCCTCCGACCAACTTGGTCTCACCCTCAACACCTTGCAAGTTATCAACAACTTCTTCGGTGACATCGGGAACGGTGAAGCAGACGACGTAAGCGAGCAAAAGACCAGCACCGTTAATGGCGAAGGCAATAGCCAACTCAGTCATATAAGGAGTACGGATAGCATCAACTTGACCAGCAATGGCGTTAGCAGCGTTCTGGATGGTCTTGTAGAAACCACCATAACGGGCAGCACGTTCAGTATCGTTGGTCATTGTTCCCAAAAGCCAGTAGATGAAACCTTGGTAGATGGCATCACCAGCACCGAAAAGAGCATATTCAATGACGAGACCGGCATATCCAGGAGACAAGACATCCATCTGAAGAGTGGGGTCGGCCTTAAGGGCAACAACGGATTCACGAGTGTACTTTTGTTGGACGAAGATACATCCGATCCAGAGAGCAGCCATGAAAACCAAGGTGACAGTGTTACCAATGAAAGCACGACGCTTACGTTCACCAAGGACCTTCCAATCAAGGAAGAAACCAAAGAGACCAGCTCCGAAAATTTGGAACATCCAGTAGAACAAGTTGTTGAAGGCACGAGTGCGAAGGTTGAAGTAACCACCACCGTTGTAGGCAGAGAATTGGTAGGTATAGAACCAGTTGGAACCAGCGAACAAAGGAATCAAGATCAACATTCTCCAGTCCTTGAACAACAAGAGAATCTCAATAGCCTCACGCTTCCAGTTGGAGAATCTGTGGAGAGACACGGGGGTACCATCGGCACGGATGACCTTGCCAGGAGGAAGGAGAGCAATGGCGAGGAAAGCACCAACAGCCATGATGACCATGAAGGCAATGTAGGTGCTTTGGGAAACAGCTTGAGCAGCACCGGAAGACCATTCACGACCGAGAGAAATAGCAGCACCCATGGTGGCACCCAAGTTGAAGATCATCCAGAAGGTAGCGAAGAACTTACCCTTCTCAGCTTCAGTGGGGTAAGACATCATAATACCAGCTTGAGCGGTCCACAAGAAACCAGCACCAATACCGAGAAGAGCACCAGTGGCAATAGTGAAACCAGAGTTAGGGGTAAGGTAGGAACCGATATAGAGGACATAGGTAAGAGCAGCGGGGATAATGACACGTGCACCGAAAATGTTGTAGACGGGAGCACCGATAAGAGAGCAGAGAGTGAAGGTAACGGAAAGGGCAGTGTTGGCATCATCGGCAGTCTTGGGATCGGCTTGACCAGCACCTCCCATACCGTTGACGGCGTTGAACATACCGGGACAGCAGAAGCAAATGAAACCGACCAGGATGACCTGGATGTAGGGGTCAGAATAGCGCAAGCCCATTGTGAAAGTAAAGAATGGCAAAAGGATAGACGAAGAACTTTGAACCCTGACCAATATCTTGACGCTTTTATATATTTTTCAAAGTTAGGTAAAAAAAAAAAAAAAATTGCATTCGGATTGGATAAGAGGTCGAGAGGAACTAGAATTTTGTTGGTCGTGCGAAGTCCAATGTGCCACAGCAGCGGACCTTTGATGATCAGCGCTATTTCTGTATTGTCATTACACATTTATCAATAAAATCCAGCATAGAACTTGTATATATATCTACTACTCTGAATGTGTTTCTTTTTTCATTGAGGTCTTCAAAGGACTTGGGCAGTTTGAGGACGTGTCAGTAAATAGCTTGATCAGATGATTTGTCAAAAGGCCAGAGTATTTTTACACTTTCAAAGTCTCGTGGACAGTACATAGAGGGGCAAGCTCCGCTCTAAAAACCGAAATAAGGGACGATGTGAAAAAATTAATGAAAGACGGCGACGCCACCTGGCTCACTTACACGAATCAAAAAGCTCTTGGCGAAAGGGTCCTTCCTCACAGAGAATATGGCTTTTTACATATTATATTAAAAATTCTGAGCAGCTTGTTCTGCTTTTAGGAAGGATAGACCAGTATTGATGGGATTCTGCACTGGGGTAAATTCAACCGCGGATGCTCAACTGTTGGCCCACCCGCACAGTTATTTTTTAATCGCCTATAGAGTCTGCGCCTGCTGAAATGCCTGATGAAAATTCAGTTGGGACTCAGGCGAGGCAGGCCTGATCTCCGACTCGTTGCAGTTGGTGCGCTACAGGTTGCTTCATTTGGTAACAACATGGGGAAAATAGTCCCGCCTGTAGCTACGGGTAGGTTGATAGTCTTCAGTGATCTCATTTGACGGCAGAAATCCCCAATATTACTGCTTATCAAGAAATAGTTGTATTTTATCTCTTCATAGAAGGACCCTTGTTCCACGTTACCACACACCTTCTTGTCAGCCGTTTCAGTGAAAGTCCTTTGAACAAAACTTTTTAAAATTGAGCAACAGGGTTCAGCAATGATGGTCGGATTACATTCCTCAAAGGACATGCAGGCAGCCCTGAAAGTATCAAGGTTTCTCCAGAGTTTCTTAATCATCAAATAGAGCGGCGATATCGGTATACGGACATGTGGTTGGTAAGGTATCAGGGCCCAGTGAGAAAATGCGCCGGTGGGAAGAGAATATCTTTCAGGGTCTGGCGCACATTGCTGGTTGCCAATTTGGGGGTTCCACACGGTTGGTTGATAAACGGCAAAGTGGCGTCTGAGGGACCCTTGAGACACCGTAAGCAAATAGGGTCACAACATGACAACGAATAAGAGCGAAAAGTCAATTACTTTTCGTTCGCCGCAAGGATGGGTTTTGGTACTCTTGGACCCTGATTTCCATATCAAACTCTAAAAAAAAAAGCAGGTCGTGTGTTTCCGTTGCGTATTGTCACCTACATGCAGGGTTCTACCCATTTACGATATCAACTAGCAGCTCTCAATAGGTCACACGCAACATGGACGTGCCTTACCTTCTCGTTAGTTCCCAACCGCCATGGTAGCCATTGGAAATGAGCATCCGGCTGTACTGATAAGCGAAACCATCGCATGTCATGTTAGTATCCACCCTACAAGATACAATGGCCGACCGACATGATAAGAACATTTCGAGGACATTATCTATCGCACCACTGTTGGTGGCAAATCGAGTTTCCTTCTGGTATCACCTTATCTAAGAACGCCCATTTCTGAACACAAGAACCCAAATTTCTGTATAATTGACTAAAGATGAGAATAATACAGCGCCATTTCCCACTTCTTCTTCATAATGGCGAGGATTGAAAACGGTCTGGCATATTGAGAATGAGAAACTGGGATGTCCACTTCCAAACTTGATTCTTTGTTATTCTACCATGCTGTTCCTACGCCTTTCCTTTATGCAGGTGTACAAAAGCTTCTGCGAATCCAGTCACACAGCGTCTTCATTTCTATGTTTATAATATTATGCATAAGTGTCGTCAGTCCTCAGTGGAGCGGTCATCTGTTACCTAGGCTTTTGATGACCAAGTTAGGTCGTTGGGCCCATCAAGTCATGCTTTCTTGATGTTCTTATCCAAACTTCAGTCATTGAACTGGCCCGTTTAAGGGAAAGGCGCTGGTTCGTAACTCATACATGGAGTGAGGAAAATTTGACTAGCTATCAGCAGCAACCAGTACATCACAACATGGCAGCGGTAAGGATGTGCAGGAGTAAACGACATGTACATGTTTTTTATTTTATCTTTCAGATGGTGTTTTGGTACGAATAGGATGGGTGGGAGAGTAGGTGGTTTGCTCTATGCAACGGGGGGTTTCTTTTTAGTCTAAAATTCAATACCTTCGGCCTTCAATTCCTTTTCTATGGCAGCAATAACAAGCTCGGGCTCAGCCTTATCAACAACGACGATTCTCTTTTCCTTGTCCAAAAGACCATGGAATTCAGTAGGAAGAACATCCTTGTTGAAATCAAAGCCAGGTGAGTTCTTAAGAGCGGTTTCGACAGACTCGGAGAACTTGGCGGGATGGGCGGTGGCTAATGAGACAATGATATCCTTTCCTTTAGGGTACAAGGAGAAGTTGTGTCGAGCAGCGACTTCTTCAGCAGCCTTAACACCAACAGCAGTGTGAGGGTCAAGGATATAAGGGACTTGTTCAGACTCAGCCGGTCGGTGATATGCAGTAATAGTTTGCAGGGTATCTTCGTCGCTGACTCGGGCAGAGTCGAAAATAACACGAGCCTTATGAACAACCTCCTTGTTGATAGTGAAGCTTCCAGTTTCCTTGAGAGCTTTCATCCACCCAGCAACACATTGTCCAGCATGGTCGGCCAAACGCTCATCAAGTTGAGTCTCTTCACCAGTCATGGTCTCACCATCATCTCGCTCAGTTTCGCGGGCCAAATACCACAACAAACGTTCAAAGTTGGATGACACCAAGATGTCCATAGCAGGCGACAAGGTAGCCTTGACGGATCCATCAGGACCGCTTTGCTTTGCATAGGCAGAGGTCTCGAAGAATCGAGTCAGAATGTCATTGGAGTTGGTGGCGACGATGAGCTTGCTGCTGGGAAGACCCATGCGGCGAGCATAGTAACCGGCAAGGATATCACCAAAGTTACCAGTGGGAACAGAGTAGTGAACATTGACTTGCTCTGCCTCGGGTGATGCAGCATTGATGTTGAGGGTGTTGAGAAGCTTAAAGTAGGAGTAGACGTAGTAGGTGGTCTGTGCCAAAATACGAGCCCAGTTAATGGAGTTGACAGCACCAAGATGGTGACGGTTGTTGAATTCAGTGTTTCCGAACAAAGTCTTGACAATATCCTGGCAATCGTCAAAAGTGCCTTCAACTGCCAAGTTGTGGACATTAGGATCAAGGACCGTTGTCATTTGAGCCTCTTGAATAGGGCTAACACGACCACGTGGGTGCAAGATGAACACAGACACATTCTTCTTGTTGCGCAGACCGTAGATGGCAGCACTAGATCACCACGACAAATTTCATTAATCGCTCCAATCAAACATAACATGGGGTGTGTCTCCCCAAATCATTGTGTTTTTAACTTACCTTCCGGTATCACCAGAAGTAGCTCCTACAACGGTAAGTCTGTGAACCTTTCCGGAAGTCTCCTTCTTGTTTCTTCGCTCCAAAAAGTACTCAAACAAGTTGCCAACAAATTGCAAAGCAACATCCTTGAAAGCAAATGTGGGACCGTGGAACAGTTCCAAAATGTAGAATCCATCGCGAATCTTGAACAAAGGAGTGACATCGTCGGCGCGGAAAGTCGAGTATGACTTGTCAATAAGAGACTTGAGATCAGCTTGTGGAATTTCAGTCTCATCGATGTACAGGGACAAAATAGCCAAAGCGAGCTCTTGGAAAGACTTGTTGGCCCAGTCTGACTTCCAGTTGGCAGGAAGTGTAGGAATGGTGTGAGGAATGAAGAGACCACCATCGGGAGAGAGTCCAGCCATGACAGCCTCCTCGAAGGTATAGTTTTTGGCTTGGCCTCTGGTCGATCTGTAGTGCATTATTGTGGAATAAAGAAAAGGGTCGAGATTCTTGCGATTTTTTTTTTGTGAGCCCGTTGTTCTCAGTTTCCAATCAAATCAAATTAATGGCCTCCAGATAATCAGAACATTCTCTGAGTCAGATTTCACGTGATGTGACTTGCTCACCGTGGCCAGTAAAGCTGACGGCCATCCATTGAAAGCAAGGAAACACTCACACGAACACATCCAGTGGTACTAATTATTTCAAGTTGTCACTAACCAAGCTCAGTACCTTTCCCAAGATTTTGGCGCAATTGATTATCTCATTTGATTTGAACTTGAAGAGTCATCGAACGTGGACACGAGTTTATAGGACATCTAGCATATTAGATATACGGTAATGGAATATGCAATATAGGGGTATGCCTGAAAGTTATCGCTTGAAAGCTTTCACTAATAATTCCACATTAAAAACATAACTTTTATTTTAAGCCTACTAAAGCAAAGCAATGCAAAGCCGATCTGAAAATGTGTTCCTTATTTCCAATTATTTTATTATTTATGCAATGCCATAAGGCGAAAATTGAGTATAGATAGCTCAAGATCTCCAATCAAGTTTGCCATGTATTAAGCTGATGTGATGGGATTTTATAGCGAAGTTTACTAAAACGAACAGTGAGAAAGTTTCTGTCAATACTCTGTTCAAAATCATACATGGTGGTTTTTTTATTCTTGTTTAATTTCGTATATCTGATATATTCAGTTGCGATAGTAAATATTTAATGGTCCAGTAGGTACTCTCACAGCACCCTCATTCTATATCTCCACATCTACCTTTGTAAAATTTATGGACCAACATCGACCTACCTTGCCCATTCTTGACTTCTCGTCCGAGCATTGTGTAAAAGCCTATGCCAAAGTAACTCAATGAGCTACCTTCCCACAATACGAACCTGAACCTCAACGGCAGCGGAACAAACATGCGCATTTCAATTAATAAAATAGAAGAGGATTCTACAAGAGATAGTTTAGACGTTGGTAGGCTAGAACCTCCATTTCATCAACAAGTTAAATATAGGAACCCAACTGTATATGTTTGGTGCCTGTGGCATTTAAGCTTTCTTACTGAATACCGCCATTTATTTTATTTGTCTCCTTTTCTGTTTAAATGTATTTGGCGCGGGGTGGCTAAGTTCCCCCGTGAGAGGAGTGTTGTCATTTAAATATAATATAACACCATGCAGAGTATGCAGGGTGGAGAAGAGAAGGTATAGCATGTTTTTATATACAAATATGGGAAAAGTACAACATACACACACACATCTATTAGTTTCCGTCGCCGCTTCCATCGCCGTTTCCATCATTACCTCCGTTGCCTGAATCAGCTCCATCCGTGCTTTGACTGGCGTCTGCGGTGGAAGTAGCTGAGGCGGTATCGGATGGCATGAGGCTGCTGAGGACTCCAGATGGAAGCTCAGGCAATTGACCGTTCTAAGTGCAAATAAAAACCCGCATTGATCAGTATCCTATCGCAACTTGCACACGCAACGATGATGGCAAATCACTTACCGTGATGGGACAGTCGAAGTTTGCTGAGGAGGATACAGTTGGGTGTACAGTGATGAACAACACCTTCACAGCTAAATTAATCTTATAATTGATAGTCAAAGGCTGCTTGGTGCCACCCAAAAGACCACATTTGGTGGCAATATCGGTCAGCATGGCATTGTTGGTATCGGTGGTAGGATCATATTGAATGGAGAATGGGAATGTAAAGTTGGTGACGGCATTGGAGGAGACGAATTGGTTGGCAAGGAAACCACCTCCCACTGCGACGTCTGGGCTGGTCGGATAGTAGGCCTAATAAGGAAAACATACCCGTTAAATTCCATCATTTTTTTTCCGCCACATCGAGGAAGCGATTGAAAAAGCTTCAATTCAGCCAAAATCACTTACGGTGGCATTCATATTAGACAGAGTAGCGCTCTCAATGTTGGGATTATTGATACCAATCTTCAATCCGACGTTGATGTTCCACCGTGTGCCATTCACAGAAAATTCCGCCAAGCCGGATGGACTGTCTGTGATACCATTGAAGTCGAAGGTGGGTGTCTTAAACTGGCTGAAGATGATGGCGAATACAATCACGACAATGATGATGGCGATAATAATGATCCACAGGATCCATCGTGCCCAGACTGGAAGACAGCAGGCACAGCACAGGAATCGACAGCACCGGTTCCTCTGAACAAGACTGGGTTTCTTGTATGGTTTCTCTTGCGCTATATACGGAGCTGATTCATTCACATAAGTTCCTGCAATGCGAAACCAAGGAAAGAAAAATCAGTATACACTAAATGCCTTTATGACGTAAAACGTTGGTATGAATTCAAAAGAATCGATATCGTACCATGAGGAGAATCGGATGCTTGGTATGGAGGCGATGGTTCAGCAAGCGGCATACGAGAAGACATGGTAGCCGGCGTCTGAGAGCGATCATAGTACCCTCCTGAAGGAGGTCTTTCGTTCATATAAGGGCTGTTTGGTCTTGGTCGATATGCAGAGTCAGAGTGTGACGGTGGTTCGGGTGGTCCTGGCCGGGGACGTTCTTGTGACGACCGATATTGCATGTATTCATCTCTATAAGACATTTTCAATTATTGTACAAGATCGTAGAGGAGCTGTCGACCAAAAATATGTTTTTAGAATAGAAACAAAGACAAGGAAAGAAGAGGATAAAAGAGAAAACCATTTAAAGTGCTAAATTTAAAAAAAGGTGCGCTCAATTCAGCTGGCGCTCTTCGTCACAATATTTTTCCTCTATTGTCATAGTCGTTTTATTTCTTTAGGGTGGCCGTTCAATACATAAAACGTCCCTCTATCGTGTTGTGCTAATGGTCGGCCGAAGATCCGCATTTCAGGTAGGATTATATGATTCACACTGTCCTGTAGTTTGCTAATATTCTGGTGCCAAGACAAAGCTATAGCGGAGGCGCAGAATGGCCGGAAAAGCGAATGTTCCGCGTTTTTTATTTTTGTTTATGGCACACCTAAAAATCTTTTCAAAAATAAAAAAAAATAAAAAATCCCCATCATGAAAATACAGGAGTACGCTGAACGAACGTATTGTGTATGATGTCTCTATACAGCCAGCATTGCACTCTGTTAATGCCTTGTATGGTGCCTTGAAAGGTAGATTTTAAGCCGCAACCGGAAAATGGGATAGTAACATGAAATACCATTAATAGCTTTATGTGCTGTTGGAATATTGTGGTCTGGATAAACTTTTTCAAAGCAGTACCAATGGCCTTGTGATCCCCTTACAGAGGGTGGCCAAGAAAAAACACCATAGGAGTCTAGAATTCTTCAGCCGGACGGCTTCCTTACAACACACGGGCAAGGTACCCCGTACAAGAATTGTGACAAACAAAATTCTGATACACTGTTCGAATTTGGGTTACACTTGCCTAGCACGCGATACAGCGCCATCTTATCCTAAACTTCATTTATTCCTAACGTCTCGCGTCATACACAGACGCTAGTATCGATACATGCCAGCCGAAATGTAACATGTGTAAAAGGCAAAGTACATGGCACATGGTTGGTGGATCAAAAAAAACGTGTTATACCACAGATTGATAAGAGCTGAGATCAAGACATTAAGGCCAAGTACTTTGACGTATTGAACCGGACCAAACTCCGAATTTAGACTATAACGCTGTCGCCGGATTAGCCCATCGCCGAAAGTGATAATATGATGTACAGCTTAGCTATAACAAGTTTAACAGAATGGCCGCGCTATGTCGACCGCACTAAGGTATCAGCGTCGTCACATTATAAGCAGGGCCAATCGAACGTGCGATGCGATGCCATAACATGACACCATAGTCGTCACTACCACTACTAGATTGAACGGCATTTATGCAAACTATTATTTTTTTTACTTTACAAAGGGGAAAACCAGGCATATGTCAAGATATAATTGTGAAAAACTGCTCATGGAATGGATGTTTGGAAGATTTGTTGGCTAGAGGACGGTAAAATTGGAAGGTGATGGTTGCTGTGAATAAAAATTTGTGGAAAAAAAGAAATATCCTACACTGTTAACTATGGTCGAGTTGTTTGAAAGAAGTACGTAGCAGAAAGCGCCTGGCTCGGTGCTAAGGAACAAAATGTACATGAAAACTAAAATGCCAACCACCTCTAGTTATATTTCTTGGAGACAATGGTGTTGACAACGCTTGGGAAATGTGAGTTGAGCTTGTAGGAGCAATCAGTATCACAAGAGGCTGTTCGACATTGAGCATCCGCTTGTAAACCGCAAGGTAATCTTGTTCTTGAAGAAAGTTCACTGAAGGATGACGACCGGCGACGGAGGTAAGGAGGTTCACGATCTTCAAGGTTGCTAAAATGGTCCTTGGTCTCCAAAATGTTAGAGGTATTGATGTGGCGAGATCGAAGGCTCTGATGTGGGGAAGATTCATTCTCAAAAGTGGGCTCTATATCATTCATAGTGAACATGAGAGGTTGTTCATCCAACCAAACCACCTTGACAAAGTTTCCAAAATCAAACGCTAGACCATCACCATCCAGGGATTTGAGGCAGGTAATATTACTGAACGGTAACAGCTCCCTGGCGTGCATTTCTTCCTCCTGTATGGCGTCAGGCTCAGTCTTGGATGATGCCATAGAAGAATCTCGACGCTTACGCCGTACTCTTTGAAGTCGAGCAGCATTGATGGCACTCTTTCTTCGTGCTTTGAACGCAGATGCATGTCGACGACGGGTAGGACGGCTATTTTCATTGTTAAAGAAAAGGGTGTACAATAATCGACTCACGAAGCCGAGATTTTCTGGTTCATTTCCAGCATGCTCTTCAGCGTCGTTGTTCAGATTGACAGTAACAACCGGAACATCGAATTTGCTACCAGTATCATAGAACGACGATGAGCTGCCAAATGAATCGTTCTGCCGTTGTCGTCGATGAGGTTCGTACTTGCGCATAGGAGCCATCCACATTTCCCAACCTAATGTAGATTTGCTGCCATGGTGATCACTGCTACCAGTTCGTCGTACACCCGCCAATATCGTGCTTTTGAGCCATGTCACTCCATGGCCACCAGGTTGGCACACTCGACCGAGGTATCGTTTGCTCACGCGCATTTCATCAAAACGCATGGCCAATTGTTCAATGTCGACCATTTTCACCGGTGTATGGTCATCAGATGCGTCAAAGCCATTCTCTTGTTCATTGGTGGTGGTAGAGCTATTGCCCGATGTTAACGACGGTTCTGAAATGCTGATAATCGGCTCTCGATTGAGTTCATTGGGCTGAGGTTGTGGCTGAGATATATCGCTGAACTCAGAAAAATTATAAACAGAGGAGGATGACTTCTTGTGGTTATAGGCGGGTGAGTTGCCTCCTCCTATCCCACACTGATCACATCGATCGCCTGCCGCTCCTTTGGAATAATCGATCCTCCAAATGTTGACAATACCATCCGTTGCGCATGACGCGATCAAATATTCATTGCGGTGGCACCGATCGATTTTACCACCTTTGGACATGAATTGATCAGATCGGCAATGTCTCGAAATAGCAATCTGTTGTATCGCACTTTGATGATTGCTTTGATGGCTCGAGAATGTGCTTTCGTTGTGTTCATTGGAAGGTGATGACCGCAGGTAGGGCACATCACTATTCTGTCGTCTAGGCATTCGAACCGAGACACCAAATTTGCCGTCGCCGCGTGAAGATCTTTGCCCTTCCGCTAATGTACAGAGTTGACGTCCATTTGCAATGTTCCAGACCTGGACGGATCCCTTTTCTGTGCCAGTAACAACAATGCCAGTGCCATCGACAGAGGTTTCTGCTGAGATGGATGTCACCGTTTCCTTGTTCTGTTCATTGATCGTATATAGATGTCTCCAATCAGGCTTGGCAACGATATCGTCCACGTCGTTGCTGCGTCTTCCATAGCATGTTACGTTGCCATCCTTTGAAACAGCAAAGATCCTTTGTCGTTCATGGATTGATCGAGGTTTGACATCGGTGACAAGAAGTTGAGTGATGCCACTCTTAGCATCGTTTTGTACGGCATTGACACATTCTCCGCTCTCAAGATCCCATTCCCTAACATATCCATCTTCATAAGCCGCAATTAAGTACGTTGGTGTCGATATGGGAGTTTGACTTTTGCCGGCGAGATGCTTTCTTGTGACTTTAGGACTATCCCATGCGGAGGACTCCGAAGGGCTGAATGCCATTATGAAAGTGAGAGCAGCTACACCATTGTGACGTGGTAAAGATTTAACTTTGACATTGTCATTACTTTCTTGATGATTCTCTTCATTTCCAAACTGGATAGGAGCGTGGCCGTTCGACTTTGTGCTGTTAGATGGTACAAATTCTCGGACCCAAGCGCTGGATGATATATTCCACATGCGAATAACGCCATTTTCGTGTCCACTTGCAATCCACTGATTAGAATGGTCGATTTTGATGCACTGGATCGGTGATGGTATAACAACTTTGCGAACAGACCCAGGGCTAAAGCGAGTACCAGTGCTTGTGTTGCCAAAGGCGTAGTCCGGGTTAACATCAGCATTGAAGGTTTTAACGTCTCGTCTACGTTGTACTCTGTCCAGTCTGGCAACCCATTTTCCTCGTACGCCATCCCATAGGACAACTTCGCCTTCAAGACCGACGGAGACAATGGTGCCATGTGATGAGGTACATTCGATTGACTTTATATCGCCTGAATGGTGTCCAGAAAGCGTTACAATACGAACATCACCAAGGGGTGTCTTTTTTCGGTTAGAGACGTTTTGTTGTAGTGAAATAGCACCGCGGTGATTGCCATCCTCATCATATTCAGCAGCTGTGGATGCTTTCAGGGCTCTTTGTAAGGGAGCCCATGGTATCTTTGGGGATATATAAGCCAGCACTAAGTACTTGCCATAGCGGGCTAAAAAGGTTTGAAACATAGGCTCCAGGAATCCTTCTCGATAAGGAGGAAGCATCCATAAGACAATGCCAATCAATGTAACAAGAATTAGAACGGACGGGATATTGATGGAGACAATGATGGTGACGAAGCGACGGATCAACTGAAAACCGAAGCGTTGAATGCTAGATTGATTCTTGAGCTCTTTTTCATGAGCACGTTTAGAGGCAGATTCGAATTCATAAACGTCATTGATACGCTGCAAGTGCTCAAATGTCTCTTCGCTTGCATCGAGAGCCACTAATATCGGACTTCTAACTTCGATAAATCGAACACCGTAGGTTGGATTGATGACGTTCCAAAAATTGGTTGAAATGGAGTCCATATGAGCGTATCGTTCTATGGAAACACCGCTTTGGTCGTGATATGGCGTTTGAGGAGAGAAGAATGAAAGTAGCAGGATGGATGAGCAGATCTATGTATGAAGGACAGGAGTTAAATAACGATGAAGTGGAGTCATTTAACATCTGATTTTCGAAGAGAACAAAATAATCATACCACTAAAGCGGTGACGGCGCGATGAGTTTTTAAGCCTTTGCATGCAGCACAGTTGGGCCTTTCTCCTGATGTTTCTTCCTTGGCGCAATATTCATTCGAATCTTTCCCATCGCTTGTCAGGTCATCTAATTCGTTTATCAAATGAACCCGTTTGGATAAATTTCTGTCGTCAAGATCGGTCAACTAAGGATGAAGCACGACAGATGTAAGTATCTTGTAAAATATGACATAACACAGACAAGAAGATGAAAGAAAAAATAGGAACGGGTACTAACCTCTACTCTTCGAATATCCACAGAAAGGACAGAAACAAAAAACGTTAATTGCAGTATGTAGTCGATCACAAGTGCAATAGCTGTAAATTGACAAAACTCCTTTACGGCTTGTAGACCAGTATGGGAGCCAACAACCAAAATGGAGAGCTCAGCTAATAAGGTCGCTGTAATAGCAAAACCCAAGGCTTCTAGACCTGGCATTCAAGAATTCATGGTCAGGTGCTGTTCCATACAATGGAAGTATTTTGATACAAATACCAAACAAGGCGTGCTTACCTCGTCCAACCTTTTCCTTGATGGGCATATCGCACCCTGAGTGCAGCATAGCGTTGGTGACGACGAAAACATTTTCAATGGTAGCGACAATGACTACCAATGGTATTATATAAAGAGGTACATGTGCAAAGCTCAAGCCAGCCAGTGTAAATATGCCTAGAGTGGCTGATAAACAAGCAACTGTTTCAAAAACAGCAGCCAAAGCCAAGCCATATTTGGACTTCACTAGCTGTACATTGCCAAACGCCACGGCGACGATCGCAAATATGATACCGTATGTGATCAGCAGAATCCAGATTTCAGAGTCCAAAGGAATCGACTCAGAATTGTACTATGTTTAAAATGATTATTAACGATGTGGCAGATATATGGAAATCTTTCTTTTTTTTTTTTTTTTCATTGAGCTACATGATTTAATGAGGTCATACCTTGTATTGGAATTGCTCCATCTCAATATCGCACTTTTTGTAAAAAGGTGTTGATGGTTTATAATCGAAAGTCTCGACCACAGGTATAGCCAGATCGGCGGTAACGGCGTCCCAGATTGAGTTCCATTCCTCTCGATATTTTTGTCGAAGTGGCCCTTCTCGCAAAAGGAAAGTAACCAGCACAGAGTCTGCAGATATAGGCTGACCAAGTACATCCAGAGTAGCATTACCAAACAATGTTGCTGGATGTAGTGATAGACCAGATCGTGCAGATGTCTTTTTGACGTGGTTTAAAATTGTTCCAGTGATGTCGATATCTTGCTTGAGCTCATCAAGATTGTGGTTCCATATATCGAGAGCTGAATGGACAACGCATCGACCTTGCATTTGATAACAAATATCTACCATAGAAACTTTTTTGCCATGCGGGGTTACAGCTGTTGTATCCATGAGTTTGTTATCAAATTCTAAAATTTGTTTTAATAGTCGTTTTGTGATCTGACCACCGGTAGTAACGAAATGAATCTGCTGAATGCCGAGAACAGGTGCAACATAAGGCAAATTTGTATCCTTCATAGCTGATATATGATAAGGGCTATCCCAAAAATTTGTGTTTATGGCGGATTGCTCTAGTCGATAGTATTCTGCAGCGCGATGTTTCGAGTACCATGACACAGCTGGTACTGTCAAGAACAGCACTATAAAACTGGAAACGAGGATATTGATCACAGTATACTCTGTTGAGTTTTTTCCGTATCGATAGAAGGCCGTCGCAATGCGGATCCTCAAACGCTTTAAAGCGTTCAACATGGCATGAAAATGAGAGAGTTGTCTTTGCTTGTGGTAATGGTAATTTAGAAAGCCGAGATCCCAGTGTGTTATTCTCTGTTTCGGATGTCGAAAAACTGCCACTGAAATAGTAAATTCCGCGAAACATGTGGGTCAGTGCCACCAGCATGGGCCTAGATAGCATCCCAAAAAAAAAATTGAGGTGGTGACGAATTAAGCTGTATTGCTAGTGATGTTGTAAAATCATATGAAAGAAAAGAGGTGAAAATGCTAATGAAGCGACAGTGAAAACATGTATATACAACTATCAACGAGAGAGAGGGATGCAAGGGTATTGGCTACGCAGGAAATAATAGCCTCAGTGTATGAATATAAAAAACAGTAGTGTGGTTTCTAGAGAAGTAAGAAAGTGTAAGATGGCATAAAGAGGTGTTTAACGTGCGACTCCCGGAACACTGATGGATTCGTATGTAGGTAGCGATCCAGAAAAGCTGTATAATCGATTGGAGCGAACAGCGGTTGTATAAGATGGTACACGAGAAAGGTCGATACCACTGATATCCCATGGCAACCTGTCATCATTACTTCCTTCATCATCCTCGTCACTATTGGGATGCTGATGCGCACTGCTTGCTGCAGCATTAGGAACTGCCACACCCAACGAACGAGGCATGCCTCCCGAGGCGATCAATTGGCGTAATACTTCAGGGTCATACGGCATAGATTTCCATGCATCCTCATACGCAGGAAGCGCGTTTACTTCTTCAGCGTGTGATACAGATGAGATGACGATTGGAACTGCAGCTCTTAGTTCTAATAACAAAGGGTTGATTTTTAGCAAACGCGATTCTTTTTAGACGTCTTTCCATTAAAAACGTACCTGAAATATGGCCATCTAAATTGATTAGCGAAACCGTAAACTTGAGCTTGTGCTTGATTTTAATCATTTCGGTTTCTGCATCAGTTTGCATATTAGTGCCTATATGAGGAACTCGCAAGAGCTCAATCTTGGTCCATCGATCTCCGGAACATGGAAATTCGTCGTCACGCAAAAATTTTACAATGCGGCTATCTGATTTGACGTGCTCTCCAGCAGTGTAAGTGCAGTATTCCTTAAGCGTACAAGTCACATAGCGAGCCTTTAGTTCTGCAGCGATAGGTGTGAGGTCAAATGTGATGGGAATGACATCACCTCCACTGTACACCTTGCATGGGACGGATATTTCGTACGACATTTTTCCCGCCCACTCGTTTGCAATAAGTAGCGATTGAGAAAGTTCCAAGGCGGAAGGGAGCATATAGCGTAATACTTGGACGGGTCTTTTGTCGACAAAGTTCATAGAAAATGTTGGTCTTTCAGCTACTGCCTTGAGCTTGTAATATACCTGTCCATGCTCGGACCCTTCAATGGTTTCTGGGAGATCACCGGGAAGCGGAAGCTCAAAGTCCCTGTTCAACCAGTTAGCCCTTGTGATTATCTGGATCACACCTTACAACAGCCGATGACTTACCATTTGTACTGGCCAGCACCCAAGTGATAGATTTTCTTTCTAGGTGGCAAGAAGCTCCACTCGTGTTCATAGATCGTTCGTTCGTCTTTATGGAAGCGCTGATGTGAACCTACGCCTTCTGTCCATGCAACTTTCATTTTGCCGATAAATTTAAGAGACACAGTCTTGACCTTGGTAGCTTCGGCGCAATCCATAGTCACTGAGCCTCGAAGGATGACACCACTTGACTCATCGACATTACCGTGCAATATGAGCTTATCTGTTTCCAAGTTGATTTTAAAGTCTGAAGATGGCGCAAGGTGAATAGCATGCACCATGGTTTCTATAGGACCAGAGTATGAAGAAGTCAGAGTGGTAGAAAGAATGGTGGTAATAACAAGGTAGATGGAAACGCTTGAATGTCACAACGCTCAAGAGTTTTAAAAGGAAGAGAGTAAAAAAAA